TACCTTTACCTACCCTCTAGCTATTTATATAAGTTAATTAAGTACTATTATATAAAATTAATTAAAACTACTTATTATCTTCTTTTTTAGAGGTTAATAACTATAAATCTTTTTTTTAAGTAATATAAAGCTTTATATAGCGTTATATACTATAATTAATGTCTTTAGGTCCTAAGAGCCTTAGCTACTTAAACGTAAATTAGATAATATTAGTGTTTTTAGCTTAAAATCTAAGCAAGAAATAACTACTTCTAGGTTAAAAGGTATAAGGCTAGCTTATCTAAAACTAGCTTATATGTTTTTTTTACTTATTAAAGTAAAAAAAGCTACTTTAAAAGTAAAAAAATGTTATTTTTAGTAATATATATAATTTATATTTATATTATTTCTTTAATTTTTTTATTATATAATGCTTTTAATAGACTAAAATAACTAATATTAAGAAGCTAAAGCTTATATAATAAATAAATAAATATATAAAAAGTAATAATATTATATTTCTTATAGTAATTATTAAACTTAATAAACTTATAACTATTATAGCTATTAAAGATTAAAAGCTACTTAATACCCTTTATATAAGACTTTATATACTTTTTAAAATACTATAACTAATCTAACTTAATCTTATTTATAGTTTATTTATTTTTATTAAAGTAAATATACTATTAAAGTAAAAATTAGTTATTAGTATACTAAAAAAAAAAGTAATATTTATTTTTAATAATAATATATAAAAGTAATATATAGCTATTTATATATACGCCTTAAATAATAAAAACTTATTTATAATTACTAAGCTATTTTATAAAAGGCCTTTTTTTATAATTAAAAGTTATAATAACCTTTATATATAATAGTATTTTTATTAAAAAGCCTATTTTATTAAAATTATAGATATTATTATTATAAATTCTATATTTTATAACTATATTTTATATAAAAGTAAACTAGGCCTATATAATTATAGGATCCTTAGCTAATACCCTTTAATAGTTAATTTTATATTAAAAATATATCTTTAGTTATAATTAATATTATATAAAGTTCTTTACTTATTAAGGTCTAATATATATTATATTATATTTATTAAAAAAGTAATTAGCTATATCTTATATATTATTAAGTTATAGTAAAAATCCTTAATTAATTAAGTTAATAACTTATTTAAGAATTACTATTTTCTTTAGCTTAGTTATTTTTATTAATTTTAATTATGTTTTTTATTATAGTAGTTGTTTAATATATTAATTATAGAGTATTATTCTTAAGATATTATAAATAAAAATAGCCTTTTATATAGATAATTTTAGGTCTTTTTTAATAGCTTAGAGTATAAAAAGAATATAGCTTTTATTTAAAGTAAAACTTATTATTATATATAAAGTAAAGCTAAAAGGAAAAGAAAAGGTGTAAAAGAAAAGGGAAGTAGGTGACTTACTATAATAGGTAACTCACTATGTATATATGTTAATCTATATTTATATTATTTTTTTAATTTCTTTATTATATAACGCTTTTAATAAACTAAAATAGCTAATATTAAAAGGCTAAAGCTTATATAATAAATAAGAAAATATATAAAAAGTAATAATATTATATTTCTTATAGTAATTATTAAACTTAGTAAACTTATAGTTATTATAGCTATTAAGAATTAAGAGCTACTTAATACTTTTTATATAAGACTTTATATATTTTTTAAAATATTATAGTTAATTAAAGCTAATCTTATTTATAGTTTATTTATTTTTACTAAAATAAATATATTATTAAAATAAAAATTAGCTATTAGTATACTATAAAAAAAGTAATATTTACTTTTAATAATAATATATAAAGGTAATACTTAGCTATTTATATATATACCTTAAATAATAGAAACCTATTTATAATTACTAGGCTTTTTTATATAAGGCCTTTTATAGTAATTAAAGGTTATAATAACTTTTATATATAATAGTATTTTTATTAAAAAGCTTATTTTATTAAAATTAACTATAAATATTATTATTATAAATTTTATATTTTATAATTATATTTTATATAAATATAAATTAAGCTTATATAATTATAAGATTCTTAGTTAATACTCTTTAATAGTTAATTTTATATTAAAAATATATCTTTAGTTATAGTTAATATTATATAAAGTTCTTTACTTATTAAGGTCTAATATATATTATATTATGTTTATTAAAAAAGTAATTAATTATATTTTATATATTATTAAGTTATAGTAAAAATCTTTAATTAATTAAGTTAATAACTTATTTAAGAATTATTATTTTTTTTAACTTAGTTATTTTTATTAATTTTATATAAGTCTTATAGTATAATAATTATTTAGTATATTAATATTAAAGTATTATTCTTAAGATATTATAGATAAAGGTTATTTTTTATATAAATAGTTTTAGGTCTTTTTTAATAGCTTTAATTATAAAAATAATATAACTTTTATTTAAAAAAGAACTTATTATTATATATAAAAGAATATTAATATAAAGTTAAAGTTTAAGGAGAAAGGAGGAAGTAGGTTACTTGCTATGATAGGCTACTTGCTATATATTGAAACTGCGTGGGATAAAGGAAGCCAGCAAGTGGGCAGTTGACACACAAACCACACCAAACACCAAGGTCCCAGTATCGTCACGAGTGCACCTGGAGTGACCGATTACCCCAAGTGACTACCCCAACGCCTAGACCGTGAGATACTACTCTTTTCAGGTCCTCCTTGGCCTGATCAGGGCTATGAGCAAACTAGAAAAGTGTATCCTTCACGTTTTGTAGTCTGTTTAGATTTGCCCTTGTTGCTAAGTGGTACGCATGTGTGTGTCGTGATCTCTGGAGGAGGAGGATACCCTCCTAGACCTTAGAGGTCTAGTTAGGCCTAAGGAAACAAAGCAACAGTCACTTATTACACGTCTTATTTAGGTATTAAAGTAATGAATTTGTTTGTGTCTGTCTAAGTACCTGTCTAAAGATGTCAAGCTTGTCTGTCTGCTTAGTGATTAGATACTGATGCCTTCTCTCTGTGATAGTATCTGACTAGAGTCCCCTTTTGTACTTAGAAAGGTCCTGCTTAGTCACGTCTGATCAGGCCTGTGATTATGTCTGCAGGCTGATAAAAGGAAAAACAAAAACGCGAAACCCTGTCCCTTTCTAGTATATACGTTAACTATAAAAAAAGACCTTATATAAAGTAGCTTAATAATTAAAAATAGTTTCTATTATTTAAAGTATATATATAAATAGCTAAGTATTACCTTTATATATTATTATAAAAAGTAAATATTACTTCTTTTTTTAATATACTAATAACTAATTCTTAGCTATATAATATATTTATTTAAATAAAAATAAATAAATAATAAATAATATTAACTTAAATTAACTAAAATACTTTAATTAATATATAAGGACTTATATAAAAGGTTCTTATTAGCTCTTAATCCTTAATAGCTATAATAGCTATAAATTAATTAACTTTAATAAATACTATAAAAAATAAAATATTATTACTTTTTATATACCTTTTTATTTATTATATAAGCTTTAGCCTCTTAATATTAAATACTTTAGCCTATTAAAGTACTTATATAATAATAAAATTCAAAAAATAATATAAATTTAAATTTTATATATTATAAAAAATAACTTTTTTTTTGCCTTTAAAGTAATATTTTTTATTTTAATAAATAAAAATAATATATAAACTAATTTTTAATAAATAAACCTTATACCTTTTAACCTTAAAGTAGTTATTTTTTACTTAGACTTTAAGCTAAAAACATTAAAACTATTTAGCTTATAACTAAATAGCTAAGACTCTTAAGACCTTAAAACACTAATTATAGTACTAAATAGTATATAAAGTACTAGTTCTTTTAAAAAAAAAATCTAATAGTATTAAAGTAGCTTATTAATAATAATATATAAAATTATTAACTTTTAAGCTAAAAGTATTAATAAGTTAATATATAAGTTTATTTTTATTAAAGCTAAAAAAAAAAGTATTATATAGTAATAAAAATATTAAATAAATACTAAAAAGCTAAAAAGACTTAACTATATCTTAGAAAATCACTTAATACTACTAAAACAAAAGTACTATAAGTAGAAAAAGATAATATTAATACTAAAAGAAAAAATAACCCCTAGAAAGAGGGTTATATAAAAAGTACTAAACTATACGTATAACAATATAGCAATTACAGAAAGCCTAGATATAATACATAAATATATAAAGTAGTTTAGGATAGTAATAAGGAAAAGGGCAATAAGTAGTTTTAATTAATTTCATACGTTATAGCTAAATTGACTTATATAAAAGGTAAAAGAATAAAGGAAAGGTAACAACTCGCTATAAGTAGTAACTCGCTATACAGATACGTTAAGCTAATTATTATTACAAGCCTTAACAATATAATATATTTTTAAGACGTTATAAATATTATTATTTAGGTTATAAAAGGAATAAAAAAATGTAAGGCTATATCTTATAAGAAGCTAATGAAAATAAGCAAATAGCGTAAAGGTGCTACTAATGCTTAGAGCTTTTATTAGCGGCAGCAGGATGGCAGTATTTGAACCGGATCGGCGGGTTGGTTGCTTGACGGCGGCGTCTCGGCCCGGGGGACGTCACGGTCGACGTCAATTTCGGAGGCGGCTGGCGGGGCGGACGAGTCGGAAGTCGGAGTGTCTTCTGTAGTCATGTAATGGAAGGCCATTAGCTGCTACGGCGCCAGGCCGAAATGAGAATCAATGACAATAAAAGTTCCATAAACACGATACAAGGCCATAGGCCCTAATTAACTTATATAAATGCAAAGAGAGTAAGTAAGAGTAGCCTCCTCACTATGCATGTACGTTATTAAAGATTGTTGCTAAAAATATTGATAGTAAAAGGGCTAAGAAGCAGGGTATATTGTCTCGCTAAGGTTAAATATGGTATCTAGAAAAATACGAACAACAGAAATCAGGACGCTCTTTTCTCATCATCGCTCCATACGCTCATCATGGATAAGAGACACATTATAGCGCTCCTCTCCTTGCCATACCTTGCTCGCCGAGTTGCAGTGCGCCACAGCAACACGAATATCGGACATTAACCCTCCAGGGCCACTGGCGAACACTGCCGTCCTTCCTGAGACGGTTGAATCCACAAACTGCCGCACAACTGTGGACATATCGGGGTGCCGAGGGGCATCGCTAGAGGTCACCTCGCCCATTGATCTGGTCGAAACCTGCACTTGCTTTTCTCCAGAGCCTCTGCCAGCATCGGACGTCGACTCGGACTCGGACAACTTGTTAGATTCCCCTGATGCGGAAACACTGTTGCTGCCATCGCGTGTTGCGAAGATGTGTACGATGACTTTGGGTCCTACCTCGGCATCCAAAGCATCTAACTCAGGCTTGATCCATTCAACGTCCTTCATGTGACGCACGACCCAGACAAGCTCAAGCTTCCGTGAAGATACAGAGTGCTTCTTCAAGGTCATCAAGGTGGGAAGAACATATGTGACACCGGTTCCACCTGCGACACAGAGGATATTGACATCCGATGTGATGTTGCGAAGAATTGGATCACCGTATGGTCCTGTTAAGATGACCGAGGTTGTGGGTGCTGCTTCGCCTTTTCCTCCCGAGGCGGCTGCCAACTTGCGGGCTGCGATCTCGGCAACCTTCTTGGTCTCGCCGCCTTTGGCACGGAAGATGTAGGAGTGCTTCGTTCTGCCATTCACCGTAACCGGGGCGTTCAATGGAGTAAAGGGGTGTGACTGCCAGATGCTGCTCTCAGTGAAGCACAAGTAGAAGTGCTGGCCAATGTTCCACGCATCATGGGGGTGAGAAAAGTCCAGACGGACCACGTCGCCATTTTCGGAATCCGAAAAGACGGTCATGGCAGCCTGCGCGGCCGAGAAACCCATGCCCCTGCCTTCGATGAAGTTGTGATGCATCAAGGCGGTCCTGACAGCGCGGGCAGCACGATCCAAGAACCAAATGACAAGAGCTGGGATCATGAAGCACTCCAGGTTCTTCCAATGGCCAATGCAGGCGCCAACGTATAACATAGCAAGGACGTAATGGGACTTGCGGAAGAACTCGTAACCGGTCAACCGGATGACGGGGGGCAAACTGAGGACGTAAAGCGCCATGAGGAAGAACAAGGCGATGCAACCCCAGATCATGTAGAGCTGGGAAATCCACTCCTCGGCAACAGTGGGCTGAGGCTGATACAGGCGGACCTCGATGACCAGCCAACCAATGGTGTGCAGAACAGACTGGACGACGATGATGTATCCAACCCAACGGTGAAGGAAGTTAAAGTTCTGGTACGGGACCCCGGTGAGAAGCGACAGGATAGACTCCCGGGTGGAGAAGAGGACGGACAGGGGCGTGAGGGCGTAGGCAAGGACTCCGACACGGTCCGACCAAGGACCAAGACTGACTCTCGTGTTGTATACGCCAGGCATCTTCTTGACTGGCGTGATCCAGGTGTTGTACACGATGCCAACAAACGAGAAGATGAGGAGGTATCCCGCCAAGACGGTGAGAATCAGGACCTGGAGGCGGGTGGTTCGGCCGAAGATGGGACGGATGCAGTCAGGAAGCAGGTATCGGTTCGTGACGGTCGAGATTGTCTGGCGCAGGCGGTTGAAGAAGCCCTTACTTGCGCGAGTGTCCTCGAGAAGAGCGGCGCGGAGTACGTCTTCCTCGGAGAGCCCTGGTAGCGCCCGTCGACCTACGGCCCATACCAATAAGATACCTCCAATGGTAGCCCATAGAATGCCAACGTACAACATGCCGATATCGTGGGAGTTGTAAACGACGTCGAGGTAGGCACAGGACCCTGCATCATTCGTGCAGGGGATCGCTCGGTCTACGTAGCCCCAATGGGGTTCTATCGAGGCGGCCTCGCTTATGTTCTGAATATGACGAGCCGCCAGCTGGCTCTTGAGATGAAAGTCCATGTCGCTGGATGACGGGCGTCGTCAAGTAACCAGCCTTACTGGTAATCGCAGGAAGAGGGGGATGACAGGTAGGACAACGTGCAGAAGACGTAAATATAATAGCACCCAGCACCGTCTTCTTCGATGAATTCGTCGTCCGAAGGGATATGACAACAGACTGTCAAGAAGTCTTACAAGCTGGCATCTGTGGCCCAAGTGGTCGTCAAGTTTACTGCGTCCCAGCTGGCGTACGATGTTGTCCAAAAGAAGCTGGAGGACACTGTAGAAATGTGTGTGGCTGGCAGGAGAGATAAAAAAGATATTGACAGCCAGCGGGATGATATGAGCTGAGAGGGACGGGATGAGATGGCAATGGTCGAAAAGAGGCGGCGGCCGGCGACGCGGAGACTCTTAAGGCTAAACAGACGGGTGGCACCGACAATGTGGTATCGTTGCATCCTTTGCATGAGAAAAACGGGACGAGGCTGGATTTGAGAAGGTTTCCGGGACGCCATGCGAGCCGTGGTCGTGTTTGGGAGTTTCCGGTGGGTGGCTAGTTAATGTAGGGGCCTTGGTATGTTTCCGAGTCGGGTGGGATTGGAGGGGCGGCTCCGCGATGTTTGGGATCGGACGAGGAACCGGGAGGACCGCACTAGACACGTTTACACGAATTCATTGGCACGTTCACTCGTGATGGTGCGCGAGTGGGCATCTTATCCATGTTAGCTACCCACTTGTCGCGTTTCTTCTTGAGCAAGTTTGTGTGTCATTAGGAATGGCCGAGCCATGACGAGCCAGGCCGGAGCCAAGTCCAGCGGGAAATGCCTAGAGCACATCTGGGCTCAGTATGGCATTTGAATTGGAAGAAGGGTTATGGGTCTGAGTCTTGAATCTAGCTGGGAGTGGGCCAAGGCAAACGAGTAGTACATATCATATGTGGAATCAAGAGCGATGAGGGAACAGGAAAAGAATGTAAAATCCAAGGGGCTGCGATTGGGCAATGGGCTTGGAGGTTTGGGCAGAGAGACAACGAGTGAGACGCTCTGAGCGAGCTAGTGAGTAAGTGACACGAGCGAGAGGCACCCGAATGGGCAAGTTGAGCACCTTTGAGCAAGTTTCTGCCGGAAAGCGGGGCCCGATCGGGGCCAGTCGCGGAAACGGGGACCATGTGGGGAGCGGACCCGGGGTGGCACGAGCGTTGCGGCTCTTGGGGCCGTCAAGGCCCTTCCCTTTTCTCCTTCCATCTCCAAGTCGGGGGCTGATATAACTGTTTAAACGAGCAAACAAGCTCTGCTCAGCGTGCAAGTCCCCCCCAGTGCTGAGTGGCCATTCGCCCCAGCAGACCTGAAAGATGTGGGGGCCATCTTCAATCCGCTTTGGTTTCAGTGGCGGGCGATGGGCCCACTCCAGTTTCTGCCCTACCTTAGAGAAGTTACGCATCAATTAGAAATCCCACCGTACTAGGTAATTAGCAGGAGCTCGAAAGAGATGCGATTCTTGGCAAACCGCAACACGTGTGGCTTCGGATCACTTGGCAGATGCGCAAGTTATTACATACGCTAAGACGGCCGAGATATCGGCAAACCAGTGCAAGTATCGTGAGTCGTGATTTCCCTCAGCAGACACCGCCAATGCTATCGGCGAACCAACTCGATTCAGCATCCTCAGCCACCCCTATGTCCAACTCGAGTCCAACCCCAGGTTAGCGTGAGCAAGATAGAGGGTCCCTTGCGCGTATCGTGCTCACAGCACCGGCCATAGTGGCAACTTGTGTCACTTGGCGTCCCGTCGTCCAATGCCCAATCATCCAATGTCAAAGTCAATGGCACCCTACCCTTTTGCCTCTCTCTCTCTATCGTCAGGCCCCGAGTGGTAGCCTCTTTACTCTCGCAACTCTCTCTTCCCTTCTCGTTGAAGCTTCACCCATTCAACAGCCCTTGCCCATGCTCATGCTCTCCATCTTGCCACTCTTGAAACTTGCGCGGCACCACCATTCAATTGGACTAGGATCTGTCAACCGCTTCCTTGGCCCTTGCGCTAAAACAGAACTGAACTCAATCCCAATTCTCCCTCTTTCTGTCGCCGTTGCAACTACTGCCGATGTCGTCCGTGCTGATGCTGCGGGGCTCCTGATTCCCTCTCCTCCCCTCTCCTCACTTGCTGCCCCAGCACCCAGACCAGGGTGGTTCAGCCATTCCTGCATAGATATCAAGCAAACTAGGCCCGGCGACCCTTACGCCGCCGCATGTCACGTCTCCCTCCGACTGTCATTTTTCTGGTCTTCCTCGGCAGATATCAACTCGATCTAACCTCACTTCAACCCGCGACACTCCACAACCACCACAGTCGCACTCAATCACGGTCCTCGTACCTCACGTAACTCTCGAATCTGGCGATTCTGCGGCGCTCCAATACACCCACTTTGCAACACCTTGATTTAATTCCGATACCTCTTCGAATTGCTGCGCTCTAGCCGATTCCATCCCCCATTGCGAAGAGCTTCTTTCGGCGTATCGTCTCTCTGACGGATCGACGTGACACCTCACCTTGGATTTGAGTATCTTCGATATCCAACCAGCCCATCATGGATCATGGCTCAATGAGTAGTTCCACGACCGACTGCAAGATGTCGGTATGTCACTCTCTCCCATCATTGCCTGTATATCATGTTGGGATAGCCTGCTAACATGCCGTTAGATGTTGTGGAACTGGTATACCATTGATGCTTGTACGTATAACGGAAAACGCTGTCGCCGATTGTTGCAGAGTCCCGGGGCCTACATGACCTGTAAAATAACCCATGCTGATCGTCGCTTTCAGGTTTCCTCTCCGAATCATGGCAAATCAAGAACGCCGGCATGTTCGCCGCCAGCTGCATCGGCGTCAGCCTGCTCACCGTTTTCCTCGAGGTCTTCCGCCGCCTCGGCAAAGAGTACGATGCTCTGATCCAGCGCCAGTTCCAAGCTCGCGCCGCCGAGCTCCAGGCTCGCATACCTAAGGAGACCAATTGCTGCGAGCCCCCGGCTGTCGCGGTGCCACAAACTCTTGTCTTCCGCGCATCCCCGTTGCAGCAGCTCATCCGATCCCTAATCCATGCCGCCACCTTCGGTCTCGCCTACATTGTAATGCTGTTGGCTATGTACTACAACGGATACCTCATCATCTCCATCATTATCGGTGCTGGCCTCGGCAAGTTCCTGTGTGACTGGCTTGTGGTCCGTGTCGTCTTGGAAGCTCCCACGGCATCAAGTCCCAATATTTCCGGCATTGAGGAGCCGAGTGTATGCTGCGGTTGAGTGGAAGGAAGTACATGAAATGATATCGCTTGGGGCGTTTTGATTTGCGTCATGATCGGGCGTTGGTGCGCTGGGACTGTTCGTCACCCTTGCATTATGGGACCTCCATCGTTCCGATCGAGTGGAGAGCAGGCACGAGACCATTGAGATAAGTGGCCTGGCGGCTCTTCGTATAATGAATTTATATACCCTTCATCTTATGCATGTCAACGTTTCAACCCACATCGCAAAGGTGGAAGCGTTAAGCACCGGGACTGGACCAAATGCTGTCCTTGTTTGCTTACACCCAACTCTCTTCGTGTCAATCTTGGCGACTCAAACGTTTGCCATCGCTCTTCGCCATAGATCTCGCAACCTTGCTGGATATCGATACAGAGGTTGTGCTGTGCTGATTCCTCGAGGGAACTTGGTTTTTCTGGCCTGTCTCCTTGGTATTGAAATAACCAACTTTTCACTAAAGCGTCTACAAGATTCATGCATGATATCGTGTTGCCTCCACCGTGTGCAACATTACACAACTGTTGCTCAGTTTCCTGATCAGACAGAACGACAAAGTCCCAGACGAGTTTCGACGAGGCTGTTACAACTACACCTGACAAAGGCTAGCCACAGACGATGACAGGACATAATTAGGCCCGCGAAGCTGATACACCACTGGTTCTGCAACACCCCCCGCCATTTTTTTATTTTGGTTTCTTCCAAAGCTACCATGAGAGCCCCTTTCCTTCCATTTTGGGGTTGTTCAGACAGGGAAAAACAAAAACTATTCACATCCCCCCCTTTGCTTGACCAGGGCTTCCTCACTCATATCTGCTCGACACAAAGTCCGTCATGACCATACAAAGCAAACGCTACAAGAGTGCCCCGGGGAGCTAGACGGTCCCTGATAGGATGACTCCGGACCGAACAGGAAAGACATTGAAACATTACTTGGTTCATGCATTATACGTTGCCAATGCAACCTTAGGAAGCAGCACGCCTGCCAACACAATTCCTGGCTGCCGCTGGGAAACACCTAACTGTACCTCGCCATAAATTGTGGCTTACGAGAGGAACTTGGCACCCTCCTGCTTAAATAGCCAATCGCTATTTGCGTCGACCATGAAGTTTGTAATGTTGAACTCGTTGCCTTGCGGAGCTGGGGCATTTGTGCTACCATTTTCACTGCTACCGTCCATCCCAGACGGAGCTCCGTTCTGCCCATTAGCGTTACTCATGCCGTGCTGGATGCCGACGATGTTCTCATTGCCTACTGGCAACCGTGGCACGTTGAAGAAATCAAAGACGTCCAGATACTCAAGCTCATTTGGTGCTGGCGTCCTCGCTGGCGTAACGCTTGGTAGACGGCTATGGTTAGGCATACCATTCGCACGTGGTTGTCGAGAAATGAGAAAATCGAGGTCAAACGCCGTGCGCCGCATGTCAGCCAGTATCTTGACCGAACTGGGAGTGACACCATCGCCTTGCCGCTCACTATCGCGGTGTTCATCGAGGACACGTTGCAGAAGAAGGCAGTAGCGCGCTGCCACCGGCCAGTAGCGCCCCATTTCTCGCAATGTCTCCACGAAGAACCGGATCTGGGGGGATAGCTTATGCTCTACGGTAGAGCCGTGGACGAGCAGTAAACGCGAGGCAACCCATAGAGTGAAGGCGAAAGGCGGGCCGAGCTTTGCCAAAAGCCCGTTATTGACGACGAACTCGCCCAGAGCCGCGATATTTTCGACCGCACCATGACAACGCTGCGAAGCACTGTATGAAGGAGTGAAAATTGGTGACCGAGTGGTGGGATATGCAGCCGAGGAGTGCAGCCGTATCACCGCAGTGTGATAGGTGGCATGCAGCATCACCCATCCGCAGTTCAGCGTCTTGTTTCCGGGCTGAAATAGCTTGGCCATATTGCCGTATTCACCGGGAAGACCGAACTTCCATGAAGTAAGCATGTTGTCCAGCTCCTTGTACCGCATCTGCCACTGCTCCACGTCGCTCAAAGCGCTGATGTCAACGGGTTGCTTCAGAAACTTGTGGATCTTGGACAGTATCGCTAGGATCTCTATGTAGTACGAGAAAGCTCCTAGGTTCTCTGGCTTATTAATGTCGTACTCTGGATTCGTGTCCTCCGGGTGGTCATGGGTTCGGAACCACCGTGTCTCGACCTTTTGATTCTTTATCCACAGATCATCTCGACATGGTAGAGTCCTGTCGATCTCCTTGTCATCCAGCGCGAATTCGAAGGCAGTGGCCAGCGTGGCGTACCGATCCAGGAGATATATCATCCAGAAAAGCCGCCGTCTGGATTCTTCCTCGATGAAGTCTTTAGGTTCTGGCAGAATCATGGCCCTGAGGGTATAAATAGATGTGAAGTTTGGCGAGACCGAGAAAGACGTGCTCTCCACGGCCAACCCAAGCTGCACAACCGATCTCGTAATCAAGGCCATGATGTTCCAACCAGGAGGGCCATTGCTGTTGCCAACCAGGTCGAGAGCAAGAATTACCAAGGCTTGCAAGGCTTTGACTGAAGAGTTTTCCATGCCGAAGAGCAAGACTCTTTGCTTGGAGATGGAGTGATAATGTTGCCTGCTCTCTTCGGTAAGTCTTGAATCAGTCGAATACCGCAGCGTTGTGGCCACGATAGCGTGGAGGAGAATACGATCGCTTTCCTCCAAAGTCGAAGGCCCAAACAAAGAGTCCAGTGTTGTTTTCCTGTGAAGAATAGGACACCAAGTGTTGATGTGCTTGAAGTACAGATCGACCAGGGCATAGAGCAGATCATAAGGCGGCAGCTCCTGCTCAGGCGTTGTCGAGACCTGGCTCGGCGCCATGGCAAGGTCCGGAGAATGAAGTTGTGTTTGGTTCGTCCCATAGTACTCCTGAGCCGCGCTGCTAGGGTGCGACATGGCAGAGACGTGGCTAGCCGGTGCGGGCATGCTGGTCATGGGCATCTGCCCTTGGAAGTCATGCATAGAAGGAGTTGGAGGTGGCATCCCAAACTCCATAGACTGAGTAGTTGGCGGATAAGAAGACGGCTTCTGAAGGAATAGAGCCGTCTCAGCCTGAGGGGTCCGGATCGACTCGGACGGCCTAAACAGGGCATTGGCTTCCCGCGGTGTGCCGTGGTCACTTGGCAGACTGGGGTTGCTATTCCGTATGCTTGGTGCTGTGCCGTGGTGTTGGTTGGAGGTTAAAGTGGCCTGAAGAATCTCTGCATGGGCTCTGAGGATCTCCTCGAGTTTGTCCAAACGCTGCTCCAGCTCGCGTCCATAGCCAGCGCGGAGACCGGGCTTCTTGCGCTCCTTGTACTCGCACAGTGCACCATTGCGACTACACCAACCGCAAGAGGGCTGACCTCGGTCACATTTTACCTGAGAGTGGCAGCAAATTAGCCACAGCTTTTGCACATGTAACTAAGAGACAAGGGGCTTTGAGGACAAGATTGGTTGTAGAGAGAAAGCGAGTTGGGGGTAAAAGATGAGTACCAGAAATAATGATAAGTAACCGACGATGGAAGATTGAACGGGTAGAGACAGAGATGCAAGGTCGAAGGGGGGAAGGAAAAAATACTCAACAAAAAGAATACGAGCGAGGGGGGAATGGAGGGGGAAAAGGACGGAAATGAACACTGAGGGCGACGGTACCTTTCTCTGCTTGCACAACTCGCATCTTGGGATTGGATTGTTAGCTTCGGGATTCTGTTCGGAAGGCACAGGCTCGGGAGAAGGTGACATGGGGAAGCAAAAGATGAAGCACCGGGGGTCATATCAGAAACAAGAAAGCAGGTAAGAAAGAAGCAGCGAGGTGTGGGGGGGTGATAGATGCTCAGGTATCCAAACAATCGGGGTTAAGTCGAGTGAGACGCGAAGAAGTTGTAGGGTTGAGTGAAGTGGATTGGACTGTACTAGACTAGGGAACCGAACGACATACGAAACAGATATGGGTCTCTTGCGTTTCCCAAGACGGGTGACATCCTGATCGTCCTGGTCAAGGTCGTTCTCATCGGCGCTATGCAGCTGGTTGCCGTCGTCAGAGTCCTGGTCATTCTGACTATGAGTCTGGTTCTGTTCATGGTTTTGAATTTGGATCTGCTGCTGGATAGACTTGGTGTTAGCTGCGGGCGGTGACCGGCTGCTGAGGGAATGGCCGTTGTGCTGCATCCTCGGTGTGGCAGTCTCCGGGCGATGGCGGGCAAAGGGTAAATCAGCCCCGAGAAGATTTGTCCAGGGAGCGAGTGTGACGCAGAGGGGCGCAATGCGAGAGGGATGGACAGCGCGCGCGCAAGGAGAGCGATTGCGCTGGAGTTGCAGGCGTTCGTGTGAGATGCCAACGCGCGGATTCGGGAGAAGCTTGGGAACCTCGGGGTAATGTTGAGCAGAGGGGGGAAAAGGGCACAAGAGGCTGGGGGCGAGTGAGATGAGGCTCGGGGTATTTTTGTTTTTCTGTCCCACACGTGCCACGGAGGGGGACAAAGAGAAAGAAGGGTGACAAGGTAGAGAGCGGGGGGATTCGGGGGAAGGGGAAAAAGAGGAGGAAGCGGAGGTGGAGAGAGAGAACACGCGAGCCTGGGATTGGATGAGACGATCGGGGGCCGGGGAGGGGAGGATGGCGAGGCGGGCTGGATCGAGGTCGAATCGCGTCGAGCCGAATTGCAACTGGCTGTGTGCCCAATGATGCCTGTCCAGTACGTGCCTGGATGTGGTCGGGTCCAGGTATGGGTTCGTATAAAGATGGGAGGAGGGTCGCAACCAAGTCGTGAAGCTTGAAAGAAGATGGTGTTCAGGGCAGAAGAGACAGCACGGCTATGCTCTCTTCTCATTGGTGAGCGCGCCGCGTCAACAGGCCTCGGCAGCTTGCGAAATACCAGGTATACTAGAAGGGTGGTTCCTCTGGGCAATTCAACCTGCAAGAGTATTGAGGGAAGCAATCCCGACCACCTGAGCAAGCCAGGGTAAGAAGAGACGACGTTTGCGGGTACCGAGCGAGCCAGAAAAGTTGGGTTCTCTGCCACACTTTGATGTGTCCGATTCCATGGGACACGAGCGTGTAGCGTGAGGTTGTCTCGTGACAATGGCAGAAGGCTCGGAATTGTCGGCGAGACCAAGACTGGGTACGGCCAAGGCGGTGGTGGTATTGGTTGCGCGGCGTTAGGAGTGACTGAAGCAGCAAGCAAGTCTTTTCGGATTGCCTGGTGTCGCTCGGTTGGGGGCGGCCGGGATCGAAATGGATTGTGTGGGGAAGAAGAATAAAGGAAGCACAAGCCCGCCTTGGCCGCTGCCCGCACGAGGAGAGAGCAGAGGAGAGGAGAGGAAAATGGGGGGAATGGAGAATGCGGAGAAGCGCTGGGAGAGAATCACCCGAGGTACGTGTGTATGTACTATGTATCTTAGGTAGGTATTTCGGGGCCAATCACACGGTCGTGTTATAAAATTGTGGAACACATGGTCACGCGACAGCCACTCAGATCGTCACAAACGTGAGTGTGGAGGTGGCTGCCACTTTGGAGATGGTGGCCAAGGAGGAACCCCCCTTGATGTCTGCTTTAGGCCAAGTATGGCCTGCCGCCCGATGTTGCTTGCTTGCTGGCGCGCTGCTGCGTCGACAAACCCTTGGGACGCTTCAGGAAAAATCTGCCGACCTATCAGTTGCCCAGCCCAAAGCCATGCTTATCCGGTCCAGGATTCCGCTGGCTGTGGGCGATTGAGGACAGACTTGACCTTCCCAAAGCTGCTTGATATTGTTAATGGTATTGAACTGCTTGGAATTAAAATGCTTGTTGAGCTGTGAAAGATGCAGTGGCTAATGTCGCATCGGAACAGTACGCGGATCAGTCCATCTGCCCCCCACAAATGCAAAGTCTGTGTGGCCACTGTGTCGTCTCTTGCGCTATAAGCATCGGTGCTTCTACACGAGCTGCAACAGCAGGACAGAACTCCGACGACTTTGCTCTCTCCAGATCAAATGTACACTCGGCCCTCATCAGTGTACCTAGAGTGGTTAGTCGACGATCCACGACAGCGCCATGATCACCACGCCAAAATATCTCATCATGACATGGTGTCGTTCGCTGTGACAGCGAACGAGTTTCACGCCCACGGCCACAAACCTGGAAACACTAGCAAGGAAGGATAAGATGGCATCCGACCTGCTGTCAACGGCAGGGCACATCAAACCACATCACCTCCATGACACTGGGCTTTTTTGCAGAAATCCGGGGAAGCTGAGGTACACTACCTACCTAGGTAGCTGGATTTCTTGTGGGCCGTGATGGACCACATGAACCGTGGGCGTGCCCGGTGGCCGGGGCCCGACAAGGACGACTCCCGATCAGCATCGTAATAGCAACGCCCGGGTGGTTGCAGTGTTTTGGGTCGTCCCACTATTCCGTGCCTCACCATGAGGTGCGTTTAGTGCGGTGGAGAGCCATCCGCCTCCGTCCCTACCTACCTTACCTCCCCTACCTACATACATACCTGTATCTTTTCTAGGTCCACCAAGAATGCGGAGTACCGTGTGTGGAGTCCGGTCATGGATGGCCCGGAGGTGGGGTAGGATGCCTTGCAGAAGCGGCAGAAGTGAATGCCTGGACCACATAGCATTGCCTGAGAGACGTTGCCGAGCTTTCTCAGGCACCTCACAGGCTCGCCAGACAAATTCCGGGGCAGGTCTCGGGCCCAATTGTCCCTCTGCTCCGAGTTCTCCTCTTCTCCCGTGATCGGACGTGCCTGGATCGTGACACTGTTGGGTCAAAACTGGCCCGAGTTGATGTCACTGCATCCTCTACCACGCAGCATGACCGAGGGCGCACTACCAGGACACGACACCATCTGCCACCCAAGTACACATGTAAGCAACCATACGCCAAGGCAATACAAAGGAGCCGCTATCGCGATACCGCCTGTGCTCCCACATCCACGTCCCTTGCTGGTGCTCTCATGCACCTGTGTCGAGTCGACCGTGGTTGGCCAGTTAGCGCCATACATATCTTCCTGCTGCGGCCTTTCCCGTCCCGAGCAACGAGGATCATCCTCCGGCATGTCGATGAATTGGGCGGGGCTTGCTCGGTGAACGGGTGAGGCTCGCCCGCCGCCAACGCCAACCATCACCCACATCTAGGTATTATCATGTATTCGCCATCGTTCTGCGCCATCTCGTACACCCTCCCTCGCCTTCTCGCCGCCTCCATGCCTTGATGCCCGCAGTGAGCCAGGCTTGGAACCCAGTTCAAGACAGATTCGTCCGCGTGCAGGTCCCGCTCCGCTAACCCCTCCGCGATTGGTCTTCGCGAGGAAATGTCCGATTGGCAAGCGCTTGTTTGCACCTTAGCCCGAGAGGTCGTGATATGGCCTGGTGCTCTGGGACCTGTACTCAGTTGGTTCAAGGCGGTGGCGGTTGCCTCATCACGTTATCTGAAGCATTGCACATGAGAGAGGGTCAAGTCTCAATGGCCCTCGCTCTCCGATGCCCGGCATAGGGGCACAAGGGGTATGAATGTGGAGGAGGGGTCCTTTCGCCTATGCCCCCGCGGCTCGCTGGGCTTCCTAGGTTACATGCTCGTCTTGACAGTTTCCGCCCCTCGGGGCATCTGAGACCGACCCCAAAACCTTCATGCCCACTGCAAACCACTCGAGCTGAGTCGACTCTCTGCAATTCCGTCTCGTTAATACCCCCGCAGACCCGAGAAGCTCGTTCTACTCTTAGCGGTCGGCTTGCCAGCTGCACTTCTCCTCATCATATGCTATCGTCTGATTCGGTGCTTTTTTTTTTCCTTTTTTTTTTTTTTTTTTGGCTCTTGCTGACTAGCCTCGTGTGTCTTGGAATTCCCGGCGACGGCGAGTCTTTCCGGTTTTCTTAAAGACTCACACGAATCCCATTCCCCTTCCATTCCTCCCCCTCACTTGCTCTCATCGTCACCCGAAGCCTCCCCTCCCTTCATCCTCCCACGTGATACCTCCTCCTCCGACACACACACACACATACACACACACACACACACACACATATATATATATACACACATACACACACACGCAGGGAAAAAGAGAGAGAGACTCACCCCGGCATAATGGCGTCTGTGAGATCTTTTCCCTCCATCAAGGAGATTCGGACGTACGTCATTGGCGGCGTCGGCTCAGGCGGCGATTACCACAACGTCAAAGGCGGTCACTGGTACGTGTTCTTGCCTCGTCTCTGCAGCGAGCCCGTCCCGACAGCAGGGAAATTCTGAGCTAAGAAATGTGATGGACAGGCTCATTGATAGTCCCATCTCTACTCCGTGTTCACGATGGGAGCAGTACCGCAACTCGAGAACGAGCTGGGGTATCAATGTTCTCGGCTCGTTCCTCGTCGAGATTCAGGCGACCGACGGCACTGTCGGCATTGCCACGGGTTTTGGAGGTACGTAGCTCCGAGTCGCACTACAGATGATGGTTCCAAAGGAAGATGTGGCTGATTGTATTGCACGCAGGTCCCCCGGCTTGCTGGCTTGTCCACCAACACTTCGAGCGTTTTCTCCTCGGCGCTGATCCCCGCAACACCAACTTGTTGTTCGAGCAGATGTACAGAGGCTCTATGTTCTACGGCCGGAAGGGTCTCCCTCTAGCCGTCATCTCCGTCATCGACCTGGCCATTTGGGACTTGCTCGGCAAGCTGAGGAACGAACCCGTATACAGGCTGATTGGTGGTGCCACCAAGGAGCGCCTGAACTTCTACTGCACCGGTCCCGAGCCTACAGCGGCCAAGGAAATGGGCTTCTGGGGCGGCAAGGTTCCTCTTCCCTACTGTCCGGAGGACGGCCATGTTGGTCTCAAAAAGAATGTCGAGTTTCTGCGCAAGCACCGCGAGAGCGTCGGTCCCGACTTCCCTATTATGGTCGACTGCTACATGAGTCTCAACGTGCCGTACACTATCGAGATCGTCAAGGCCTGCGAAGACCTCAACATCAACTGGTGGGAGGAGTGTCTGTCGCCCGATGACACGGATGGGTTTGAACAGATCAAACGTGCACACCCGACGATCAAGTTCACAACGGGCGAGCACGAGTACTCCCGTTTTGGTTTCCGCAAGCTCATCGAGGGCCGCAATCTGGACATCATCCAGCCGGACGTCATGTGGCTCGGTGGTCTCACGGAGCTGCTCAAGGTGTCCGCCATGGCTTCTGCCTACGACATCCCCGTCGTGCCGCACGCCAGTGGCCCGTACAGTTACCACTTTGTCATTTCGCAGCCCAACACGCCCTTCCAGGAGTACCTCGCCAACTCGCCCGACGGTAAAAGCGTGCTCCCTGTCTTTGGCGACCTCTTCCTCGACGAGCCCATCCCCACCAAGGGTTTTCTCACGACGGCGGACCTCGACAAACCAGGCTTCGGACTTACCCTCAACCCGGCGGTGAGGTCGAAGCTCATCTCGGGCAAGTCGCTGCTCAATGCTAGCCCCGTAAGCACCCCTGCCATAATGAAATAACGTCCTATGGATGGTACTGACGAGAAGTATAGGAGAGACCACTCAAGTCGGTGGAGGAGACAGAGACGGAGACGAATGGAACGAACAGCATTGTGCATGACGTAACGGCCAAGGTGCAAGAGCTCACGACTTCTTCGAAATAGAAAAGGCATAACGGTTACACAGGGACGCCAATAGACCAAGAGGACGGATGGCGGCGGGCGGCTGGCTAAGCATGATTTAAGGCGCAATTCGCTGGGCGGACGTGAACCGGCACGGCCATGCACTGTGTACGTGTAGCCCAGATTTCCGTATTGTTCTAGGTAACGACATTGGATGTCTACGAACATGCCTGGATGTTCGCCACGATGAGTCCGTTCAAGTGATTTGAACATGACAAACAATTCTACTCGTGGGTTCGACGACGAAGGTGCCATTCGAAGCCATGTATGTGTATCCTTGGAAACGTAGAAGCTTGCCTTGGTAGCAAAGCCTCCAGGGGCATTTACTCGTGTAGTGACATCTCAGCAGATACACAACGGTGCAGGCAGTTGTCATTGGCAAGTGTGAGTGGTGCGCAGGTGGAATTGGCCTTTGCAACTGGCACGATAGGTCTCCCCGAAGGTGTTGCGGCAGCGTCTGGCTTGTGACAATGGGTTTGTAACGGCCATTGAAACTATAGGTAGTCTGGTCACCCACGCATGACACATCGGAATATCCGGTCATAATCACCCTGTGGCACACCAACCTGCGTCACAGGAACAGTAGGGGGGGAGAGGGGGAAAGGGAGCAAGAATTATTCAAAAACAATTGGCAGACGGAGTGAAGTGCTTGGTGGGGGTGGCTCGCTACAATTGACACCGAGGACGCGGGGTGACGAGTGGGGTTGACGGTGGGAACACGCGAGTCCCAGATCCAGTACCTAGGCAGACTGGAGGATCTGGAACCCCCCCGAACTTGATAATGTATTGTCAGCGCACCCTCGATCGCGTCCCCCGTAGTGTGCATGGGCGTGTGCTAAATGCTTGAGACATTGAGGCTCTCATATCTTGTTCGTCGAGTAAGAGCATGTGCGCGCGATGGCTAGAAGACTGGGACTCGGAAAGAGATATGTTCGTTTGTCGTTCTGAGCGGGACAGGAATCGAAGCGCAAAGTATGGAGAAGACGCGGGGAATACGTATCTCGGTGCCGGACGTCGTTAGACATGGAGCTGCACTTACCCAACGCGAGTCAGGAGATAGGTGTTGACGGAAGGAGGAAACGGGATAAAGGACCCTGAAGCTCGAATAGCACCAAGGGAACAGGCAGGAACGGTGTCTTCCCTGAGACAGCAGTCTGCCAAAGTCACGACGATCAGAAGGCACGATGCTTGGGTGTTTAATGGTGTTGCAACCTGTGGACCCTTCCTCATATGTGTGTGTGTGTGTGTGTGTGTGTGCAATCCGTACACCAAGGCACGATGCGGATGGGTGAAAAACTCCATCGTGATTTCCTGGCTCGGTCGTCGGGTCTCACTTGAGCCGCCCTCGCTGCACATTAACCCCTCCTGCTTCCCCTCCACCACCAACCCATCGTCAACTACAAATAAGCTGTGCCAATCGCCCCCTCGCGCCTGCGCAAACGAAACAACAGGAAGCTCTCTGCACACCCCGAAAGGAACGATCTAGTCGCCAATCGCTTCGAGTTTTTGGTCGATCCCACCTCTCATCATTCCTGGCTCGCTTCGACCATCCATCCCCTAGCTCCGTCCTGAACAGGCTACGTTATCCTGCGATCAATTCCGTGCCTCCTCCCTTCTCCTCGCCTTACCCAACCAAAACTCGCGACATCCTTGCCGTCCCTAGACAGTCCCCCGCACCCGACGTTAATTCAACCTCAACTCCGACGCTGAACTAGACGCGCCGACCTTGTCGAACTACTACGATGGCTCCGACGAACCTGCTCGCTGGCAAGACTGCCATCATTACGGGCGGAACCACGGGTATCGGAAAAGCCATTGCCCTTGAATATATCAAGCAGGGGGCCAACGTTGTTGTGAACCACTTGGGCCTTGAGAAAGACCAAATTCACCTCGATGCTCTCATTGTCGATGCTGCTGCCGCAAAGCAAGAGAACCTCAACGCTGGCCGTCTGGCTGACCAGATTGGCGACGTTCGCGAGCCCGAGACAGCTGCCAGGCTGGTTGCGCGCGCCGTCGAGCACTCGGGCAATGGCCGTCTTGACATTTGCGTCTCCAACGCCGGCATCTGCACATTCGCCGAGTTCCTCGAGCTTACCCCGGACCTCTTCACCAAGACGGTCCGTACCAACCTCGATGGCGCCTTCTATGTTGTCCAGGCCGCCGCTCGCCAGATGAGCCAGCAGTCACCCGCGGGCGGTAGTGTTATTGGAATCTCGTCCATTTCCGCCTTGGTCGGCGGCGGTCAGCAAACCCACTATACTCCCACCAAAGCCGGTGTCCTCAGTCTGATGCAGAGCACCGCCGTCGCGCTGGGCAAGTACAAGATCCGCTGCAATGCGTTGCTTCCCGGCACCATCAAGACACAGCTCAACGAGGAGGACTTGGCAAATGATGCCAAGCGTGCGTATACGGAAGGCCGCATTCCCCTCGGCCGTACTGGTGTGCCGTCCGACCTCGCCGGACCAGCCGTCTTCCTGGCCTGCGAATACCTCAGCGGATACGTGACGGGCGCACAGCTGTTGGTTGACGGCGGCCTTTTTGTCAATCTTCAATAATCGCTGCTAGCCTGGAATTCACTGTTTGTATTTGCATGCCTTGGGTGGTGGTCGGGGTATCCCGCCTGAGAAAAATGTTACAGGTAAAATGAGGAGTGATAAATGAGGATGAGGGATAAAACCGCACCAGATGCGAAGACGGTTTACCGATCCAATGCGCCTTGTCCATCATCAAGGATGAAACGCATCTCCATGGATAAGGGAATGTATGATTGATTAGTACATAGTAGTAAGTGAGCGGTGTCTTTCCGAACCCACTTGCGTGCTCAGACTCTGCCCAGTCACGACAGCCCGTTGATGCCATCCCCCTCCATCAACCCCTCCGTCAACCCCTTAGCCCATTGTTACAGGGCCATGGGCACCCCCGTGCAACTCTTGAATTTCATCCTGCAACGTCTCCCATTATCGTTGGTTTTTGTTTTCTGCCACTGCCCGAGCCGAGCGAGTGTACAGGACGAACAGGACTAAAATGATAGGTACAGCAGCATGTGATAGGTGACGAAAAGCATCCCTTCCTCTCCCCTAACCAAAGAAAAGTTCAAGGCGGGACAGCGTTCGACATGGGTAAAAGGGAAGGGGGGTGCAGATAGGTACAAACCCAGACCCGGCCAACGGTGACGGCATGACAATGCGCGACCGGCGAGTAGCGCGCGAGGCGGCAGCGGGACGCGACATTAATAGCGCCAGGCTGGGGCCTGTTTTTCGTTCGGTCTACTTCCTGGATACGGCTCGGCGGAGCTGGCCGATGGCGTAGTTGTGCAGCCACAAAAATAAAAGGGCAGGGCAGAGATAGGATAAGGAAAGCAGAGGCCCGCGCCGGATGGCAGGCCTTTGCCTGTACGACTGCGCACCTCGCCTGCCTAGGTAGACGAGTGTCAGGCGGAGGTTACGTTGGATGTATACAATTAAGTCCTTTGCATCATCATGAACCTTTCCTGCATCTACTGGACACAACTATTGCACTGAGTGCACCCCACAGTGAGGAAACGCGGAGGGCCGGCGCACAAAAATGAAACCCCCGGATAATAAAGAGGGACAGACCACAAAAGATGCTCGTGTGGATGGTCTGGAGTTGTGTGGTTCTGTGGTCTTGTCCTGTGGTTTCTGTGGTTCTGCTGGAGATGCGGTTCTTCTCGGAATGACATGGAGCACAGATTCAGGCACGTCATTCGCCGAGTCAGGAAACCAGTCGTTGCCCAGTGTACCCTGATAGGATGGATGGATGGATGGATCCATGAACCGAGTGTGTGCGAATAAGTCGCCCGCGACAGGCATGCTTGTCTCAATGCCAGGTTGTTTTTTCTTCAAAGCCTTGCTTAGTTAGCAGGGTGAGTTAATAGTGGTGAGACAAGCACAGTCATGCAAGGCCGGTGTCAGGTTTCCGTGGAACCGAGGGGGTTTCCGGGCCCGACGCCGTTGGAAGCTCGGGTGATTGCCGCCAATGTGTTTCTTACCTAAGCCACAAAGGGTACGGATGTTCCTTCGGCCCGTCTTGCGGAGCCACTGAGCGATGCCCTGAGCCAGTCACTGCTCTTCGCTCGGACCCCCTCTGTGCCGTGCTCTACCATGACCCCGGAGCCTTCCTGCCCTGACGTCACTGCGGACTCCCCGGGGACGTTGACCCGCCTCAGTGTGGGACCCTGCTGGCCACACCAGGGCGCACGCTCCCACACTGAGAGTATTCTTGACGCATCTAAAAGCATCTCCTACCTCATGGTGTAAAGGCATTCTCGCGGCTTTTTGCGGATCGCCGCACTGCCATCGCGACACCCTGCGGGCACCATCCCTGTACCGTACTATATCTCGCTGGCGGGTCGCAGGCACACATCGATAAGAGAGAGTTGGCGAGTACTAGCACGTAGGCCCACACCAATGAGATTTATCGAGTGGCTCAGAGTAGGCTGCGGCGCTGCTCTAGTGTAGATGCTCTGATGCTGACGGTTTTGGACTCTGGAGCAACGGCGATGGGGGGGGGGGGGAAAGGGAGATTCTGGATATGGTTGGTTGCGCCTGCCCTTGGGAAAAAGACGAAACGACGGATGGGGGGTGTGTGTCCCTATTCTGTCCCGTCTTCCCTGGCCCCAATCAGATCTCTTGACTCCGTATCTATGCCCTGACCATCCTTTTACTGTCTGGTCAACTCTGCTTGAGACTTGCAGGGCATATTATTGGGGATGCTGCTGATGGGAGGGAAGGCATGTGAGATAGGGACGGTAACACAGGGCGAGAGAGCCTCCAAAGTCTTTACGCGACGCACCAAGTTCAGGGTCCGATGGGGACGTGACGGCAGCTTGCATGTGTTCCCTCGCCAAGGCCGCCTTAGAAACAGGGTCGATCGCTGCCGCATCGGTCCCTAGATCATCGTCACTTCGGGCATTTCGAAGCCCCTTTCACCTCTTTTTTACCTTGCATCTTTTCTTGACGGCGGAACCTTTTGCAGCCGCAACGAAGGAACCCGAAAAATCCAAGTCTCCACCATGACGGTTGGCAAAATGGAGACGGATGGGGCCTTTTGAACCATGTTCTGCCATCTTGTTGGCGGCTCGCTGGGTGACTCGCTGATTTTGGTGACATCTACGTACATAGACATACGTATGTATCTACACTACTACCCAGACTACGTTGAGTACTGTATGCCAACGCTGCTGCTCGAGGTATCCTGGGAACGACTCCACGGCGGTGAGATGGAGATTGTGGACCACCAACCCACTCCCGCTATTGCCCACGTTGCCGATTCTTCTCCTTTCCACCCTCCCTTCTCTGCCCGTCCAAGCAGTCTACACGCGGTACGTAGTACACTCTGCCGTGGACAAAGACGGACCGCCCGTGTGTCTCTATCCTGTCCTGTAAGAATCAGAAATACCACCATCAGGTAAGGTCCTTGTGTGCTGGTGGATCGAGCGCTGCCTTGGTCCCAAAAAACTTCTCACCCTACTTCGCCTCCACGGTATCCACGGGCCATGCACGACTCAAGAAACTCATCCCAAAGGTACCGGTATCACTGCACCGACCAAGGGCCCGCGTTTGCCTGGTTTTTGCGGAGACGTCCACATGCTGGACAATGTAGCGCAGGGGACCGGGGGGGAGACTTGAAAACGCACAATCGAGAAAGCGAGCGAAGAGAGTCGAGGGGAGTGAGACGTCAGCATCAAGTCAAGATGCTTTCATATCAGGAGTATATAATCCGGTATCCCCCCGTACGGGATGCCTATTTCTAAGTCCATTTCCTGCCCCAGCATCCAATTTCAGCATTCTCTACCTCGCTGAAAGCTTTCGGATCCGGAAGACTTTGCTTTGCCTGCTTATTTCCCTTTTCTCTACTTCTTCACTCCGCTTTTCTAGATTCAGAGCTCGCCTCTTTTACACAGACTCATAATCCGAATCTACCACCACCATCATCATTATCACGAACCGCCCAACATGGCTCCCAATCACAGAGCTTCCTCCACCGGCAGCTTCATCGAGAACATCGTGGCTGCCCGGAAGCAACTGGACAACATGGCCTTGAGCACCCCCGACTCTTCCCTTGACGGCTCAGACGGTTCCCCCGGCGGCTCTGCCGCCTCCTCCGCACTCGGCAGCCCTGCTGGCGCTCTTTCCCCCGTCACCCCCACCAACGACGCTCCCGTGGCCGACAGCTTCGCCTTCGCCTTTGACATCGACGGCGTTCTCATCAGAGGCGGCCGTGCTATCCCTGAGGCCATCGAGGCCATGAAGGTGCTCAATGGCGAGAACGAGTACGGCATTCAGATGTAAGTTCGCTTCCCCAGGGGTTCCTGTGGGTTATACGACCCATTCGACGATCCCCACCAGCCCCACCTACTGCCATCCGATTGCCATTACGAGTAGTAGCTGACACGAACTATAGTCCGTACATCTTCCTTACCAATGGTGGTGGCAAGACGGAAGAGGAGAGGTGTGCTGATCTGTCGAAGCAGCTGGAAATCGATATCTCTCCCGCACAGTTCATCTGCGGCCACACTCCCATGAGGGAAATGGCCGAGCGCTACAACACCGTCCTCGTCGTCGGCGGCGAGGGTGAGAAGTGCCGTCAAGTGGCAGAGGGGTACGGCTTCAAGGATGTCATCACCCCTGGCGACATCATCAAGCACAACGCCGCCACAACGCCTTTCCGCAAACTCACACAGGACGAGCTGAAGAACTCTCGTGAGCGTGACTTCTCCGATGTCACAATTGAGGCCATCTTCGTCTTTGCCGATTCTCGCGACTGGGCTGGCGACATCCAGATTATGCTCGACCTGGCAATGTCCAAGGGTGGCAAGCTCGGTACGCTGAGCGAAACCATGGACGAGGGCCCACCAATCTACTTCTCTCACAACGACATCGTCTGGTCCGCCGCCCACGATAACGTCCGTCTTGGCATGGGCGCTCTTCGCCGCATGCTCGAGGTCATCTTCAAGGATGTTACCAAGAAGAAGGGCAAGCTGCACACACACGCCTTCGGCAAGCCTCAAGTCAGTACCTTTGAGTTCGCGACAAGGCTGCTGCAGCAATGGAGACGCCAGCAGCACGGCCTCGACGCGCCGCCAGACACTGTCTACTTTGTCGGCGACACGCCCGAGAGCGATATCCGCGGCACCAACCTCTACGACGAGCACGCCGACAACGAGTGGCACAGTATCCTTGTCAAGACTGGTGTCTACCAGGACGGCACGGAGCCTGCCTACAAGCCCAAGGCCACCGTCCCCACGGTATTGGACGCCGTTCGCTACGGCATCCAGCGCGAGATTCGCAAACGTGTTGTCTCGTCTCTGCGCAAGGACATCCTCGGCGAGGCGAATTGCCTGCGCGCCATGCAGGAGAAGGACAGTGCCGTTCTGACTCCCCTCGATGAGCGGAGCCAGCCGATTCTGGGCTGAGAGGCTTTGATCATTTTGACAATGCCACGTTTTGATATTAGGGAACTAGCGAGTTTGTTGGGTTATACTTCTGTTTCCACTTCTTTGGGGGGTTTATAGTTCGGATTGGATTGGGCTTATTATTAAGGAGTAACATTGCGATACCACAGGCGTTATCAACAACGAAAATCACGACTAGAGTCTAAAAGTAGACTACAGATTATTGCCAGTAGAATGGAATACTATACACGGGCGCATTAGCCGCCGGGTTTTTTCCCTGTCAAAACTCACAGCCGGATCATTGTTACATACCCATGTGTATGTGTGTGAAGCCCCAACTTGCCAATGTTGCTAATCTCCGGCCATGTGTGACACGTTGGGGTTTTCAGACGCGAAAATTCCAAAAGACGGGCTGGGCAACCAGGAACCCCCCCCCTTTTTCTTCCTTCGGATGCTTTGTGCCGTAGCCACACGCAGTAAGCATCGGCTGTCTTCAGAGTGTATGCGATTACAGTTGGCTCAAGGGAGTTTCTTCACGGTAACAAGACGGGGACACTGATGCCGAAAGAGACTAGGTTGCTACCCGTTGGGTCGATGCCGAGCCTGCAAAACACCGTCATTCTGCGGCCTGGCGCCGCGCCGTCCTCCTGCAAGGCCTGGCCAAGGCCCGGCCGGCGTCTATGTCGGGGCATCTCTCCTCCCTCTTACTCGATTACGTTTCGCCGCATGCAGCCGACTGGTGAACCTGTTACAACACAACTCCTCCAACCAATCCATCCCTCTGGCGCAAACACTAGGAACATTGGGGCTGTTGTCCATCGAGGGCCGCTCCCTCAAAAGGTTCGTTTGTCAGTTACAGATATCCTCATGATAGATTTCCCTGTGGATAAGGTGGATTCGTAGGTTGGCGACGGGGTGGAGGTGCAGAAGGAGGATGGGGTCGTATACTTCTCGACTCCTCCATGTCTGCTATGCCCACACTCCCCTCCTTCCCCCGTCTCCACCGACTTCTCCTCTTCGACCCTCGGGCTCCTCCCGACTCTTCTTCCCCTCATCCCCATCCTGCTTCACATGCCCCGTCGGCTGGTTGGATACGTTGAGTCGGTTGACGTTGCAGTAGCAACAGTAGTAGACTCTGTGAAGGTGAAACTTCCCCACTGCGAAGAGGCAGCCCACGGCGCAGCATCGACGGTTTCCTGGCGCCTTTGGCGGTCTGTCATGGCCTCATTTGCGCTGCAGCCGAGGGAAAACCCCGGGACGCTGTCGCGGTCGATCCTTAGCCAGCCCTTCCAGGCGGCCGTTACATCTCCGGCACCGAGGGCACCGATTACTATAGTCCCCCACCACTCGCGACCGCTGCTGTCGTGGTTGCCGTAGAGCATCCAGTTCTCGGCCGCCGCGACGAGCTCCCGGACCTGCTCCGGACCCGTGCCGGCGCTGCCGCTGCCATGTTGGCTAGGAATGCCCCGGCGGGCCGGACGGTGCACGTAGACATGACTGACATTATCTAGACTGCAGACGAGTCGGGTTGCATCGAAGCGGTGCTCCGTGTCGAGCACCAGCACCGTCTTATCGTGAGGCGGCGAGACGAGTGTTGAGATGAGTGCGTAGATGAGCGGGAGGTGACGGCCGGTGACGGCCAGCGGCGCTGACTTTGTCGCACGAAAATTTCGGGCGATGAGTACGTCTAGCCCGGGGATGGGATACGCCTTTGGATGCTTTGCCTTGCTGGAGGATGCATCCGGACCGAGTGCCGTACGGAGGGCGTTTAGGACCTGAGATTGTTGCAAATTAGTGATCCACAAATTGCAGTTCTTAATAATAACATGCGATGAGAAATTGGTGAGGAGGAAGCAGAAATGAAAGAGGGGAAGAAAGAAAAAAAGAAGTTGGTGATGGTGGTGACGATGACTACCGGTGAAGGACGGGGCAAAAGGTGACTGAGCGTCGTGAGCATTTCGCTGTGGTTCGGTCCGCAGGCCAGAACCTTGACGAAAACACCACCCCATTGTCGTTATTGTACCGAGCACTTGATCGACGACGCAGCACCTTGCCCCGACTCCACGACCTCCACCTCGAGCCAGAAAAGACTGGGTGAAGCGTAATTCACATACCTCTTCTAGGTTTGCCTCTTTGACGTCGCCTAACAGCCTCGCGCCGGCCAGAGCCGTAGCCGAAGACATCTCCATTGTTGCAACCGTAGCGCGCTGCTGCCCCTGCCACGGCCGCTGAAATGTCACCGCCGTGCGAAGCGTTCCCGGTCTCAAAGCTTGAGCTGCACGTCCAAGCTGATGTCAAAGGGAAGAAGCGCAAGCTTCCGGGGGGCGCCGATGTCGACTTGGCCAAGTGTGCTTTGAAGGAGATGACGCAGTATCGGTGCTTCGTCGACAACTCAAAGTCCCGAGACAGCCCGGTGCGATGTTGGCCGATACACCGGCTCTTCCGGCAGTGAGTTTCTTCTTCTTTTTTCCCCCTTTCGTTGATGATGCAGTCTTTCGACATTCCGAATTGCTGACCGGTTGGGGGTTCTCCCTTCCTTGAAAAGATGTCAAGACAAAAAAGGCACGTTCACAGTTGAAACGACAGCATGGGAGGGTTCGAAGTTCAATACCCAGCAGAGCTCCCCAACAACGGGCGCCACCAAGCTTAAAGAAGGACATAGCAACGAGCCGATGTACCATCAATGGTCACAAGCATGGGAAGATGATTGAGTTTTGCAATGAACTGCCGGGACAATTCTTCATTATCGCAACATCATCTATAACCAAAGCCGGTCCAATATACATATATTTACGACCTAAAGATCTCTATCATTTTCCTCTCCTTTCATGTCATTCAATTCACGATTTGCGCAAAATCATGAACACGTGAGCCATCGTCGAACCAAAACAACAGACCATGACGTCTGATTACCCTCCAGCGGGTATCTGAAGTCGGCATATCAGCTGAGGCTCTCGTTGCATCGTATGTAGCTGATGATCGCGTAAGACAGCCCAGCATATCAATAACACAATGCTGTCATTTAACTCCTCTCAATGCGAATCCCCTACGCGACAGACAGTGCGGGAATCTCTCATCCGCAGCCGGTAGCACAATGACAGCAGCGGCAATAGTCTCGTGGACAACGCTCTAGCAAGCGTACGCATACTCGTCTTCGCACAGAAATTATGCACATGTAGAAATTTTGGACTCGATTTGCTGGCGTGTTATGGTACAATCGGGGTCGGTCAACCAGCTGATGAAGCCCGTATCTTGTCTACGACCACAGATGCCCTCTCGGCTCCCGTCGCCCAATCTAACAGATCGCTCTTTTCACTCCGCTACCCCATTCGTCATGCCCAGTCGTCCTTATCGTTTATGCCTTCTGGCCACGGGCCTCGGCCTTCTGTTGCTCGAGCTTGGCGTAGTAGCTGTCGCGGGCGTTCGTGCGCGGCATGTGGAAGCCGTACCTGTCGTGCGGGTTAGCATCGTTGGGGTCCTTTCAAGGTCAACGGGTTACTGTAATGGCGATCGCGTACCAGTAGACGTTGGCCATGGCGAAGCCGAGACCTGCAGTGTGGTTAGCCGGGTGGTTTTTGGACCGCAAGGGAACTGGGCCGGGAGCTGGGAACTGTGCTACGGTGCATGCATGCCGTCGGGGAGGTCGAGATAGAGATCAAGTCCCGATTGAATGACCTCTTACCCGATCGGCAACTAATCGCTTGCACGTCTTCCAGCTATTCCCACGGCGAGGCTTACCGAGAGCAATACCAAGGTCGAGAACGAGGTTGCGTCGCAGCATCTGTCATCCAGTCGTCAGTCAACAATTTGCCCTCTCTGCCTTTCCGCGGCCCCGACGACCGTCCGGAGGGGGAAACCGGGCCCAATTGATGCGGGAAACGTACACCCGTGATGGGCTTAACAGCGGTAGTGCCGGCCATTGTGATGAAGAGTGTTGTGGGAGTTGTGGGAATCGATTGGGCCGAGATTTCGTGTACCAGATGGTGATTTGATGATGCTCAGGTCTTCGGGTAGCTCGAATGGTCTGATGAATTCGCGCGATGGGGTCATCACGTGACGTCAAATTCTCCCCCTTCCTTTCTTCCTTTTGGGTGTTGGCGCACGTCGGCCTAGCTTTGGGTTCCTGACCTTCCCGGCCGCCGACACGTTCCATTAGCTAAGCACCTCAGTGATTGAATCTTCTCCGTCCTGGTTGGCTGGCCTGCCGCGGCCGATATCCTTAGTCCAGTATTAGGTAATCAGAATGCTCGGAGCAACCACGGCTAATCCCCGACACAGACCACGCCGCCTTGGGCGCGACACTGATCGTGTGGGTGGAATCTTCCGATTTGATAGCATTTTTCTTCGTCAAGGGTGCAAAGTGAAGCTCGCTGGCAGTCAATCAGCACAACCAGTAGCAGCCATGAGCCTCAACCTCCCCACGAGGAGGTTAGCCTCGTCCGGTACGTTTGCTTCGAGTTACATGGACACTTTGAATCGCCTTATGTGCCTTCCAATGGCAATCTGCGCCCTGTTACTATGGTCGACCCCTTTAGGCTAACCACAAGTCCTGTAGCTCCCTCGACCCTCCAGTCCATCGCCCGACCGGTTCCTCGATCCTTCGTCTTGCCCCTCCGCCCGGTTACCCAAGTACGAAACAAATGGAGCTTTGGTGGTCTCTTTGGTGGCCGTCGTAGTGGCCGCGGCAGCACCGATGACCTTATGACGGGAGGAGAGAACCTTGACGATCCCAAAGTCCGTCAGCGCTTCGCCCAGCAGCAACAACCCCAGCTTTCCAGCTCCATCTTTGAGGAGGAGGTCGACGATGCCGTTTCCGAAGGAAAGAAGGGTTCTAAAGCCGACATGGGACAGGCTTCTTTGAAGACGCCCGAGACAACTGCCTGGCGACTCGACCCCGATCCGCGAAGCCGTCTCCGCTGGGAGAGAAAGAAGGTCATTCAGATGGTCCGCCGCAACGGCCGCGTCAGTCGTTCAGAGCGCATTGCGCAAACCGAGAAGGAGCTCGCGCACAAGAGTCCCTTCTTGGAAACCAGCGTCAAGAAGCTCGTGCATCTGGCACGTCAGATTCAGGGCAAGACGCTCGAGGAGGCGGTTTTGCAGATGTCGTACTCCAAGAAGAAGATGGCGGCCGAGGTCAAGTACCAACTGGAGGAGGCGCGGGATCTGGCAGTTGTTACGCGTGGCATGGGCATCGGTCCCGGCAAGGCTAAGAGACAGGGTGAGGGTGCGGATACGAAACCTATCAAGATCCAGACCAAGGACGGCAAGACTTTGACCGTCGAAGACCCAACGAGACTATACGTTGCTCAGGCCTGGGTCGGAAGAGGGCCTTGGCGATCAAAGGAGCTCGACTACAAGGGCAGAGGCAGATTCGGCATCATCCAGTCGCCGTCCACTAGTACGTTCGACTGTTTCCTCACTGTGTTTTAAGGTTTCTATTCTTGAGGCTAACCGCATTTCAGGCATTTCGGTCGTGTTGAAGGAGGAGAAGACGAGGATACGGGAGTACAACGAGAAGCTCGCCAAGCAGGCGCGGAGGAAGCCCTGGGTTCATTTGCCTGACCGGCCCGTGACGGCCCAGAGACCCTACTACTCATGGTAGTCGAAGTAGCGACAAACAGCACTAAGAAGATGACGCGCTGCTCGGAGATGCTGGGGGAACCATCCTGTATCAATCAGAAACTGTAAGAATATGTACAATGAAACCCGTCATAGAACATGATCCATTACGCCATACTCGCCGTCCTTCAATGCCCATGGCAGCGATCGAATGCATTTGCGCAGCGAAATCAACGCCCCTTTTGATATAACGCTAAGGTATTTGATCATCCCCTTTCCCGCAACTCGCAAACATTCGTCTAGTCATAATTCGTAACAGAGATGGCACCCTTCCTTCCCCATACATGCCAAAGTTGGGGCTCATCTCATATCAAGCGTCTCGGTGACTGACGTGGCACCATGTCTTCGTATCTTCTCGACCTCATCTCCAGTTCTGAATGGTTCTTCTCCTTCATGCCCAAGATGCCTCCCGTATAGTCTCTCCCAGAACCCGGCATTGGGCCGGAGATCTGCAGGGAGCGTGACTGATTCTTTGGTCGCCTGATGAGGAGCCACAGAGCAAGAGCTATTGCAAGGACGCCGACGCCAGCACCCACTCCAATGCCAATTTTGGCCGGCATGGAGAGGCCTGCAGCCTCGCCGGTCAGATTCTCTGCTCCAGCGTTCGGGGCAGAAGCAGACTGTGACGGCAGGGCATTAGTGGAACCTGACGCAATTGACCTCGTAGTTGTTGAGGACTGCGACTTGGTAGACGTGGACTTGCACACTCGTCAGTTTTCGTATACTCGATAAGAATCAGGGTCATCTACTTACTAGTGTGGTGGGTGCAGTAGTCAGAAGTTGAGTCGCCTGTGCAGCCTCGGTGATGGGCTTACTGGGTGCTTCCGAAGAGGCTGAACTGGCGGGGGCAGACGAGGCCGGAGTCTCGGCTGCGCTGGCCTGAGTTGGGGCAGTAGTGCTTACTGGTGGTGGAGGCGGCTGAGAAGTTGATGAGGGGGCCGTCGGGGGTGTTGTTTGCTGTGCAGCAGGTGTAGAAGGCGGCGGGATTGATGCGGGTGTTGTTGAAGCGGGAGGCGCCCTGGTGGCAGCTATCGTGACATGTCAGTGAGCCCTATACTGGGTCCATGGATGAGAACTCCATACTTGCGCAGAGGCCGGCGACGTAGTCATTAATCTTGGTAGTCTCATCTGCCGCACATGACTGCGCGGCACAGTCTCGAATACCGAAGACGAAGTCTTGTTGCTTACAAAGACAAGTGTTGTCCCCCGATGCGCAGCCGAAGCCCTTGGCAATGACATTGTTGACGCACACAACCTGATGAATAATGTTTTGTTAGCCTCAATCTCATGCATGATGCTCAAAGGCGCATCTGCTCCCAGTCGAGGTCTCATCCCATGCAGTGTAGATCTACAATGGTGATCTTCCCAAGCAGTTACCAGGATAACAGGGACTGGACTTACACCACAAGCTGGCAAGGTGTCCAACTGCGCGCAAACACTACCAAGAAAAGCTGCCACGGCGGCGGCCTGCGCCCAGAATTGGCGCCTCATGACGAGAGTTAGAGGCGCGAAGTTCCGCAGAAGTGAGGAGAGCCCAAGCCAAGCAGGGCGTCTCGGCCAAATAGGAATCTGGTGTGACCAGTATGAAATCTCGAGTCACTCGGGTTGTGTAGGACCGGACCCGTCACAGTGTCGCACGGTAGCTCATGGTCCGACCTGAAGCTGAAGTGTCAATCTCGAACCCGGGCTGGGTTTGGGGTTGGCGCGCGAAGAGGCGTCGATATGCGACGGCCTGGACACAAGTGTGGCACAGTTCGAAGAGCCCAGAAAGGGAAATATGTGAGGCAGATGCCTGGGTGGTCCAAATGACGAAGGAGGCGAAGAAGGCGAAGAAGGCGAAGAAGGCAACAAGAACTTTCGGTACGTCGAGGTCCAGCGGGATGATGGAGGTGGTCTGCGACAAGACCAACTACAAGCGAAGAAACCTTCGAGTTGAGGTCAAAACAGGTCGGGAGGCAGGAGAGGAGAGACGAAACAAGCCGGCCAAGACAAGAATGTAGAAGCAACGGTCAAGGCGAGGGGGGAGGAATGAAGGAGAAAAGGCACGCGTCCGGCGGGGTATAATGGAAAGTGAAGAATGGGAGGAAAAGAAGAACCAGGATGGTCGTTGGGAGACAAGAAAGGAAGAAGCCCACAAGAGGCTCGAGGAATGAGGAGGGAGAGAGCGGGGGGATAAGAGAGTAATATCTCAGATTTAGAGAGGTAGGAGGGATATTGCCGTGTAATGGTATAGAAGCAAGAAGGTGCCCACTTGCGGGAAGGGACTAGATAGGCTAGGCAGACTCGATATGAGCAGGGCCACGCCAGGAAGGGGAAGAGAACAGACGGGAGGACATGGGCTAGATCGGGGATGGGTTGGGACGAGGGTTGGGATGAGAGTCGGGTTGGGGGGGTGGGGGACACCCAAGCCGACGGGAAGGAAAGTACTTGTCCACACCTGCCTCTTATGCTGACTTACACGCAGTTAGCAGGTAGATGGAAGCAAAGAGGGCTGGGGAACGGAAACACCTTCCTCTTGGCGGAAGAAAAGGGGAGAGGGGGGGCCTTCTTGTGGTCAGAGCAACGGGAACTCAGAACACGAGGCAGTGAGAACAGTCTGGGTCTCCCCTTCACTTGGTGTTTGTAGTTTAGCATCAGGGGCCTCGACGTGTTCATGTTCAGTCACCACCGTCGCGCCAAGTAGAGGTGGACGTGTTCTCTTGACAGTTCCTGCTTACAAGACGGACGATGGTGACAGAAAGTGTCGGGCCACCGATGGCCGAGTTCTCAAAGTCGCCCGAAGTGGGGTTCGGCCATCTTGGGTGGTTTGTCGAGAGACGGTCTAACCGCCGCCGTGGTCGGAATAGATAAGATGATGCAAAGCGAGGCAGGCAAGCGAGGGAGGCCGTCAGTTTGGGAAGGGAGGAAGATGATAACGTCACTCGTTGCTATCCGTTCGGGCAAGACACCATCCACGGTCCCTTGCCTTAGGTAGGAAGCAGCGTAGAAACCAGAAAGGGAAGGGGGGATTGAAAGGGTCCGAGGTGTAGCTGCAAACTGCACTAGCCCAGCGATGCAAGAGACCCTGGCGCGCATCCCATCCTGCAGCTTGAAGAAGAGACCAAGATCGTATCAGCGAAAGTGTCTTTTTGCAGCAATTGCAGCTAAGGAGGTGACGGGGTGAGGTACGGTAAGCCGCCGGGGGTCCAGCTTGTCTTGGCTCGGCAGCTAGCTATTACCACTTACGGTAAGTCACAATTCGGATGGAACGCCCCAACTCGGTCTGGATCCGATGTGAGGGAGACTACCGCGTTGGCAGCCTCGACGAGTCCACTTGGTCAGGGGATGCCGAAATGCAAATGGGGGCCTAGGGATGACGTTCAATTGAGGGGGAAGTCAAGGGAACCAGTGCTGCCCTGCCTGCAGACCTACTATGTAATTGGGTAGTTGGAAGAACGGGCCAGTTGAGAGGCTTCATCCCACGTCTAGTCGATTTTTTGCATCTTCCACTCGCATTGTTTCTTAAGGATACTGACCCCCTCTCCCCGAGAAAATGTAGATAACAAATAATGCCCCCAAACCTTTCGGCGCTTCTGCAAAGGTGTGAATATCAAATTCGCATGCGAACCATAGCAGCGTCCCGATACGAGACAGCCCAAGATGCAGCAGATGCAGCGCATAATGTTGGCTCATCTGCTGCGCTGCGAATCCCATAGCTGCCCATATATAGCCGTGCCGTTGTCGTCGTGCTTCTTGCGCTTGCCCCGGCCTATCAGAGCGCCCGAAGCTGTTCCTGACCCTTGAAGAATGCCCGTACCATGTTCGGCGCGAGTATAGTCGGCTGTGCTCCCCTCCCATCTCTGACAGGGCCTTGTCGGGTTGATTGATGGCCCCCCTCTCCGTCTAAAGACCTTGCTAGTCGTCCCCCTACCGTTAGCCAGGGGGTTGGACAGGAGTCGCCCGTAGTCGCGACACGGGGCGCAGTCAAAGCCCAGTGCGGCGGATAAGGTAACGTACCCTGCTTCATGTCAGCCAAGTTGGAGATGGCGGGGAAAAGGGGGCAGCTGAGCGGTTAACACCCAGCGCCCTCCCAGTTTCGGTGCAGACACTGGAGTCATTAGCGGCGACGGTAACGGCGGCAGCGAAAGCAACGGCTGCGTGGTGACCCCCTCTCGACCGACCCCCAGGTGCCCGATGGAGCCATCGGAGTGCGCATCTCTGTCGGTGTCGACCGACGACAACCAACAATGCCGACCATGATCTGCACTAGGGAACTCGTGAATCTTGCCGCCGCAAGCCACTGCACATCACTCGTTCGTCTGCCGGGATCCCCTCAAAAGGGGGGCGGGGGCGTGAGTGTCTTTCTACACCATCAAGTATCAAGAAACTCTCGTTGCTACAAACAAGATATCGGATAGTCGGCCTCGGGCGCATCGTACGACGCTTTGGTTGCGAGCAACGTCGTCGAAAAGGGAACAGCGAAACTGAAGCCGCTATCCGAAAAGGAAAGCTGGAAGCTCCACGTTCCACCAACCTGCATGAAGGATGGGTGCCGGTGCGGCACTCCTCCCGCCTCCCGCCTTGACAGACAGATGTGAGTTATGTAATCATAATCCGATGGTGCTGAGTGCCGATAGAAGAAGTCACACGACGCACGATACGGATACGCACAGCAGCACGCTGGAAAAGAGTCGAAGGTGTTCTCGTGTTCAGCTCCAATGCCTGGCCCTCTATTCATTTCTCCGCACTCTCTCCGTCCCATCATTGCTCGTACATGCTGCTGAAGCAAGGCATCTACCTCTCCTCACGGCAAACCCACCTTCGTCTACACATGTGCACAATCCACTTTTCCCTTTACCTATCTCATCGCCTATGGATAGACACAAGCAGTTAATAAAAATAAAAAATAAAGAGAGAAAAAAGGTGCTCTCTTGGCCCCCTGCCCCCTGTTTCAGCATCCATTTTCTCTCCACAAACAGCGGTCTGAACATACTCGCTGATTTCCCTCACCATCTTTCCCACCACCTGTTTCCATCAATCATCGTCTCTCCCTAGCTTGCGTCATTACAGCAATGCCGGCCTCGCCGGCACGACCCTTTTGCCTCCAGCCCAGCCTCCCGCTTGATCGACAAGGCTAGCACCGTACTGAGCCATATCGACTGAGAGTCGTCACGCTCGCGGACAAAGCCAGAACATATCATCGACAAGGGGACACTCGCGGTACTCGGCCAAAGGCGCGAACCCGCTGAAGCAATGGTGAGAGCGAAGAAGCAATACCATGATTTTCATCAACATTCTCTGTGGGGCACGACCCATCCCAGGTAAACTCATTCGCACACGACAGACCCGTCACCGCTGTCCTCAGTTGCGTGCTGCTTGGCGGGCTTGCTTCTCCTGACCCCTTCATCTAAGGTCAGTTTTCAGCATTGCATTCGGCTGAGGGTCTCGATTGTCGTTAAACCAATGCGACTATTGTGTCCACTTCAAGGTCTCACCGCTGTGGACAATCGAGACAAGCCGCATCCCACACGTAATATGGCAAGTGGACAGAAGAGGCATGCTCCTGGATAGACGCGCCACTGCAAACCCGATTCTAGCGGGCTCATTCTCGCGGAAAGCTGCACTGCAGTGAGGCTGGGTACTGTGCGAGACAGGCATCCCCTGCGCATGAAGCCGTCGGAGAGCGTTATGACATTGGGCCAGGGCTGATGGGCGAGCCTTTTTGACGGCTGCAACGGCCATCTACAATGTACCTCGGAACCCTGTCCCGTCCCCTTGGGACACCCCATTCATGTCTCGAGTTTGATGGCTCAGCCGATGCGTCAATTTAGCCCGTCATGCTGCGCTGGACGCATCTCGGCCCTGTCGTCGACGTCAGTACACAGCTGATCAAGCCTCCTGGACAGGAAACTGTAAGCCTTTTTTATCGGCTTTACCAGGTGAGTGAAGAAGCGCAGCTTCGAGGGTGATTGCTCGATGGTTGGCTGTGGCGGCCGGTACAAGAAGAGGATGTCCATTCGCCAGGCCAAAGGATCGAACGGGGGCGGTTTCGGCCAGACCAAAACTTCCCTTCGGCTTCCAGCATGCCAGGAGGAGGACTACGTAGGCTGTTTGGTGATGATGGCAGCGCCACATACCTCCAGAAGGCATGCAAATCTCACTGCACCGTCGGTCATCAACGAGCCGGCTGGTTGCCTCTGTTGGACCTCACGACATGGCGTGACAGACCCGGGGCGGAGCGGCGGAAAGGGGGTATTGGACGCTGAGTGAACTCTCAACCCGGCCGGCCCCACCGGACCGGACCAAGGACTCCGGCGCTGGGAAAGGAGACCTGCAACTTGCCGGAGGGATTGTGATAGACAGGGCAGAATTAAACCACCAGCTGACCACGTGCACCGTGCCCACAACGACCCATCTCCGGGCTTGGGAGAGAAGAGGAAGAAGAAGAAGAAGAGGAAAGAAGAGAAAAGAAGACAGCCAGGCCAGGCAATCTGACTTGCATGTGTGCGGATGCCCGGCTGCCCAGAGCGATAAAGATGTGAAGCTGCCGAGTGTTTTCCGGGTCCTCCTAACTGGTGTTCGGAGCCAGTTCCGGTCCTGAGAAACTTATATTCAAGCACGGTGAAAGTAATGGAGAGAGAGAGCTGTCGAGTTTATACACATGGCAGCCCAGATTCACTGACACGCCTGGCGTGTTGTGGTACTGTTGAGAAGGGCGGCAGAACATGACTAGCTAGAAGCAGCTTAGACGGGGTGGTACAGTGTTTGTCGACTGTCTTAGAACGAGGAAAGCGAGCCGTCAGTAAGCCAGTGACCTCATCCCACAGGGAGGCTAGTCGTTGGGGATTCCTCGGGATTGCCGAATAAAAGCCGGCTGCGTTAGGTAAGCGGCGTTGTGGTGCTGGGCCAGTTTGTATTGGCTTGGCATATCGATTCTGCATATCGTTATTGGCTATGGGAGATTGGTACCTCTGGATTGATCATTGGAGAAGAGACAGAAGCGCCAGCCGAAAGAGAAGATGAGTATATACACAAGGCTGGTCCGAAGCCAAGGGACACAATATTGGTAGAAGAGAAGGCAAGTGACCGTTATCGTACCATGGTCACGGCACACCGGCATGGCTTTACAGTGCCAAGGCCCAATGGTACCAATACGGTAGTCAGGTGTCTTGCCCAACCTAAGGAACGGCTGGATAGTTGAGACAAACAAGATAGAGTTCAGCCACTAGGAATCTCCTACACGATCTCTCATGGCGGGACGTTGTAGTATCCGCTTTGGGGGCACACCGAGGCGGAAAGATGACTGAAGCCCAGTGTTGGTCAAACTATCGGCCGAAGACGGAGAGTGCGTGGCCGGCATGGTTGGAGAATGAGGAAGCGGGCCGCGGGCTTGTAAAGGTGCGCTGTTATTGTGGTACGTGTTGGCCCAGGAATAGGCGGGTTTTGGCGCGCATTCCACATTTCATCTCAGTCTGGCTCATTCGAGGATCGAGTGCGCCTTACGTGTGCATGAGGTAAGGAATAACAAGTAAGGTAAGGGAAATCCATCAGTCTATGCGTTGTAGGCGAGCAGGAAGACAAAAAGGAGAAGAGACAACGCGTGTCGCTTCCGCGTAGCAAGCAGACAGAGTCTAGTTGCAGCCTTAGTAAAGAGGTATATCGAGTGGGGGGACAAGGCGCGAAGCGCATCCAACCCCATCCGCTCTCTAGCGTTTTGTTTCGCGATCAATCGAGCTGGGCGTTTCTCTGTGGCGACGATGTTTCTGGCCTAAAAAATGTCTGGCTGCGTCAAACTGTCTAGCGCCGCGGTGTCAGTGTCTCTGAGCTCGTTGTGATGCTTATGTCATGTCAACGTCGAATGCCATTGGGCGTTGAACTGCGGAGCCAGAGAGCCCCATACAGTGCCCAAAGGGAGACAGGCGCGGGAAGAAGTGCTTAGTGCCCGTGCCTCGTTATTACAGTGTGCAGTGTGCAGAGTGCAGCGGCCGTGCGGAATGCCACCTTAAATCCCCAGTCCATCTCGCATTTTTTTCGGGGCTTTGAGTGAGGAAATCCACTGGACCAGCCAGAAACCTAGGCAATGGAACCTGCCCGGGCGCCGCATCCTAACTTACGCAGTATCTACAGTACCTAGGGTGCTGAGGTACTGACCAAGGTGCTACGTCCCGCCCTGCCGCCCTGCCGCCCTGCTGGACGGACGGGACGCCTCGCACGAGATTCCAATTCCCGTTGACGCCTCCGATGCCTTCTGTCCAGTCAATGTCGGTCAGAAATGTCCCAGAAAGCGGCACCCCCCCCACCCTCCTAAAGTTCCCCCGGCGTCTGGACCGACAGTGTTGACTCTGACGACAGACACGGTACATGTTCCAGTGACGCGCGCGACTTCAACATTTCACAGGTTAGGTTCCCCGGCAGGAAAATCAAAGGTACCCACGTAAGGCGAGTCGGCTCAAATTTGACCAGCTGCACCTGCGGTACGAGGAAGCCTACGAGGTCCCAGCGAGTGGGAGGAAGAAAAATGAATGAAGTAGAGGGAAAGAGAAAACAAAAAATAAACACAAAGAATAAGGGCCCGAGGATCGACAGACTACCTAGCTAAGGTGGCCTGCTGCTCGAGGGGGAGGGTATACACTAATCCACCTGCTTTGGGAACAAAATAGGCACAAACAAGTGCAGCCTCTGCCTTTCCCAACTTTCTTCGGCCTCCGCCCTACCCACTGCCCGAACAGCAGCAATTGATTATCTCTGGGTCTACGCTACCTCCCGGCGGGTATCTGTGCTCACCGTTCACCGTGTGCGGGAGAGAGAGAGAGAGTGTGTGCCTGCTTGGGTGCCTGTGTTGTGCTTGGCTACCTCCGCCCATCTACACCTTTCCCCAGCGCGAATGAATCCTGTCGACCACTTTTATTTTTATTTTATTTTTCAGAGCCAACGTTCCCTTTTCCCCTTACAGACAATACATGACAGGAAAGAGAGCAGGGCACAGCAGAACTGTATCTCGCCTCGCCTGGCCTCGCCTCACTTCACAATTGCAACGCCTCGTTGTCGCGAAAACCCCGTCTTCCGAACTGCGGTTCCCTCAAAGTCAATCTGTCCAGTACCGCATCGGCCATTGCCTCGCTGAATCTTCGTATCGACTTCAGCCTGTCGCCGTCATTATCGCGGGTCCCAGCAGTTTCCGAAGCTCCATTCTGGCCCCTACACACCTACCTCCTTCTGCTGTACCTACCTTACCCGCCCGACCGGCCGTCCAAGCTTTACTTTTCTTCAACAAAATCTCCACGTCCGCGTCCCCCTCGTCGCACGCCCTCTACTACTGCTACTACTACTACCACAACCACCACCACCGTCATCTAAAAATAAAATAAAAACACATACACAAACACACACACACACACACACACGCCACCGTTGAATCTCGCGCCCGCCTGCACACCTCCGCCAGGGCGCCGACGCAAACAAGGACACACATCTACTTGACGAACGCTCCTCCCATGGTTCGTCGGTTGACGACCCCACGATTTCTGCAAGATGGCGACCCTGCCGGTAGGGGAGGACAAATGGCTCGACTACGTCGCTGAGAACAGTCGGCACGCCAACGATTTGGAGAAGCGTGTCCACGTCATTGAGCTGTTCAAGCTTGCTGTCGAGGCCGAGCCCAACAGCGTCCGCGTCTGGCGCGCATACTGCGACTACTTTTGGTCCTTGTACGTCGCCAGCCAGTCCTACGAGTCGGGATGGTCCGACGAGGAACGTCACATGGGCTGCGAGCTCTTCTCTCTCAACGCTGCCCTCAGCCTCTGGCAGCAGGCCTACGAAGCTATCCAATACCGCATCAGCGACAGCCACGAGCTGTGGGATCAGTGGATTTCCCTCGAGAGCGGCCTGCTCGCCCGCTCGCGCACCGCCGAGGGCATCCGACGCATCACCTACCTCTACACCGACCGCCTGCAGGTCCCACACGTTACCCGCGACAACACTGCGCAAGCCTTCTCCGAGTTTCTGTCGACGTATAATAAGGCTGCTTGGGAGGAGACGATGCAGGGCGTGACCGCCAACCCAAAATCGCAAGAGGCCAAGAAGCTCACAGAGGATCGCGACATGTTCGAACTGAAGCTGAAGCAGGCCTCCCGCGAAGGCAAGGACGACCTCTACCGCAACCTGCTCAAGGAGTATCTCGAATGGGAGTGCGCCCAGAGCAAGCGAAGCAACAAGCAGGCCGAGGCTACTGGCGACCTCTGCCGTGGCCTCTATGCCAGGGCCTTGACGGGCGTCTTTGCCTTCGACGACACCATATGGAACGAATACGTCCGCTTCTTGTCCACATCCGGTACCTATGCGCAGTCGCCGCAAGGCATGGTGGACGTTTTGCGGCGCGCAGTCGATCACTGCCCTTGGTCGGGTGCGATCTGGTCGCGCTACATTCTCACAGCCGAGGACGCCAAGCTCCCCTTTAACGAAATCGAGCAGATCAAGCACAAGGCCACCAGTAACCCCGAGCTCTACAAGAACGGCATGGCCGCACTTCTTGACATGTACGCTGCCTGGTGCGGGTTTCTCAAGCGCAAGGCCATGGATCTGAATGCCACCGACGAGGACGTTGACATTGCCGACATGGGATTGCGCGCCGCGCTCGAGTTCGTTGACCAGGCCAAACACCGCTACGGCGACAGCTACAGGGGAGACCCAAACTTCCGTCTGGAGCGCATCTATATTCAGTACCTGACGGAGAAGAAACGCAATGTTGACGAGGCCCGGAGCGAATGGCACAAGCTGGCCGAGAAGCAGTTGTACGCCGACAGCTACGATTTCTGGCTCAACTACTACCTATGGGAAATGATGATATTCGCATCCAACGGCAAGGACCGCAGCCCTACGCCTTCTACCGCCGCCATCGGCTTGAGGGTCCCCTCGGTGGCCACAGCCGTGCTCGGACGGGCAATCAAGAGAAAGTCCCTGGACTGGCCGGAGAGAGTCATTGACGTCTATGTTCAGCACTGCAACGACTATGAGCTCCCGAGCACCGTCCGCATTGCCATCGACACGGTTTATGAAACTCGCAAAGAAGTGACGAAGCGGCGGGAGAGAGAGGCAGCACAGGCTGCCGAGTACTACGCGGCCCAGGCCCATGAAACACAAGCAGCATACGCAGTACAAACGGTAGATGACGACTCGTCGTCCAGCTCCAAACGAAAGCGGGAAGAAGAAGCTGATGCGGCCGATGTGACGTCCAGCAAGAGACCAAAAAGCGAGGCTGTAGAGACGGACACTGCTCTCAAGCAGCAGAGTCTGAAAAGAGACCGAGAAAATACCTCAGTTCTCGTTGGCAACCTCCCTGCTGAGACCACCAAAACCAAGATACGGCAGTATTTCAAAGAGTATGGCCATATTGTCGACGTTACGGACCCAGCCATTGACCCCCAAGACAACACCCAGACAGTCATGGTAGAGTTCAGAACCCCGGAAGAGGCGCAGTCGGCCCTACTCAGAGACGGGAAATATTTCGGGACGGCCCAGATCAGCGTGCAGCCCGGCACTGATCTCACCGTCTATGTCACCAACTACCCGCCAACGGCGGACAAGGCCTACATCGGCAACCTCTTCAAGGACTGCGGCGAGGTTCTGAGCATCAGGATGCCTAGCTTGAAGGGCAATGTTCGTCGGCGATTCAGCTACGTCACGTTCCGTGACCGTTCTGCCTCGACCAAGGCCGTACAAAGACATGGTACTGTTCTCGATGGAAAGTTCAAGCTGATGGCCATGTACTCCGACCCGACCCGTGCGAAGAAGCGCGAAGGAGCGATAGAGGAAGGCCGCGAGCTGCACATTACCAACCTGGACCCTTTGGCCGTCGAGGACGACGTGCAAAAGGCCTTTTCGAAATACGGTACTGTGAAGCGCATTAGCATCCCACGGAATAAGGCCGGCAAGGGCCACGGTGCGGCATATGTCGAGATGGAAACCAAGGAGCAGGCCCAGACTGCTGCTTCTGAGCTCGACAAGGCCAAGCTGCGCAGCAGCATCATGACGGTACAGATCTCCACACCCAGCAACTTCAAGAGGACGGCGGCCGTCTCGAAAGAGGGCGCCTCCCCTGCACCGAGTCGAGATGAGGAGGGGGATGAAACAATGGCGGACATCAACGGCGACGGCGGCAGTCGTCAGGCTGGGCCCAACCGGGCTGAGATCGCTTCGCGGACCATTGCCCTCCTAGGCATCCCCGACACGGTCAACGATGCACGCGTCAAGGAGATTGTAGAGAAGATTGGTGGTTTCAAGAGCCTCGTCCTGCAGCCCAGTCACGGCGGCGCCAAGATCGAATTCGAAGATGAGCCGAGTGCTGGCCGCGCCATGCTTCAGCTCGATGGCTACGTCCTGGACGGCCGGAAACTACGAACGGGATCCGTCGAGGAGCTCAAGCATTCCAAGGGAGAGATCCGCACGGACAAGATTGTTTACGGTACTGGTGGGAAGAAGCAGGGCGACAAACCCGCGGCTCCCAAGAACACCAGCAGCGGTGCCGCCTTTGTCCCGCCATCCACGACCGTCAAGCGGCCAGTGCTGGGCAATAAGGGCGGTGCCAAGCGAGGATTGGGGTTCATGCCCAAGGCCGTGAGCGCAGGAGGGAGCGGACAGGGAGGAGGAGGAGGAGGAGGAGGAGCAGCAGCGGCTTCACAACCGGAAGCCAAGGTCAATGGTGCCGGCGGCGGGGAGACGGAGACTCGGAAACCGATGAAGAGCAACGCCGACTTCAAGGCGCTGGTTTTGGGTGGTACCACCACCACTACTACTACAACTGCTACAACAACAACAACTACTAATGCGTCCAAGGAAGAAGGCGCGGGAAGGAATGGCAACGGCCAGGCTGGGTACGACCATCACTAATTACGGCGTCCATGGGAAATGGGAAATATGACTCTCTTGTTGCATTATTTTCATTTTTGATCAGGGTCCCGGCACACATTTCCTCATCACATGTCCCGACGTCCGGGAGTGATTAATACCAAGTGCCTGACGCTCTGCCACCTGCTTCGTTCACCTCGTCGGCTTGCGGTCATCGCAGTCAAAGCACCCGCGCGGTGTGGGTAGACAATGTAATTATTCCGATGCTTACTCGTGCGGTGTCTATTGTGCAGGTGAAATCATGATCTCCCTCTCCCCGTGTATGTGTGAGTGTGTGTACGTGTGTGCACGTTTGTGTATTGCTTCTTTTCTATTCGTGCGCTATTGAAGAGGATAGAACGTCTCTGGCTGACGTCCCTCTCTGAATCGCGCTTACTGGGTCCCTTTTTTCAGTTTTCAGCCGTCTTTCTATCGCGCAAAACACCATTGGAAGCTCCCGCGTCGCCCTTCAGTCGACCCTCCACCGGCAGCTTCCGTCGATCCCGACTCTCTAGGGGGCCTTCTCTCTCATGCTCTCCCGGTCCGCCTCTTGCACTCTTTGCCTGCTCTCTTTTCTAGGGACTCGAGTTGTATCTAACAAAGGTCTCCTCCACGGCCAAGGTTTGCCAGGAGGCAATCGCCAGCCTGCGACCTCGAACCACTCGCCACGAAGCCGATGCCCAGGGTGTGCACAAGAGGCGGCCCTTGCATACACGCCAACGCGGTCTGGCCCATCCGTCAACGACTCAGGAGGAATCTCATCCGCCGAACACATCCTATGCCTTGCTGACGGTCGTGTTTCCATTGTCCTTGTTCGCCTCCTGGGAGAAGATCTTTTGCCAGATTGCCAACCACCGCTCGTGCTGTGCCGTGGGCAGCTTGCCCGGTTGCTTGAAGGAGCGGGTAAGAAGCTCTCGGAGTCTGGTGCGGAGGACCTTGATGACGAGCATCGTCTTCCAGTCGGGCAGGGCGAACCTGCAGCGGTTGCCGTCGAGGACGAGGACGCCGGCAAACATCTGAGGAGTAATGTCAGCATCGTGGGGAATGCAGCGTTGAGGAATCAGGGGCCAACTCACGTCAGCTCGTACGTCGCCGCATAGCAGCGCAATTGCAAAGGGGTCGGCAGCCGTGGTCTCGTGTGCGTGGTAAACACTGCGCTGGTATTAGCATTCTATTTGAGTGGAGTTTCGGGTGTTGTAGCTAAGCAGGATAATGTCTACCTCTTCGACTGCATGATGTGGTAGTAGGATAGCCACTTGAGCTCGTTGTGGCCCTTGTTGACGGAGGACGGGTGCAGGCTGATGGACTGGTTGTTGCCGACGTTGCGCAAGCCCCGGCTCCCCGGGTTGTCGCGAACCAGCAACTTGGGATAGAAACTCCACGCAATGACTGCCGTCGTGATCGCATCGTTCTCGCTATTGATGCTCACGCGTTGAGGGATGTCGAAGAAGTTCTGATGGCGTCTTCCTCTCGAGTTGGCACCATACCGCAACCGGTTAAGGGCTTTTCTCTCGTCGTCAGTCAACAAGAGGAACCCGGAATCTGCCACCGAAACTAGGAGCTGGCCCTTGAGGTCTTCAATGTTGGCCAGCGTCTGCTGGCTAAGAAAATTCTTCCGGCAGAACTGGAAGTCCTTCCCGCCAGCAGCGCTCGTCGACTGGCACACGCGCTTCCATGAGAGATACGCGTTGTAGACCGTCAACAGATCCGAGTCACCCCTACGGAAACCCTTGCGCACAAGGTCGGCCTGCGCACGCTGTCCGAAGGGTGCAGTGAAAGGCGATTTGGATGACAGAATGGCAGCCACAGTTATCGCCATATCCAAGCACTTGAAAATGGCACCCATCAGGATCAGCTTGCCCAAGAACACATCCAAGGGTAGCCTGGCAAGTTGATTGCCAAGGGGCGTCAGGTCCTCGGCAGGGGTCAGAGCCCGAACATCGATGAGCGCATCCACGGCGCGACGAATGTTCTTGGCCGAAGGGGGATCCAACGCCTCGCTAAGTGTCTCTTCGATGCCGCCAATCTTACAAATCTTGACCCGGATGGCCAGATCCTGGAGTGAGAGACGCAGCATTTCCGGAGTCTGTTGGTCGCTCATGATTGTATCATGCCTGTGCTTCGTAAACATGTGGAAACAAAGTCCCTCCTGGACACGCCCAGCTCGTCCACGACGCTGCTTGGCGTTTGCGCGGGAGATGAAGGTGTCGATGAGTCGGGAAAGCTGCCTCCGTTCATCAAATCTCATTTCGCGATGCTTGCCCGTGTCGATGACACATGTCACGTCGGGTATGGTGATGCCAGTCTCCGCAATGTTGGTTGCTAGTACGATCTTCCTCATCCCGGGAGGCGGAACAAGGAAGGCAGCCTCTTGGTCCTCGGTTGCGATGGTTGAGTGGAGCGGGTAAATGAGCCAGTCGCGCGCAAAGGAAGGGTCTCCGGACAGGAGGTCATTGAGTGTTCGGATCTCGGCGATGCCGGGTAGGAAGACAAGAATCGCCTTGCTGTATGCCACATACTCGGAATCGGAAGCGACCTTGGCAATCAGCTGGACGATCAAGTCAAAGTCGATCCGGTACTCATCCATCTGGGCCAGACTGTTCCTAGTCTTGGCGGAATAGGCAGAGAGGTCAGCTCCAGCGATGGACTTGGGCCCTTCGACTTCCGTCTCGACCACATCGTCATCGAGATCGACCATCTTCTCCTGAGGGGCCTGGCCGACAGTGTAGCCAGTTGTTTCGATGGCATCCTCCAGGTAGCGGACTTGAACAGGGAACGTTCGACCAGGGACCGTCAGCACTGGTGCTCCGCCGAGGTACTTGGAGAACCGTTCGGCATCGACCGTGGCCGACATGAGAACCACCCTCAGATCTTTACGTCTCAACATGAGCTTCTTCAGGATAATGAGGAGGAAATCGCTGTCGATGGATCTCTCGTGAACCTCGTCGAGAACCAGATGTGTGACCTCCCGCAAATCGTTGGAGCCTTCCAGCATTCGCATAACGATACCCGTGGTTGCGAACACCAAGCGCGTCTCTCGGGAGGTGTTGGCTTCAAGTCGGATCGAGTACCCTACCAGCGACCTCGAAGTTCCCAGGTCGCCTCGACCCTCGCCGAGCTCTTCGCTGACTCTGCGGGCCAATGAGATGGCCGAGATTCGACGTGGCTCAGTGCAGTAAATCTTGCATGCCTTGCCCTGGGCCAGTTGATGCTCGAGTAGAAAAGCCGGCACCTGAGTACTTTTTCCACATCCGGTCTCTCCGCAGACGATGACCACTTGTTCTCTGTCGACAGCATCCGTGACCTGCTGCTTGAAGTTCCACATGGGAAGCTGCATGCGAGACTGGAGCATGGCCTGGTATCTAGGAGAGTTGGCCTTCTGGGCCCAGATGTTCTGGTAGTACTCGGGTCCACCAGAGAGTCGCTTGGCAGCGTCCTGAGCAGTTTCGTCTCCCTTGTCGTTCTGATTGCGTGCCGTACTTCTTCCCTTAAAAGCACTTTGAAGGATGACGCCATCTTCAAGCTCTTGATCCTGTCTCTGGCGCACGAGAGACCGCAGCTCTCTGATCGCCTCACGATCCTTGGCATCCAGTTGGCTCTTTCGGGCCTCTGCCAGCTCATCCCATAGCTCACGCCAGACGACAGGCAGTCTCATCCCAACCTTTTCTTCCTTGGTCGAGGTGCCAAAGATGTGGAACAAAGCCCAAGTCGCGACGTAAGCTTCTGACTGCTTCTTGTCGGGGGTGGCAATCACCTTCATGCTGAAGTGAAAGCTAGACGGATAGGTGCCAACTTCCACACTGTCGTCCTGAGACGGTGGCGGTATCTCCTGGGACTTGGACCATGAAATAGAGACAGCATGCCGATTGGCGAATGGCACTTCGGAGATGAGGCGATAGGTAATCTTTGCCGCAGTATCTCTGTGACTGGGTTAGCTGGAGAACTTGGAAGAAAACGTTGATGACGAACCTTGCTCGGCAAGCTTCTTCCAACGCTCGCATGGGAGTGACGCCAGTCCACTTTCCAAAATCTCGAATCGTTATTTTGACGCCATCAGCGCCATTCAGCACAGTGCTTGATTTGCCTGCAGCATCAACCTCGGTGACAGGCAGGTTGGCAAAAAGATCACTGAGACCGCCGTCCTCGTCATCCTCACCCTGCGCGAGAATCTCGGCGGCAATGCGCTCAGCCTCGTCGTTAATGTCCCCATCGGAAGACGCGACTGGTTCCTCTGTCTCCCTTTCCGCCTCTCTCTCGGCCTCTTCTAGGGACTTTTGCTTCCTTGCAGCAGCAATTTCCTTCTCCAAGGCCATCTTTTGAGTCCTCCACTGCTGCTCGGCAGCGAACTTGTCGAACAGGACATCCTTCTCGATTCTGTCAATCTTTGCCCGAAGCTTGTCCAGTTTATCAGACTCTTCGTCTGCTTCGGGGTTGCCGTTCCTTTGCTTCTTCTTGCCTTGCTGGCTTCTTTCAAGTTCAAACAGCTTGGCCTTCGTTTCCAGGTAGACTGGGACCAGGTCATCCGGCTCAATGTCACTATCGCAGATCACGACAGCCTTCTTCTTGGAAGCAGCAGAACCACCGTTCTTGGACTTTTGCCCGCCCTTTTGGCGACCACCGGACTCAGAGGCCCTGGGGGTGGTTGCCCCTGACGGCAAGGGACTCTCAGCTGGGGTGTCTAAAACGGCAACATCTTAGCTTCAGCCGTCACACTCAGGCATATCACAAAGTCCAGGCTCACCTAAATGTCTGGTTCCCTGTTTGCCTCGGCCTTCGTAGTCAGGCAGCTCATCACTTGGGCACTCCCTGGCCATCCAGTCGAGCGCTTCTTCAAGACCCCAAAGGCTATCTTTCGCAGTTGATGGTATGTTGGGGGCAATATCAAGGATGTGGCGCATGACGGCCTGCACACGCTCTTCGGGGAAACCAACGCCAGTGAGGGTCTGTTGCAGAGTCCAAAGCTTAATAATCATGTCCTCTTCCGGCAACAGCTTTCCGCTGGCAGCAGTCTCGGTAGAGACGCTAGAGGATGCGAAACGACTCTCAGCCTGGATCAGATCAAGGACTTGATCCATCAGCTCCTGGGGCAGCCATTTCCTGGAGTTCACAGTGTCGGCTTGACCTCTGAGCAAGCGACGATCGGTCTCGAGCCTCGTGCGCTGGCGTTGAGCATCTCGCTTGGTCTTTTGGGCATACTTTTCGACCAAAAGTTGCAACTCGGATTCGTCTAGCTGCTTCTCGAATTCCTCCGGGCTCAGCTCGGTCTTGGTAGCCTTGTCACCGGCACCGACAGACGCAGACTGAGGGTCGGAGGGCGGGACATCCTGGTTTGAAACGGCATTGGGAGCGGCCGTGGCGGTCCGGGCTGCGGCGGCAGTCTCGGCGCCCTCAGCGGGCTCGGTCCGAGGCTTGGATGACGCAACGGAGGTGGTGGCGAAGCCTCTGGCCGGGTTGGCGGCGGGCTTCTTCTTCTTCTTGGCCCCGGCCATGGCTCGCTTGATGCAGTGAGGACGCGGGAAAAGAAATCAGGCCTGATCTTGAAATCGACGCCGAATATGTCAGTCTGCGAAGTCGAGGGTCAAGTGCACCGAAGGGGGAGGTCCTGAGGCTGAGGGCGACACGCGCACAAGTGAACGAGGAAAGACCAGAAACCAGGCGGAAGAATGTACCGGTTGATTGACGCGGGAGGAACAGAAATGGGAGCCGAGCCGAGAGGCAAAGGCGGAGACGGGGGCGGAAAATGGATGGTTCAGGGACCAGGCGGCGGAACGACAACAAACAGGACGGTAGCCAGACCGAAAATTCAAGGTGTGCCCCGTAGTCCTGTGCCTGCGGTTGAATGAGCGATATGTAACGAGTGAGAATTGAGTGAGTGAGCAAACCCTTTGGCCCAAAACAGACGAGCAAGACCGAGAGTCGATGAAAGTGAGTACGTTACCGGGTAACAGAGCGGTGGTGAGTGAGCCTAATAGGCATGCGTAGAGTGATGTCAACGGTGGGCTCGCCTCTCAGGCTTGTAGGTATGTATCTCTTGGGGATTATGACTGCGTTGTTGGTTTGTGCTGGGTGCCCAGGCGAGGCAGGCAAATCAATGGTACGCACATGTACCTTTGTCGCAGACTTAAAGCGTTTCGGTACCTGATCCAAAGTGCCCCCGTGTTGACTAGTGTTGGTCAGGCTCGATGTGGGTACGGTATCCGCAGTCAACTCCAACCCGAAGATGAGCCAGAGCCAGACTCGAAGTGCCTTGTTTGTTGTGTCCGAGGCCAATGAAGAGATATGGATGGAGAGAATGGCTCCGGCTGCAAGTGCTGACCAGGGTAAAGGGTGGATGAAATGCAGTCTGGGCCAATGCTCCTCCAAAGGCCTCCAAGCGGAGGTGATCGGGCAAGGGAAGCGAGCTTGAGTGTAAGAGTTGACCATCAGTCGGAGCTATCTATCTCTCATCGACACCCGGGATGTAGTGTAATCACAATAGGGCAAAGAAGCGGCGGCGAGCAGGCGCTGTGCAAGCCAGGTGTGAAGGGACAGGACGTAAGGCACGGTACTACTGTAAACTACAGAAAGGTACCTGGCTGGATTCGGGCTGTCTTCCGTGGGGACCAAATTTCTGTGGTCTCTGCAAAAGACTGGAGAAAGGGAACCTTTTGAGTCAGACCGGCGACGGGCCAAGGTGAGCTCGGATCTGGGACTGCATCGAAGCTGCCGCTGCGTCATCAGTCAAGGATTGCCGAAGGGAAAGGCGCCATTAAAGGCACCGGACATTCGCAAGGCCGGGAGAGAAACGTTGTGTTTTCCATGTGTTGAACCCCCCCTTCCCTCAGTTGATGGAAGAAAGAAATGGCAAAAGATCAGAGGAGAAACACGTGTAAGTTTAGGAAGCAAGAGAGAAAGAGAGAGGGAGAGACACGACGTCAGGCAGGTGGTGGTGTGAGGTCGGCGCTTTGTGCAAAAAATGCAGTGTCCAGACTCGATTCCGTGGAGGACGCGGGACGGGACACAGACGGAAATGTGCATTGTGGCCGATGGTGCCCCGCCATGGGAAAGCCAGCTCGTTCCTGACCGCCTTCCCCTTCGGGGGTTCCAACCCCTCCAGCTTAAAGACGCCGGGCCACACAACCCTAGTGCTCAAAGTACCCTCCAGCCGAGACAAAGTACCGCGCAGCGCACCCGAGGCAGTTGGCGAGCACCCGTGGCCCCTTAGCTGCGCTGATGAGAGACGACTGAGCTTCGCCAGAGGTGCCGCACAGCACCCCGAACCCAGAGCTTCGAGGTCGAGTACCGCAAGTACATAGTGTATTTCTCTCTGTTCCCAGCTTGTCCGGCAGAAAAAGGAAAAAAAGAATTCCCCAAAGGTACCAAGCACTCGAGGCCATGCCCCGGTGTGGAAGTACCGAGCAAGTGACCTGACCATTGCCTTGCGTGCCTGCGCAGCCTCAAACTCCATCAACATCTACTTTGAGGTACCCTTCCTCTCTGCAAGGTATCCGCAACAAATTGTGCGCGCGACGACCACAGCACGACTCTTCGTCTCTGGCTCTCTCTCTCTCTCTCTATCTCAGCTCATATCACCACTGCCCGACCTCAACTACAACCTCAACCGCCTCACCTATACCCTCGATCCGCAAACGACGACTCTCCTCCCCCGCTCGTCGACCGCACAGCTGGCCGACTTGCCCCCGATGCTATCTTCTGTCCGCCCCCAATCCCGCCAATATGACTGAAGTCGTCGCCAATGGCTCTAGCTCTGGCCCTGTCGCTCTCGATTTTGCAGCCACCAGATCAGCCTTAACTTCGTCCTCCACCGCCACGAGAATAGCCCACCTGCGCACACTCGAGGATAGGATATCTAATACCGGTATGAACCATTGCCTGCCATTGCCCCTCTCTCTGCTGCTACGGCGCCGGCGCACAACCAACCCCTGCCTCTTTTGCGCTGGGTGCTAACGCCGTTGCCGTTTGCCGCAGACACCGACTCAACCTGGGTTCGCAGGCTCGTCCAGCTGCTTTTCTGGACGCACGCCTTCTATACCGACCGACCTTCCCGACTCGCCGTTCAGAAATGCCTGTCTGCCCTTCTTGCCAGGGGCCTTGAGCCCGAGGTTCTCTCGGCCTTTGTGGCCGCTCTGCGTGCAGAGTCGCAGAAATCTGGAATCGCCGCGAGCAATGCCTTTGTCCTGGTGGAGTGGTGCAGCCTGCTCATGCAGCACCTTGGGAAGACGCCCGAATGGGACAAGCTGGCATCTCAGATTCTGCTGAGCGATGCTGATGCTCTGGACAAGTGCCTGCAGCCCGCAGCAAAGGGTGGTATGGCTCATTCTGCCATTATTGTCACTCGCAGGGGATTGCGCAAACTCTTTTCCACCCACCCGAACCCCGAGAAGGCCCTCAAGGACGCCGTGCAGCTGTTGACGACCAAGGCTGCCCAGCCGTCGGCGAAGAATGCTCCTCTTCTCGGCATCATTGCCGGTGTCAGCTCAAGAATGCCTACCGTGAAGGCAGCCCTCGAGTCCCAAAAGTCTCAATACTTCACCTTCTACACAAGAGAAATTATTGGCTCACGGACGGCTCTGCCCAAGCACGTGGCGTCAGGCCTGCAGGATTTCTTTTTCGACTTTGTCTCTCTCGATGAGCTCACCAAGGAGGTGGTTCCACCTCTCGAGAAGGGTTTGCTCAGAGCCCCTGAGATTGTCTTGAGCGACGTCCTGATCCCCCTGATCAACTCCCTTCCTAAAGGCTACGACCTTTCCCAAGTTTTGGTGGGTAACTTGCTGAAGCCCATTCTTTCTAATGTCAAGTCGAGCAATGCTGTCACCCGCACTGGCGCAGTTAAGGCCTTCGGCGTCCTGGCTGCCCAGAGCCAAGATGAAAAGGCCCTGGAGAAGGTCTCGGAAGAGATTGTCGGGCCAGTCAAGGGCGGGAAACTGGCATCGGCAGACCACAGGATCCTCCATTGTGAGATGCTTGAGGCCATCCCCCTTTCCAAGACCACCGCCGATAAGATTGCGACGGCGTTGGCGGCTGTCTCGGCCAAGGAAGGAAACGAAGCTGCACTCACTGTTGAAACATCGGCACTCGCAAGATCGACTGGCTATCTGTTACAAAACGACGTTGAAGTAGCCAAGCCCATTGTAGACGCATGCGTGAAGGGCATCTCTGACAAGAAGTTCCCAACTCGTCGTGTCTGGCTATTGCGCCTCGGAGAGATATTCAACTCGGCTGCTGACTCTGGAAATCTCTCTTCGGCCGCAGTCAAGTTTGCCGAAGCTGTTTTGCCCAAGCTTCTAGATACTTACAATGAGGTTGTCGCCAATCCCTTGATTGCTGCTCAAAACAACCTGACGGTCGGTGCCTTTATCGTAACCACCCTCACCTCTTTGTCGCAACAAAGCAACGTGTCTTCGGTCGTCAAATCAGCACTCGCCAAGGTCTCCGTCCCGGGTCAGTGCCTCGCACTCGAGCCCAAGCCTTCATTCCTACTGAACCCTCGTATCTACGGCAAGATAACTGCGGAAGACGAGCTCATTTGGTTCTCCCGAGCCCTGTCGGCTGCCGCAGAGCACCTGACCGAGAGTACCCCGAAGCCTGTCACCGTCGCCTGGGCTGAGGCCTTCACCTATGCCATCGTTGCCTCGGTAGCTACCCCCAGGGTCCGACAGGTCGCAACGGACAGCCTGTCCCGGGTGTACGCCACCCGACCGTCCCTTGTTTCCCAGGCCGTCGTTGACGGTATTTGGCACTGGCTTGAGAGCTTGGAATCCGGTGATAAGGACAGCGCAGCAGTCCTGTCCAAGACCGACAAGGTCAACCTTCACTTGGTTCTCCGTGCGATATGCATCAACCCCAAGAGTCTGCCCGAGCAGGAACAGCCTGCTATACGAGAAGTCGTGGACATCCAGCTTTGCTCGTTGCTCGTTCTCGCTCGGCAGGAACTCGTGCCTCGTGCCAGCTGGATCGAACTTTGCTTGCGTGTGGAGAGAGATCCAGGAGAACTGACACGTCAAACTGAGGGTGCCCTGCTCCAGGAGATCTCGAACAGGACCTCCATCGACCAAAAGTCGGATCTTGTGAAGCAGGCTGCCTGCAATGCCGCAGCTGAGCTGGCATTTGTTGCCCCTGAATCTATAACCAGCAAGATCGTCGACATCATTCGAAACGATCTGGAGCCTGAGGAACTGCGAACCATCGGCCCTGTGGAGGCTGCCATTTTCCGAACCCCTGAAGGAACCGCTTTCGTGGACGTCCTTGCGAAGAAGGCACAGACAACTGTGCCTGACAAGAACAACAAGGACTACGATATCCTGAAGTGGGAAGCTGAGCTAAGATCCCAGTTGGCCCAGAAAAAAGGTCAACAGAAGAAGCTCACGGCGGAGGAGACAGCCAAGGTCAATGCCCAGCTCAAGAAGGAAGCCGGTATACGAGAGCAGGTCCGTCGCATCGAAGCAAGATTACTGCGCGGCATTGGCATTATTCGGAGTCTCGCAACTGGCCCTCCGACCGAATCCTCTCTTTGGATGGGACCCGCCGTCAAAGCGCTCCTGGACGTTATCGATGCTGGTGCTGGCCTTCTCACAGGCGATGCTGCACCCCTTGCCTACTTGGCTTGCTCGGACCGAACCACCAGTCGTTTGGGTCCTATGAGACCCTTTGTCGGAGTGGCGACCCTGCGTGCTAGAGGCGTTACTGCGCTTTCCGAAGAGTACAAACAGGAACCTGTTGATGAGCTTGTGACTAGAGTGCTCTACCGGTTGCGTTTTGCCGGAGAGCAGCGCCCTTTCGACACCGTGTCTCTCATCTACGTCCTTCCCCTGATCTTCACTGTTCTTGAAAGCGGCGGCTTCGGCTCGTCCCCGGATGACCGAGACGCACAACTTGTCCTTGCTATCGAGTTCCTTTCCTTCCATACGAATACTTGCGAAGACCTGGCAACCCCTCGACTGGAGGTCATGTCTTCCTTGATTTTGTCCATGCAACAGTACACTCAGCATTACAAGATCATCAAGGACTGCTTTGCCGACATGTGTCGGTGCGTTGCTCCCAACATGACTCCTGAGGAAATCGCGTCTCTAGCCAAGGGAGCCATTGTCCCCCAAGTCAGCGTGAGAACTGCAGTACTGCAAGCCATCAGCTCAGAAGTCGACATGAGCGACTTTGACTTTTCCGATGAGATCTGGCTGGCATGCCACGACGATGTCGAGGAAAACGTGGAGCTTGGCCGCGATATTTGGGAGGAGAGCGGCTTCGCTCTATCTGAGGAGGTTCCAGCCAGGATGCTTCCTTATTTGGACAGCGTTGATGGCCAGCTCCGAAGGGCTGCGGCTCGATCCTTAGCCGAGGCCTGCAGTGCGCACAAATCCACTCTTGAGCCAACCTTGGAGTCTCTCAAGTCTTCATATACCGAGCTTGCCAAGCCTCGCGTTCCTCAGTTGGACGAGTATGGCATGCCCAAGAAGACTAATCTGGCGGATCCTTGGGAGTCGCGGCACGGCATCGGATCTGCCTTTAAGGAGCTGACTCCCCACATGGCGAAGCAGCAGCTCGATCCTTTCTTCGAGTTCCTCATCGAGAACGGACCTCTGGGCGACCAGAATGCAAACGTCCGGAGCGAGATGCTGGATGCGGCTATCCGAGCTATTGATCTTCATGGTAAGGGTATGGTGGAGAAGTTGATGAAGGTGTTTGAGCGCACGCTTGAGGGCCCGGACAAGAACACGGAGGCCTCAGACCGTGTCAACGAAGCCGTCATCATTATGTACGGCGCACTCGCCCGCCATCTGAACCCCGGCGACTCCAAACTCCCTGTTGTCATTGACCGTCTGCTGGCAACCTTGAGCACTCCCTCAGAGACTGTGCAATACGCCATCGCTGAATGTCTGCCGCCGTTGGTGCAGGCTTACGGAGACAAATCATCAAAGTACTTCTCACAGGTCCTCGAGACATTGTTGACATCCAAGAAGTACGCCGAGCAGCGAGGTGCTGCCTACGGTTTGGCCGGCCTCGTACAAGGCCGTGGCATTTCATCACTGAAGGATCAGCGAATCATGATGACACTCCGGGGTGCTATGGAGAACAAGAAGGAAGCAAACCAGAGAGAGGCAGCACTCCTCGCATACGAGCTTCTCTCCACCATCCTGGGCCGCCTCTTTGAGCCGTACGTCATTCAGATCGTCCCACAGCTGCTTACTGGGTTTGGTGACAGCAACGCCAACGTCCGAGACTCATGCCTGGCAGCTGCAAAGGCCTGCTTTGGTAAGCTGAGCTCGTACGGTGTCAAGAAGATTCTTCCCACCTTGCTGAACGGTCTGGATGACGACCAGTGGCGTAGTAAGAAGGGAGCCTGCGACCTTCTTGGAGCCATGGCCTATCTCGACCCTAATCAGCTAGCCCAGAGCCTGCCGGATATCATCCCGCCTCTCACAGGTGTTCTCAATGACAGTCACAAGGAGGTTCGCTCTGCTGCCAACAAGAGTTTGAAGCGGTTCGGCGAGGTCATCAACAACCCTGAAATTAAGGGCCTCGTCGACATCCTGCTGAAGGCGCTCAGCGACCCTACGAAGTACACGGACGATGCCTTGGATTCCCTGATCAAGGTCCAATTCGTGCACTATCTGGACGCGCCCTCGTTGGCGCTGGTCACCAGAATTCTGCAACGTGGTCTGGGCGACCGTTCCAATACCAAGCGCAAGGCAGCACAAGTCATCGGCAGTCTGGCCCATCTCACCGAACGCAAGGATCTTGTCTCGCACTTGCCGATCCTCGTTGCAGGCCTCAAGCTGGCCATCGTCGACCCAGTGCCTACGACTCGTGCCACGGCTTCCAGAGCCTTGGGATCCCTGGTGGAGAAACTGGGAGAAGACGCACTGCCGGATCTCATTCCAGGACTTATGCAAACACTCAAGGCAGACAACGGCGCTGGAGACCGTCTCGGCTCCGCACAAGCTCTCAGCGAGGTGCTCGCAGGCTTGGGTACTACCAGACTGGAAGAGACTCTCCCGACCATTCTGCAGAACGTCGAGTCTACAAAGCCGGCGGTTCGCGAAGGCTTCATGTCCCTCTTCATTTTCCTTCCTGTCTGCTTTGGCAACAGCTTTGCAAACTATTTGGGCAGAATCATCCCGCCCATTTTGTCTGGTCTTGCTGATGATGTCGAATCCATCCGCGAGACCGCTCTTCGTGCCGGTCGTCTGCTCGTCAAGAACTTTGCCGTCCGCGCTGTCGACTTGTTGCTTCCCGAGCTCGAGCGTGGCTTGGCCGATGACAGTTACCGTATCCGACTCAGTTCAGTCGAACTTGTTGGTGACCTTCTCTTCAACCTCACGGGCATTAGTGGCAAGACAGAGGACGGAGAGGAGGACGAGGAGAGTGCCCGGGAGGCCGGTGCTTCCCTCCGCGAAGCCCTCGGCGAAGAGAAGAGGAACAAGATCCTGTCGGCTCTCTATGTTTGCCGCTGCGACACTGCCAACGCGGTCCGATCCGCTGCCATCGCCGTGTGGAAGGCTTTGGTCTCGAGCCCTCGCATTCTCAAGGAGTTGGTACCGACCCTTACTCAACTCATCATCCGGCGCCTGGGCAGCTCCAACATGGAGCACAAGGTTATTGCCAGCAATGCTCTCGGCGAACTGATCCGCAAAGCAGGAGATGGCGTCCTGTCCACTCTGCTGCCGACTCTCGAGGAAGGTTTGCAAACATCCACAGACACAGACGCGAAGCAGGGTATCTGTCTTGCCCTCAAGGAGCTCATTGCCTCGGCATCGGAAGAAGCCCTGGAGGACCACGAGAAGACCCTCATTTCCGTCGTCAGAACGGCACTCACCGACTCGGATGCGGACGTCAGAGAGGCTGCCGCAGAAGCGTTCGACTCACTCCAACAGATTTTGGGCAAAAAGGCGGTGGACCAAGTGCTCCCCTATCTGCTCAACCTCCTCCGCTCCGACGAGAACGCCGACAATGCCCTATCGGCCCTCCTCACCCTCCTCACCGAGACGACTCGTTCCAACATCATCCTCCCCAACCTTATCCCCACGCTTATTACCCCTCCCATCTCTGCCTTCAACGCCAAGGCTCTGGCATCTTTGTCGAGGGTGGCCGGTGCTGCTATGAACCGCCGGCTGCCGAATATCATCAACTCTCTCATGGACAACATCATCAACTGCGAGGACGATGCTTTGAGAGAGGACCTTGAGAAGTCATTCGATACTGTCATCTTGTCCATTGACGAGTACGACGGACTCAATACAGTCATGAACGTTCTACTCCAACTCACAAAGCACGACGACCACCGCAGGCGCGCTGCCACTACCCGCCACCTGTGCAAGTTCTTCGCTGCCGGCGACGTGGACTACTCGCGCTACAACCAAGACATTGTCCGGTCTCTTCTCATCTCTTTTGATGACAGAGACCCGGATGTTGTCAAGGGAGCCTGGGCTGCGCTCAGCGAGTTCACCAAGAAGCTCAAGAAGGAGGAGATGGAGGGCTTGGTCGTGTCGACCAGACAGACCTTGCAACAGGTTGGCGTTCCTGGTGCAAACTTGCCCGGTTTCGAGCTTCCCAAGGGCATCAACGCTATCCTGCCGATTTTCCTACAAGGTCTCATGAACGGCACTCCGGACCAGAGGACTCAGGCAGCTCTGGCCATCTCCGACATTGTCGACCGGACAAGCGAGGCTTCATTGAAGCCATTCGTCACACAGATTACCGGTCCCCTCATTCGTGTCGTTTCCGAGAGATCTACAGACGTCAAGTCTGCTATCTTGTTGACACTGAACAACCTCTTGGAGAAGATGCCTGCCGCCCTGAAGCCGTTCTTGCCCCAGCTTCAACGCACTTTCGCCAAATCTCTTGCAGACACATCAAGCGAGGTGCTAAGAGCACGCGCAGCCAAGGCCTTGGGTACCCTCATCAAGTACACGCCGCGTATTGATCCGCTGATTGCCGAGCTCGTAACGGGCTCCAAGACGTCGGACCCTGGGGTCAAGACTGCTATGCTCAGCGCGCTTTACGAGGTCATTAGCAAGGCCGGTGCGAACATGGGCGAGGCGTCGCGCGCTGCTGTCTTGGGTCTCATTGACATGGACACCGACGAAAGGGACGACGCCATGACAATCACGAACGCCAAGCTACTCGGAGCGCTGATCAAGAACGTGCCCGAGGAAGCTGCCAACGGGCTGCTCAAGAACCGCGTGGTGACCAGCCACTGGAGCCACTCCTCGGCGCTGGCGCTAAACGCTGTTCTCGTCGAGTCTCCGCAAAGCCTCTTGGAAAGCCCCCTGGCAGACGACTTGCCCGATATCCTCAGCCAGGGCATGTCGAACAAGAGCGTAAGTACTGCCCTCACGGCGTAGACACAAGAACCACACATAGCTAACACAACGTACAGCCATACATCGCCGACAACGTCATCTTGGCTACGGGCAAATACCTTCTTTCGGAGTCGACCAAGACTTTTGAAACAAACAAGAAGATATTTGAGGCACTCGCCAACGTCATTCAACCCGGAAACTCCGTCGACTCCCGCCGCCTAGCTTTGGTCATCGTCCGAACAATGAGCCGCGTAAACATGGAAATGGTGAGACCACATCTTGCTGCGCTTGCGGGCCCGGTCTTTGCTAGTGTCAGAGACCCGGTTATTCCTGTCAAACTGGCGGCGGAAGCAGCCTTTGTGGCTCTCTTCAATGTGGTAGATGACGAGACGAGAGTCTTTGACAAGTATGTCGAGAGCGCCAACCTACCGCCAAACACCAAGAGGAGCATGCAGGACTACTTCAAGCGCGTCACGATGCGTCTTGGTGCGCAAGCGCGTGAGCGGAGAGAGGCAGAGGGTGGCCAGGGAGGTCTGGGTCTGTCAAACGATGAGGCCGAGGACGAAAAGGAGATTTGGAGCGTGGGCAAGGTTGATGTGGGCGAAGACGTGTTTGGCAAGTAGATGGACGGATCTAGGAGGTTGACTTGAGTTTTTAAGATTAAAAGTTTTACATGAACCTGATCGAACCAGAAACCCACGAGTGAAGTGATACCTTGCTGCTATGAAGGAAAACAATGCGCAAATGAAGACATCTCGTCTGTTCGCTCCTGGCCCCTTTTCTCATCTCTGCCTCGCCTCTTGGAAGAGGGTGACACCAGGGATCAATAGAAGAACATTGGAAAGCAGGTAGATACGTCAACCAGATCACGTTCCTAAGCCGAACGCCTACATGATCTCAACCACAGTCCTTGGTGACTGTTAGCTGCCATCAGTATGGTGTTTGCAGACCTACCGGATCGAAGCAGACATGGCTTCAAGGGCGCGCTTCAGGGCCAATAGGGAAACCCCAGGTACCGGTACAAGTGCACAGGCCTCGAGGTACTAAAAAGGGCCTGTGTCGCCGCAGTCACGTGAACCGAGAACGCCAAAGGTGTGCCTTTGATTTTTTCCGGGCTCGCTTACCCATCGCCCCACTTCGCCCACAACTGAAGGAAACCCCGAGTTTGCTCACACTTCACCTTTCTGAAAATTGGCCTCCCGTCCACCCCTCTCGAAATTTCAACACCTCGACTCCCCCGGTAGGTACGACCATCGACTAGGACAGCATTCAAGATGTAAGTTATCACGATCCGAGCACCAGAACACATCCCATACCGATCCCAATGCGATTTGCGTCGTTTCTCTGCGCCGGGCACGTCGATTTGATGAACGCTGTGACGCCCGGGACACGCGGAGGGGCGGTCCAAGATAAACCGACGGCACTGGAAGAGGGGGGCTGCCAAAGGCCATCTTTTACATGACGGGAGACCAAAGGCTGATACGATTGCTTCTTCTGCAGGGTCAATCTGCGAACTCAGAAGCGCCTGGCCGCGTCGGTCATCGGCTGCGGTCAGCGCAAGATCTGGCTCGACCCCAACGAGGTCAACGAGATCTCCAACGCCAACTCTCGCCAGACCATCCGCAAGCTCGTCGCCGATGGCCTCATCATCCGCAAGCCCGTCACCATGCACTCGAGATCCCGCGCCCGCGAGCTGAACCTCGCCCGCCGCATCGGTCGTCACCGTGGCTTCGGTAAGCGCAAGGGTACCGCCGAGGCTCGTATGCCCAGGTTCGTCAACGCCAACCCCGATGGTCGGCCTGTCATCTAGGGCTGTTTGTGTGTTTTCTACCGACAACACAACAAGCAAGAACTCGATCGGCAGGCCGGCCTGATACAATTGGAGATTGTCGTGCTGACTCCCGATGAAGCCAAGTCCTCTGGATGCGCCGCCTCCGTGTCCTCCGCCGTCTCCTGGTCAAGTACCGTGCCTCCGGCAAGATCGACAAGCACCTGTACCACGAGCTCTACCACTCCAGCAAGGGTAACGCCTTCAAGCACAAGCGTGCTCTCGTTGAGCACGTAAGTTATACTCCCCCGGGCTTGGAGCCGCCGCAGAAGCAGCAGCGTGATCATAGAGTAGAGTGGTGGGCTGACGCGAGGGTTTCTACAGATTCACCGTGCCAAGGCCGAGAAGGCCCGCGAGAAGGCCCTCAAGGACGAGATGGACGCCAAGCGTGCGAAGACCAAGGCTGCCCGCGAGCGCAAGTTGGAGAGAGTGGCGGCGAAGAGGAACGCTCTGTTGGGCGAGGGCGAGGAGGAGGCCAAATAGATGATCACGATCGATCTCGGTCCTTAGGCGGCTGCATTCGGAGTCATCGGGTTGGGTCTTCTTTTTTTACGTCCTACTGTCCCTATTGTCGCAGCAGGGCTTTGGCATGTAGCATTGAAAAATGGAAATCGATGACATGGCAAATTACGGGCACGAAAAATGAGCAGCAGCAATTCTTACACGGTTCTTTCTTCATGAGTAGCTCTCCGTGTGACGTTTCCGTGGTCACGTCTGATGATAGATACCCTTCCACAACCCAAGTAGGAGTCATTTCTCCAAATTCCTACCATCCTCGACGTTGGACGAAGCGGTGACAGACGATAAGTGTAGGCGTCATACATTACTTTCGACGCACATCGACCTTCAAAACAAAGGGACTGGCCAGCTGTCCTGTCAGGACAAACTGTATCGGATTCGGAGCAACAGCAGTCCAAAACGGACTTCAAATTTTTGTAGTTTTTTATTTATTTATGGGCATGATCCCGGCCTTCGGGTTCAAGCACGGCGAGCCGGGGTCAAATCAGGAAGGGTATGTTTCCTACTCCGTTCGGAACCCTCATGGACGGCCCAGCTTACGGACATTGTTCTTGCGTGGCTGGAGCCCGGACCAACTTGTGGCTAGATTTATGGGTTGACACATGTGCGAGTGACTACAAAGTAGGCAAGCACCGATTTAAGCACACGAGGCGCGGCGATATGCTCAAGCAAGATTTCAGGAAGTCATGGCACTTGCTCATGGCTTTCCTCATTTCGACTTAGCTTAACATCATCTACTCCCAACACCGCCTGTTGCTAACTGCTTAAAGAAGATAAATTCGGCCTCGAAGTCCCGGTTTGAAAGGGAGGGACGAAGATGAAAAGAGTTTCAAGGAGCACAACCACGAATTGGATCAGATTGTTTCAAATTGTCCCTCTAAAGGTGGTGAGGTGTGCCAGAACATATCGTCATGCACCCGCCGAGGCGGAAGAGCTGATATGACAGAAAAGCGTGCTCGTCATCTCCAATTTAGTTGTGTAAAGAAGAGAAGGAGAGGAGAAAGGGAAATTTCGACCACGACGCGGCCTTGAAAAAGGGCTGAGCTGGGCGGTGGAGGTGCGGGAGGGTGCCGAGGGTCCGTGCCCCTTCACCTGAGGCACCTCGCTGGGACATGCCGATTTGGTGCCTCAGGTGAGATGGTACGGCCGTCCATCCAAACTTACCGATAAGACGATAAGAACGGAGAGGCGGTGGAGGCAAGCGATAGGGACAGTTGCCTCGACAAGAGGTACCGGGCTGGGCAAGGAAAACACACGCTGAAAGTACAGTGCAACGGTCGGGAGTCGAGCCGAGACCGCCGTTTACAGCGCGGTTAGAGCAGCTCGGCCGCTGCACCGCTCTGCTCTCTCGGGTCAGATTCCGCCTGCAAAGCAGCAGGCAACGCCCCCCCCAACCCCAGGTCCTTATGTACCGCCTCCCCCCCCCCCCCCCACCGCCTGTGCACGCCTGCCGCCACTACATCATATGGTCTTGCTGCAGCTGGGGTAATTAAGGTACTCTGTGGTTGTAAGCTCCGTCTCTGTGGTATGTGATCTTCCTTCCCAACCGCCCTCGACTACCTTAGGATTTCCCTTCCTCGCATCTTGACTGGAGCGCATTTCTCCCTGTCAACCCTACAACGACTACCAGATTGATTGATTGATTGATTGGTGTTGTATACAGGTCTCCTGTCACGTTGTCGCCATGTCTCTTCCAGTATTCCGAGGCACAACTCGTGCGTTCCGCTGCTTGCCGAGAGGGGCAGCAGTCCCCTGCGCCGGTGCAGGTGGCGTGAGGAGGTTGATCTCGACAAATAGCTTGGAGGGCCAGCAACAGGTGCGCACCGCTGCCCAATTGCTTTATGAATGATATGGCTTCTCGTTGTGCTGACTCTGGTATCTCTAGCTCTTGTCTGCCAAACTCCAACAAGCCGATCCCGCCGTCTACGACATCATTGAAAAGGTACGAACCCGCTGCTGTCACCAACAGACGATACGCTCGACCACGACGTATGCTTGTGCTGCGCAATGCCGGCAGCTCTCAAACTGAACATGGTTGCTGACCTGCACGACTTGTAGGAGAAAACCAGACAGAAGCACTTCATCAACCTCATCCCCTCCGAGAACTTCACCTCCCAGGCCGTTCTCGATGCTTTGGGCAGTGTTATGCAAAGTAGGCACTTCTCCCGCCAGACATCGTTCACCACCAGTAAAGCTAACATGGTCGGCTAGACAAGTACTCTGAGGGCTACCCCGGCGCAAGATACTACGGTGGAAACGAGTTCATTGATCAGTCAGAGCGTCTCTGCCAGCAGCGGGCTCTCGAGACGTTCGGCCTCGACGCGAAGCAATGGGGTGTCAACGTTCAAGGTGCGCTTTTCTCAACACCCATCACCTTGCAATCAGTCATGCCCTTGGACAGTCTCTAACCCTTTTTGCAGCTCTGTCCGGCGCCCCGGCCAACTTGTACGTCTATTCTGCCCTGATGGACACTCACGACCGCCTCATGGGTCTGGACCTCCCCCACGGCGGACACTTGTCGCACGGCTACCAGACACCGACCAAGAAGATCTCTGCTATCTCCAAATATTTTGAGACGGTTCCCTACAGACTCGATGAGACCACCGGCCAGATCGACTATAACAAGTTGGAGGAGCTGGCCATGCTCTACAGACCCAAGGTCATTGTTGCAGGCGCCAGCGCCTACAGCAGGTTGATTGACTATAAGCGCATGCGCGAGATTTGCGACAAGGCCAACGCCTACCTCCTCGCCGATATGGCTCACATCTCGGGTCTGGTTGCGGCCAAGGTTATGCCCGGCCCGTTTGCCTACGCCGATATCGTTACCACCACTAGCCACAAGAGCTTGCGAGGACCCCGTGGCGCCATGATTTTCTTCCGCAAGGGTGTACGCCGGCAGAACGCCAAGAAGGAGGACGAGATGTACAATCTTGAGGGCCCTATCAACGCCTCCGTCTTCCCCGGTCACCAGGGAGGCCCTCATAACCACACAATCACTGCATTGGCCGTCGCTCTGAAACAGGCTCAAGCCCCGGAGTTCCGCGCCTACCAGACTCAGGTCCTGGCCAACGCCAAGGCGCTGTCCCAGAGATTGGGTGCTCCCAAAGAGAAGGGAGGTTTGGGTTACAGCATCGTATCCGGCGGCACCGACAACCACCTTATCCTGGCGGACCTGAAGCCCCAGGGCATCGACGGTAGCCGTGTGGAGCGTGTGTTGGAGCTCGTCGGCGTTGCCGCCAACAAGAACACGGTCCCTGGAGACAAGTCGGCGCTGGTCCCCGGTGGACTGCGCATCGGTACGCCTGCCATGACGACGAGAGGGTTCAACGAGGAGGACTTCAGCCGCGTGGCTGACATCATCGACCGCGCCGTCACCATTGCTATCCGGGTCAACAAGAGCGCCAGGAAGGCGGCCGAAGAGAAGGGAGAGAAGAAGCCCGGTCTGCTGAGGCACTACATGGAGCACCTTGGTGACGGTGAAAACGATCCTGAGATTGTCCAGCTGAGGTCCGAGGTGGCCGACTGGGTGGGTACCTACCCCCTGCCTTGGGATATCCACTCTTCTTGAACGATGAAGAGAAGGGGCGTACTATGAGGATTCGACGGACAATGGTACACTCATCCTCGGGGAACTAGACGAGGGTTCTGGTCCCTCACGGCGTTTAAGGGGCCTTCATGTTATCGGCCCGTGCGAGAGCGATTTATGCCTTGATCGTCTCGACTTTCTGTTGTCATTTTTATTTAACGATCACGGACTCTTTCCACAAGTCCCGTCATGCATGTATTATCGGGGGGCCAATGTGTAAACATCTACTCACCATCCATTAACAAAAACTTGACTATCCTCAACGAGATAGGGAAATAGAAGTCCTGCCAAATCCAATGCTGACCCCTTGCACACACGTTCTCGCCGTGCTTATGAACGAAGGCCCTGGCCGTTGAGCACTGATCCATTGCTGATGTTGCCGCGCGCCGGTCGAGGGGACACAGGGCTACGGACACAACAAGTCGATTCAAACTTTACCAAGGCCGGCATCCTTTACGCGCTGACTCGGCCCTCAAATCAATCAAGAACAGCCTACGCTGGCTTTCCAAAAGCTGTGATGAGTTATTCAAGAGGTATATATATATAAAAGAACTAAACAAAAACGTTCCCGCTCTGAACTTTTCCTAACCATTGCATCGCCCTCTTACGCTTTCCCCCCACTGGTCCCCTCAACCACCCCCCTTATCACATACCCAACTTTATATTGGACCGTCCCCTAGAATCTAGCTCTGCTTGGCATCCGCGCCGTCGGGCGGGTTCGCGCCAAGCACCTTGACAACGGACTCCTTGGCCTTGACCTTCTCGTAGTACGCCTTGAGCTTCTTGTTCGCGTCCAGCGCTTCGGCGCCAGATTCCTCGACGATGGCGTGCAGCACCGGCCAGACGGCAAAGTCGGCCAATGAGATGCTCGGCCCAGCAATGAGGTCCGCCTCACCCGCGTACCCCTCCCAGATGGCCAGCTCCCGCTGCAGGGGCCCAAGGTCGCGCTTTTTCTTCGTCTCCTCACCGTCACGCTGCAGTCGTCGCCACTTGTCGAGAAGAGAGAGGCCTTGCTGGAAGCGGGTATAGACCCGCGCGGTGTCGGGCTGGGATCTGGCTGCCTCGCCAGCCTTGCCTGAGGCGTAGACGGCATCAAGATACAGCATGATGGCTAGCTCGCCCTGCACTGTCGACTTTACTGCGTCGCTGTCGACGAACCTGATCGGCAAGGACTCGGGGACGGCGGGGGTGCCCTTGGCGCTCGGTTTGCCCTCTTTCCAGCTGAACGAGGGCGACATGCTACCCTTGGCGTAGGTGATGCCGTACTCGGCCAGCATCAGGGCTATGCGCATGTTGACGACGGGATCGGACGAGGCGCAGAGGCGAGGCGAGTTGCTCATGTGGAGCACGTCGAAGCCCTTGCCGTAGTATTTTTCCCAGTCAAACTCGGTCGAGTGGTTCTCTGTGCCAAAGGCCTGGAGCATGGCCACAGCCTCGGGGCTCTGCCCGTTGATGACGGTGTGGGCCTCCTCTCTCGTCTTTCCGGTGGCTCCCTGGCCCCAGATCAGGGTGCTATCCCGATCCAAGAACGTGCCAATCTGCCTGAATGTGAGAGAGATGCGTCCGCCGGCGAAGGCCAGTTCCGGAGCGGTCTTGTCCCGTTCCGCTCTCTTGTCCTGCCGGATGGCGTGCAGCCAGCGCATGTTGGTCACCAGGCCCATGCGGCACAAGGAGTTGTGCGGCAGCTTGGCGCGAGTGGTCTTGCGCTGCTTCAAGTCCTCTCCCGACGGGCCTTCGGTTCTGGACGAGTCCTTTGCCTGCCTCTTGGTCCTGAGCACCATGGTCCGTTCGGCCCCCAGGCTGACGTTGGCAATGTACGATCCCTTGACAATATCTAGGGTCTTGTCGCTATGCTCGGAGATATAGTCGGTGCCGTCGCGGTAGAACTGGATCAAGGCGTGGTTCAGCGGGTGGCCGAGCTGCTTCTCGACCTCGGCCTTGATCTTTTGGACCGTCGGCGAGAAAGGAAGAAGAGGCGGCGACTCGTCGGATGGGTGCCGGTAGACCGGCGCGCTTCCATCGGCTGCCACCTCACCTTGGACGGCCACCAGCCGGGGGACCTCGCCCCCCTGGTGTGACATCCTCTGCCAGAGAACCTCGTCTCTCACCTTCTCGAACACGCCCTCGGCCAAGGGGGCTGGTAGAATGTTGTAGATGACGGTCGTGTCGCCCTCGCAGAGAGGCTCGGTGATCTGTGGGGAGGTTTCCTTTGCACCGGCTCGGTCATCCATGGTTGCCTGCTTTTCCGCCTGTACAGGCTCCGAGTCTAGCTTCATTGACTTCAACATGGGCTCCAGTCCTGTCTCTGACTCTGCCTTGGATCCCGGCTTCGGTTCTGTCTTCGACTCGGGCTTGGTCTCTGTCTTGACGACAACAGGCGTCGAGTCGGGCTCGAGTTCAAGGTCAGATGCAGACGACGCTCTCTCATCAACGGCTGCCTTGAAAATACGGGGTTCATTTAACGCATCCTGCTCTGTTCCTGTAGCCGAGCTAGGCCTTGGGGCCTCCGTGCTCGACGGTTTGCTCGAAGCTTCTTTGTCGGTTGAGTCACTCGCAGTTGCTTTGGGTGGCTGTACGGCCGGATCAACCTCTAATGGGTCGGAGACGTTCGCAGAATCAGAATCACCCATGGCATGGCTGGACCGCGAGCTCGAATGCCTACTTGCTGAACTGTTGAGTGAGAGTTTGGCCAACTCGACCGCGATTTTCACCTTGTATGCATCGGGCGCCGGGAGCAGTATTCCATCGCTAGCCTCTGCGACCCTTTTGGGTACGACAGGTGACGGTAAGGTGGGCTTCCGGGTGGTCTTGGGCTGCAGCTTTTCAATGACCGCCTCACTGTCCTCAACCTCGCAGCCAGTCACGTCGACAAGACTTCGTATGGCGCTGGTCTGACGCAGATCAGAGCAAAAACCACAGCAGTCCTCGATTACAGTGATGGAATACCCGAATTTGGCAGCGTCCATGGCCGTGGCATAAACGCCTATGTTCGCAAGGGAGCCACAGATGTAGAGCTCATGCACGAACTTGACGCGCAAGGTTTGCAGTAACTGGCCCGAGGTGAAGGCCGAGTAATGCGACTTGATGAAGGTGACGTCCCTCTTGCCCATGGCTTCCTTGATGGCGTCCGGAAAAGCAGCGCCGGGTGTTGCGGAGCGAACGATCTCCGGGCCGGGCTCGCTGAGGAAGGCCTCGGGATCCGCATCCGAGGCTTCTTCGGGCTCCGGGGCCTTGGGGGCGGCTTGAGGTCTCCTTCTCGCACGGGACTCTAGGGCCTTGGGCTTCGGTAAGGCATCGGTGGCCCAGATAGACTCGGCGGCAGCAGGGCGGAACTTGTCGAACTCTGTGCACACCCAAATAACGTCACCAACCTTGCGAAAGGCCCTGACCAACTCAACAGTCCGATCAACTAGTTGGTCGTGGTCGACTACGGGAAGAACGCCGTCGGCAGACAAGAAGTCGTTTTGGAAGTCAACTACCAGCAGACCCTTGCGGGTGGGCAGCGTAGGGATGGCGCTCACGTCGAAGGGAAACATGTTGGTGGAACTCGACGGGAATGGCGGTGGAGGCAAGGAAGGCTTGTCTTTCGAGGTTTGGTCGAAACCTTCGCCTTGCTGACGTTCGTTGGGCTGCGACATCTCACCTCACCTGAACGACAAGATGAGGTGGATATGCAATGGGTGAGATTTCGTGAAAAAATTCCGTGGGAAAGAAGTTGGGGGGGTTTTTTGGTCAAATTACTGATGTAAATAATGAGGGGGTAAGATTTGAAGGTTGGTTGTAAGATGATATGCGAATGCGGCCAGCAGCAACAACAAAGAAAGCAGATGTCCCGTTCGGGATGATCAGGTGGACGGGATACAGTCAAAAATAAGAGAGCAACATGCCGTTCGTCTTGCGGTGTTGGTGGAGGTGGGTGCGTGGTATTTGAGTTTCGAAGATGAGTGCCAGTGAGGGTGGGATGGACTCGGCGTCGGGCGGACCAGGAGGAGCTGTGAGAGTGAGTGAGAGAAAGAGGGAGAGAACATGCCTCCACTCGCAGCGGCTGTCTTCGCAAGTCTTCTCAAATCGGCTCGCGTCCGGTAGGGGAGTGGGTCCGGAGTGGGACTGTCGACGGAGGGGGCCGCCGGGGCGGGACTAAGAGGACGAGGAGGGAAAACAAGCCCAATCACTCGAGCAGTTGCGAAACCGAAGGATGGAATCTGGGCTTGCAATCTTCGGCCACCCGTTGGCGCATCAAGTAAGCTTTGTGCGCAAGGGCGCTAAATATGCAGGAATGCCATGCCAGGCGCTGCGGTGACATTGGCGCAATTCATTGGCTTCCGGGTCTCGATCCCAGAGTATCCCCAAGTAAGATAACAAGGGCTGATATGGTGGGGTGATCAGCACATAGCTGAGATACAATACGTAGAGTAAGTCCATAACTATGCGTTCAAATTCGGGATCATATTCAACACGAAGAAGTTTATACCTCGCGTTTGGAACAATAGCGGCTGGGTTGCCGGCCATTAGGGATCGTGCATCATGTCCACGCAGCTGTTTCTCGTACCCAAAGCCACATCAAGAGTCGTCACTGACTGTCGCCTTCACCCACGTATGCTCATGGTAGATGATGGCGGTGTTGCTTCGTCAAGGCACCTCGCGTGTCCTATCAGGATGCTGTCTAAGACCTACTTATTCATACAACGTCACTGCGTCCCGCCGCGAGACTCAGCTACCTGCATTGGCTTATGGGGGGGAAAGCCTATGTATACACACTACGAAGATCATGAACCCCTCCTACTAATTGTTCCATTTCTACTCATTCCACGAACCTTCTGCGTTGCTTTCCAACAATGTAAGTTCGAACCGCGGAAACTCAGTGGGTGACAGTTCACTCCGTGCTCGGTTAATTGTCTATTCGTACCGTTGTCTTCATTGTTCTATAAGTCTACTATCTATGGTCGCTGTCGCTTCCTCATGTTTCACCGTCATCTTTACGTTAACCATTGACTCTATATCTGTCCAATACAAACTCGCTGTCATCTCAACCAATCGATTGCAGCTCCAGATTAGCGGTGTCGAAGTCGTAAACCTGTCCCAGCGAGCAAAGAAACAGGACACTTTACGGGTCCGCTTCATTGATGTGCATGGTAACCGCCCGTATCTCTCTTACTGCTTGCGCGAAAGTCAGTCTCTCGCACACAACTGGGGTTGAGCAGTGAGTGTGTAGCTTCTGCAGCTCTCGAAGCGCCTTTTGCCCCCTGCCATCCTCTTCTTTGATGTTGACCAACCCAAGCATGTCCTCCACGAGATGGCCAAATGCGAGGACCTCAAGCTTCTCAAAGTCGAATCCGTCGAGGTGCTCGTAAATAGTCGCCGCGCCAAAGTCGCCCAGCAAAGCATGCCCAGTCTCGTTGACGAGAATGTTATGAGCGTACAGGTCGCAGTGAGAGACCTTCCGGCTGTGGAGGTGACAAGCAGCCGCGGCTATTCCGCGCAAGATTTCCAAGGCGGTCTCGAGAAACAGTGGGTTGTCGGTCCCGTATCGGTCTCGAGTGCAGGTCTGCAACGAGGGCGGGAGGCCAAGAGTCTGGTAATGAGGGGGGATGAGTTGCATGATAAGCCCGTGCTTCTCCGGATGGCCCTGGATGCTCGCCAGGGTGCTTATGAGGTTGTCATGGGAGCCTGCGGCCAAGCATGCGGCCATCTCGTCAAGAGGCGTCCCGTCGCTCGTCACCTCTCCCTTGAACAGTTTCACAGCCACCTGTTCCACCACCGAATCGGCCAGTGTCCAACTCGCTTTGAAGATGTCGCCGGAAGCTCCGTGGCCGAGCAAGCTTCCGATCTCAAGATCATGCCACTCCACTTTGCGAAGTAGGGCGAGCTCTTCGTCGAGGCTCACGGCACAGCAAGGGTTGCCCGCAACCGACAGAAAGGCGAGCTCGGGCATCTCAAAGAGCCAGGGCGGCAAGCCGGCGAAATTATTGGCAGACAGACGAAGCAAGCCGAGCTTATGGCACGCCGACATATCGTCCGGCAGAGTGGAGAGGCTGTTGCCAGCAAGCATGCACTTCTGGAGACGCGAGCAGCGACCGATGCCTCTGGGTAGTGCCTCAATGCGGTTATTAGTGAGAATAAGCCAGCGAAGCTTGGATGGCAAGGCGCCTTCCGGTATGGTTGTCATGCCATTGGATCGGAATGCCACCATCTCGAGCTCGGGACATGCTGCGAGCTGTTTGGGGAAGACAGTGAATCGGCAATCCGAAAAGAAGGCGATCTTGAGCTTTTGCAGTTGGCTGAAGTCCTCGGGCAGGGTTGAGAGGCCGGTGCCCGAGAGGTCAAGATGCTCGAGGGTATCGGCCAGGTCTAGGATCTCGCCGGGGAATTCATACAAGGGCTCAGAGAGTTTGAGCTTCTGGAGGCCTTGGTCGCGATAGCCTCCACTTCGCAGAGATTCCAAGTTTTGCATTATGTCGACCCAGGAGATGGTTGGGATTGGGGTGGAGATTAATTGAGCCGTGGGCAAGCTTGAATCCAAGCAAGACACCTGGTACAGAGAGGCTGATGAGACTGGAGACTTGGAAACCGAAATGATACGGACAGCCGAGGTAAAATCTAGATGTCTGTTGAATGATTTAAAGAACCGTGGAATAAAACGTCTCTAAGGAAGGCATAAATGAAGGCGCGTGAATCAGATAAGAGAATGAGCACAGCCGCGCTCGGCTGAGATGGGTCTCACTTAAATGGGACAAGCCAATGTCTAGTACACGTGTAACAAAGAGGACGAAGAGAGACGCGACTGAAAGTCGAGGCTTGTTCTGCCACTGACAACACCATACGATGTGCCCAGGAGGTGTGTATGTTCAGGGCGAATCCGACCCCCATGTCGGCGAGAGTTAGGATGGAAGGCAAGACGAACACTCGGCTAAGACGGTTATATGTAACTGAGATCAACACCTAGCGCGTAGATTTCCCTGACTGCTGGAAGATGAAGTCGATGAGTTGACAGGACGAGACTGACAGATGGACCCAAGATGCACCCCGGCTGAATGCAATCCATGGGGGGGGAAAGAAGACGCCGGTTCCATTGGACAGGAGGTGTTGGATCGCTCTGAAGCGAAGCTCTGCTCGGCAGTTAGGGCGCATTGTCCACTGAATCTGGAGAGGTCGATCCGCCCTTCGGCGCTGAACCAACCACACAGGAACGTGCTAGCCCACTGAGATCCGTAGGTACTTTACTGCTGTGTGTACTGTAGTAGGTAATTGGATGGTCTGGTCACTACCAAGTTAGGTGGAACAACCCCCAAAGGAAAGAGCTCGACCCCGACTTGGTGGTCCGAGCTGCGAGTCCAAATTTCTCGAGCAAAGGCCAGGGTAGGTACGTACTGTTCGTCCGCGGCACCTTCCCGCGCGATAGCTGCAACTGCTCCGAGATCCAAACATCCTCGTTACGTCGACCCGTCAGTCTCTTCGTCGCCATCACCGTAACATCACCCGCGCGCCATCTCTGATCCCGCCGCGTCCTTCCTCGCTTGTCTCTCGGAACGCGTCCGGCACTCTCACCATTCAGCAGCCTCCGCGCGTACGTCTCCCGACCTCACGACACCATCCTCTCTCTATCTCTCGAGCTTTCCACAATGTCGATGACGCCTTCACCTCCGACACCGACGACTCCACGTAAGCGCAGCTCTTCCAGCGAAGATCTGGAGCCGCATAGCAAGCGACAGAAGACCGATACCCAGACACCCGTACCCGCCGCCGCCGCCACCGCTAATGACGAGCCTTCAGTACCCTGCGCGACCAAGGTCACCATCCCTTCTCTCGATTACCAGGCGAAAAGCGGCCTAGAACGGAGTATCGGATTGGCACTGCAACATGTAGGCTTTGATGCCGCCACCCCGGAAGCCATGGAAGGGTTTCTGGGAACGGTAGAAACCTGTAAGTTTTGCTTCAAAGGCTACTATCGCTTTGCGTTCCTGAGGCGCTAACCTTGCCTCCAGACATGGCCTCCTTCATCGAAGATCTCAAGCGCGTCGCCCTTTCCGCGCGGCGTGAGCAGCCAACACCGGCCGACTTCGAGTCCACGATGCGACGCTTCACCCTCAAGACCAAGGCGCTCAAGCCCCATATCCGCCATCCCGTGCCAAAAGCTAAACTCGAGACGGAATACTTCAACCCATTAGTTGAGGACCCAGACGCGTACACAACTTTACCACTCCTCGGCGAGGAGCTGAGTGGCAAGCCCGAAAAAGAAGCCAAGTCGTACATCCCGAAATCATTTCCCGATTTCCCAAGCAAACATACCTACAAGTACACACCTCAAGAGGACGATAGCGGACGGGACCCCCAGAAGACGAGAGAAGAGGCAGCAAAGGCGTCCAAGCAGGGAGAGGAGGCCCTCCGGGGCTTGGTGCGGGCGGCAAAGGTCCGAAAGCAAAAGGAGATCAGGTCGTTATCGGAGCGTGATCCGATGACCAAGGAGCGCTACTCACTCTGGGCAGCCGCTATGGAGGGATTTGTCAAGAAGGAAGGCGGCGCAACAGGGCAGCTCGAGATTGCTGACCATAGCATGATTGTCAACTCGGATGCGCGGTATCTGCGCAGGGAGGTGCAGCGGCAGAGCAAGCGAGCCGCTGGCCAAAGCTAGTATTCCTACCGTGCGGAAGGTCGAATACTAAGCCACGCGTGGTGTTCGCGGGATGAGACGAAGAGGTGAGAGAAAGCCGGTGCCCACGAGCTAGGTCACATTGAACGGAACCTGCTTGGTGGGCTGCTGCCATCATGGCAGAAGGCTGAAGAGGTTCTTTATTCTGGAAAACGGGACATGCATTCAGCAAGGCGTTGGGGGTTTTCACCGCGGGCTGTACAAGAACACATTTGGGGAAGGTTGGCTACACGGTCCGTATCATTTCTACCGTCATGAATTTCCAAGGCATATCATACAGCGATGGCAAACCTGAGAGTGGCCCTGGCCGGGTCTATGAGCGGTCTATCGAGATAACACCAGCCTGAGTATAGGCAATACCAGTTCGTATTTGCAACACTCATGAACCTTCTGCATGTGACGAGGACGCCCTTAGGTGACACTTCAGTATCATGTGCCCACTCCAGTGAGTTGTCATATGCAACTTGCTCTCTGGATCGTCTCTAGACGATGAAGTCGCGGTGGTCGATGCCAGTCTTGTCCTCCTTCCAAATTGCAGGTCGCACTCGGAAAAAGCAGCTCGAAATAGCGGATGGAATGGCTTGTGAAGTTTGCAAAGTAGAATTAAGACAGGGGGTAGAGGCAATGGTATTACAGAACGGGGTCTGAAATCTGCTTAGACGGCCGCAACGAGTGCATTCCTCAGTCATCCACAAAGTGGAGATCTTCAAAAGGTAGAGAGACGGGCAGAGAGAGAGAGAGAGAGAGAGCGACAAAAAAAAAACCTAATAAAAAAACTTGTTGCCGACCCAAGTCCCATTCTGCAAGAGCCCCTGCAGCGAGTGACATGCAACTTCCGTCTGGAACACCGCGCGGCGGGTCTGATCAGCCTCGCCGCTCCCAGCGCAGCCACGGTCGTCTCCCATTGGCTCTAGCCCCACCTGCCCAACGCAAGGCTGCGTCGCTCCTTCCCACCTGCCAGGCCCTAACCGAAGTTTGCTAATTTTTCCCACCCACACCCAAAATCCGGAATTCTCAGCTCAAGCTCCCAAGGGTCAAAGGTGTGACGCTCAGAATCAACTCCAACCTTCCTACCTTTCCCTCACCACTCAATCGACCTGATTGCCTCATTTCCCAATGGCTGAGCAGTTGATTCTCAAGGGTACCCTCGAGGGCCACGTAAGTTGCTGTCCCGTCGCCTGCCCGCACGCCGTTTGCGCCGGCGCTGGCGCTGCGATTCGATTCTTTGGCAATTTTCGCAATGGCTGACGGTTGATGCGTTTTTGCAGAATGGCTGGGTCACCAGCCTGGCTACCTCCATGGAGAAGTACGACTACACTCCCCATTCTCCTTACTCTTGCCTCCCTCCGAATCCCCTACCGGCGACGTTCTCGACAGAAGATGGGGAATGGATTTTTTCCAAATTCGGCATCCGACATCGAGTTCGAGACGGAGAGGGCCGCGCGGGCCGCGAGACACTTGGGAAACAGAACCATGGTCGCTAACACTTCGCCAGCCCCAACATGCTCCTGTCCGCTTCCCGTGACAAGACTCTGATCATCTGGAACCTCACCCGTGACGAGTCCCAGTACGGTTACCCCAAGCGCTCCCTCAAGGGCCACTCCCACATCGTCTCCGACTGCGTACGTCTCTCGAACCCCTCCGAACCATGCGGGAAATTTTCTGCTGCTGCTGGGTCGTTGGGAACTCTGGGCTGATGGGAAGGAATAGGTTATCTCCTCGGACGGCGCCTACGCCCTGTCTGCCTCTTGGGACAAGACTCTCCGCCTTTGGGAGCTTGCCACTGGCACCACCACCCGCCGTTTCGTCGGCCACACCAACGATGTTCTGTCCGTCTCCTTCTCCGCCGACAACAGACAAATCGTTTCCGGCTCCCGCGACCGCACCATCAAGCTCTGGAACACCCTCGGTGACTGCAAGTACACCATCTCCGAGAAGGGTCACTCCGAGTGGGTTTCCTGCGTCCGCTTCAGCCCCAACCCCCAGAACCCCGTCATTGTCTCCTCCGGCTGGGACAAGCTCGTCAAGGTGAGTTCGAAGACAGCCCCCCAGTTTCCATGTTTTTCTCCTACCAGAAAAACATACCCCAACCCACTTCGACATGATGCTTTGCAACCAAAAGTATTTGCTACTTCAGAGCCTGTTCTGCAGGCCATGAGACCACTATTCACCAATGCACTGATCTCGCACATCCAACCCCACTTTTGTCTCTTCAGAAAAGCCTTGTACTGCATCAGTCAGACTGACAAATTGGCAACTCTAGGTCTGGGAGCTCAGCACCTGCAAGCTGCAGACTGACCACATTGGCCACACCGGCTACATCAACACCGTCACCATCTCCCCCGACGGCTCCCTCTGCGCCTCCGGTGGCAAGGACGGTACCACCATGCTGTGGGACCTCAACGAGTCCAAGCACCTCTACTCCCTCAACGCCAACGACGAGATCCACGCCCTTGTCTTCTCCCCCAACCGCTACTGGCTCTGCGCTGCCACCGCTAGCAGCATCATCATCTTCGACCTTGAGAAGAAGAGCAAGGTTGATGAGCTCAAGCCCGAGTTCACCGCTGTCGGCAAGAAGAGCCGTGAGCCTGAGTGCGTGAGCTTGGCCTGGTCCGCCGACGGTCAGACCCTGTTCGCCGGTTACACCGACAACATCATCCGTGCCTGGGGTGTCATGTCGAGAGCATAAAGGGCGTGAAGCTCTCTTCTGTTCTCTTTCTGGGTTATGCGATGATGGTGACGATGTGTGGTGGGGAAAGGGCTCTGAGATGGTAGATCATGGCGGGCGTCCTAGGCTGGCTTCCTCGTTATGTCTTTCGGGATGCGCAGGGTCAAATCGATTTGTGAAAAAATTGGGGATGAGACTGCATTGCTGGCTTATAGGTAGCCTACGAAAGGACTCTGGACATCAACCCACGTAACGCCCAAATCAAAAGATCCTGGCAAACTTCAAAAAACCCGTGTTTCTCGTTCAAACAGTGATGTTGACTTGGTCAGCGCACATCAACCGACCCCTTCTCGAGTGATGATTGTGACGTGACTCGGGATGTGCGTTTCTTGCTCTCGTCTTGTTCAATACCACATTCGACGAAACAGGTAACATGTGTTCCTGTAGAAATAGGTGAAGGCCACTCCCGTGGTCCTTGATGTTGGCCAAGATCATGTCTTGCCTTTATCAAGAATTGCAGAGCGCTCTCGGGATTGTTCATATCGACTAGACTAACAGGCTAGTCACTGCTTGTTTCTGGATTCAAAGCTATATACATATGTACAGAGAATGGATGTTGACTACCAAGTGGGATGAGACGTGTGGCAAAGCGAGTGCCTCCATCGAGCCCAGCCCAGCCCCTTTTCTTCTCCCCCTTTTGTTTCCCCTCGCGGTCGCTGACATGCCGAGGGAACGTTGTTCCCTACCTACCTAGAAGGGTGGCTTGGCGTTCTTGAGAAGCATCTCAAAGTAGGCCTGGTTCCAGGTGCCGGCCTCGGGAGAGGGCTTGTAGGCATCGGATTTGCCGCAGAACGAGTCGTAGCGGGTGGCGGTCGAGTCGCTGGTGCCGTCGGACTCGCCGCCGGGCTTGACCCAGACGAAGGCGTCGGCGAGCTCGAGGCCGGTGCTGCCGCTCGGACGGAGGCCAAAGCCGGCGCCGTTGACGTTGCACCAGTCGCCCCACTCCTGCCGGATGCCTTGGACGCCGTTGCGGCCTGTGTCAACGATGGCATGGTTGGGCATTCCCGCCGTCTTGAGAGCGTTGCCGAAGATCGTGACGTACTTCTTCTCGTTCTGCGCCTTGTTGTACTGTCCGTCGGGCGCGTTGGCAAATTCACCAGGCTCGGCGTCCCTTGTAGTATGCTTTAGTGCCTCTAGTTCTCGTGCAGGTATATGGAAATGTTCGTGGACAAAACTTACCAGGAGTTCCAGCCGGCCACGTTGGTGGCAATGCCTCGGACTTGGGATGGGCTGCCGGCGGCCTTGTACGCCTTGGCGAGCTCCTGGGCACCAGGGGTTACGTTATCGTTCCAGCCAAGCCAACCTCCATGGCCGGCATCGATGAACATGACGACGTTTGGGAGGTTGAGGTTCTTGAGGGCGTAGGCGACGCCGTCGCGGTAACTCGAGGCCGAGTCCTGGCACGTCTGGAGGTTGATGCTGAGAGCTGTTAGTGTCGGGAAGGAACAAGGGGTTCAATGAAGACATGGCCGGAAAAGGAAAAGAAAAACAAAACAGAAAGAAAAGAAAAGAGGAAGAGGGAAAAAAGGGGCAGCTTACTTGGTGACGAGATTGGGTAGCGAGTCGGGCTCGATGATGAGGGCAAAGGCCGTTTTGGGGTGGGCTTTGAGGATCTTGACGATGGGGTCGATGTACTCCGTCTTGTACCGGTTCAGTTCGCCGACCCTGAGCTCACCGTTGGAAGCTTTGGCAGCGCAGTCGCGGCCGGGGAGGTCGTAGATGACGACACCAAGGATGTGGTTACACGGAACGTCGGAGATGGCGGGCTCGAGACGCTGAATGTTGGCAATGCTGTCGCTGTAGGCGGCAGCGTTAAAATCTCAGATCATGAATTCACAAGGGAGGGAAGGACTTACACCCAGAGGAAGGTGCCGACGTCGGCAACCTTCAAGGCCTTGGCCTTTAGCGAGCCGTCCGAGATGTTGGCAGCGGCAGCCTGAACCTCTTTGCGGTAGAAGCTGTTATCGTGCAGAGTGTACTTGGAAAACACGTTTGTCTTCGCGTCTAGGGACACGTTAGTAGAACAAGCTGACGCGGCCTGGCGAGGCTGCTCCTTGAACGTTGTGGAGGGGGCAGCGATGGCCGTGGAGGCTAGAGCCGCGAGGGTGGCGGCGGTGAACTTCATGTCGAGACTGGTTTGTCGTGGAAACGAATGCAATGCCTTGGTCCTGATGCTGTACTCATGAAGAGAGAGTTGTGCCACTATTTATATGGTTTGCTCATGCCAAGCAAGCAGAGCATCACGGCAACTATGATTTAGTCTTCCGATCATCTCAAGACCTGGCAACCAATTTAATCAGGAAACAGGCCCGATGAGTGCGACAAGTTCGGTCAGATACCTCCGCTTCACGATGATGTTGCCAAGGGGCGGCTGGCTAATGAAAGGGACAGGGACCACGAGAGGTAGCCATAAGCAGGCTTGCCTGGCACGGTGTTAATGGCCGAGAGGGATAACACATGAGTTCCAATATCATATTGACGAGCTACTCCGGAGACCGAGTTTTGGAGAGGAGAAGCATACTGATGGATCAACGTCTGCTACCTTAGCGTGTGATGCTTCGTCTGACCTGCCTCCGTTTCAACCGATCCAGGGGAGATCTCCCATTGTCAATAAAACCGAGATGGCAAAAAGGACGGAATCTATATGAATTCATTTCTGCAACCAAATCCATGCCATTTGCCGTGTCTGCGAACTCTATGTAGAAAGGTGCGAGGTTTAACTGAAGTCTCCAAGCCCAGAGGCGTCGGGCAAGAACCTACGCCGCAGACCATACACATCGAAGGATGTATTAAGATCGGACGTTTCTCGCATCCTGACAGATCCACTGCCATGCGAGTGATTGCGAAGAGCAACAGGGTAGTCGGGCTTCTCCCTCACTATTCACAGACATGTGCGATTCAAAGCCTACCCCGTCAATGTTCGGCGAGAATGTAACGAGAGCAAGTTTAATGGCCTGGCTCCCACAACGGGCACATGAGACCTCTCGAAAAGACGTTGTGATAGCCGTGGTCCACACCCCCTCCAAGAAAATGAAAGCTTGCGTGAATTGCGTAACCATGAGGAATATAGTGTTGCGGCCCAGGGTCGTACCTAGTCGTCACATTAGCCGTTCGACCCCAGATTGACGGCAGACGTCGGATGCCGGTGCTAAGCTTCAATAAGCTTCAATTCTCCTTGGCCGGCTAAATTCCCCGAGTCTGGCTGAGCACTTTGACAGTCTCGGCAAGTAGCTTGACCGGCTGTCGTTGATTGAGGCGTCGTTCGTTCGCGTAAAAAGTGACGATGTCGAGACAATCTGTAGAGATTGAGCACACCGCGCTACTCGACCACATTGGGAAGGAGGTAATAGTAAACATGACACATAGAGCGGCTCTACCAGTGGCCAGACGTGCGAGCAGCCCACCAGACTACTATAATCTCCTGGACTCATTGAACCGGCCGAGTTACACAACGATCGACTTGAGTTCGTCTCGGATACTGCGGGGTTGTGAGCACCGTGGAGACCGAACTATGTTGCAGTGTTTCTTCGCGAGGCGTGTCTATTTACCCGGCCGAGGACTGACGTCGCCCTTACCTTACCCTCATTCTCCTTGACTACCAGTAAATTGTCGTTTGAATTTCCCCAAAAGGTAGACATATGGTAGCGAGGCGGAACTGGCGGTAGAATCGCCAGCTTTTCGGATGATTTCAGCAAACGGAGGGCCAGAGGAGTCCGAAACCCCCTCGTTAGGGATAGTTGCCAACAAGTGCCCGTCAAGGAGACCTGACAAACGTTTGTAGAAGAGCCCAGGTTATGCCGAACATTGAATGCTACCAGGAATGCCATAGCCGACCAAGCTCGTGGATATCACCTGTCGCCGCTGGATACTCTCCTGTAATTAAGCTTAGAAGTCACAAATGGAAAACAGATGTCCGAGACCTAAGTATCCGCTCGCAGTGCCAAATAATGCCAATGTAGTTCAATTCGTGGAATATCATTTTTCAGGTCCAACGGTCCTTTCTGGGATCCTTGATCGACCCCTCTATCTCGTATGTTACATTCGTGCCCACGGGGACACTGGGCTTTCTGGCCATAAGGATAGCTGTCTTGACGAACAGCGACGTAGCGGAAGCAACTCAAGTGAGAATGAGATGAGACGTTGCTCTTCTTGGGTTTGCCTCCGGTTGTACCGAGTTGTCTTATGCCTCTTTACATGAAAGGAGGCAGGGAGAACGGGTAGCCGCCGTTCTTAATGCGGAATACGCTCAGAAGGAAGCTGTACATGAGGAAAAGAACACCACCCCAAGCGAGGACAGCAACCTGCTGTCTCTTGCTGTCGCCGATGCGAGGAACCTTGACAGTAAGAGAGATGGCGCAGAAAGACAAGACACCGTCTATGTTTGGTTAGTTTACGAGGACAAAACATCGGAAAAGGGGGAACATACAGATGGCGGCAACGATCTGCGTCTCCAAGCCGAACTGGTTTTGGAAGCCACCAGCGAAGTAGCTGATGCCTCCACGACCATCTCCAGCGACGTAGGGAACCTTGCGGATATGGTTGAACATGTGGCCGCTGGTGAAGAGCAGAATGGCAATGAGACTGATGGCGGCCCACAGGTTGCGGTTCTGAATAATGGGAAGGATGTAGGGCGAGGCAGTGACCAGGACGGTTCCAGCACCAAGAACAATGGTGGTGATGGAGATCAAGCGCATCCAGTTGACGGGACGCGAGACCGGGGGGTGGGGACGGTCAGTGAGGTGTCGCGAGAGCCAGGCGTGGACTTGCTCCGCAGACTGGGGTCTATTGCTTGTTAGCCTCTTCGCGAGCTACAGCACTGTGCAAGAGGTTAACTCACCCGCTGGTGAAGTCGTACTGCAGGGGATCCGCAGAAGGCACAGCATGAGGTCCGACAGTGGGCTGGAACAGGAGCAGGACGGGGGCGGTTTGGAGGCCGAGCTAGGCGAGGATTATGTTAGTGCTTGTTTGGACACAGCTGACAATGGCTTCTTTGTGTGTTACACATACCGACATGAAGATCTCACGACCATCAGAGAAGTCCAGAGTACCGAAGAGAAGGCGCGACTCGCCCTTCTTGTCACCCTTGGTCCAGGTCTTACCCAGGAGATCCCATTCCGGCTGGAACTCCCGACACAGCTGGCAGCCGAACCGGTTCTCGAGGGCAGTCAGAAGGACTGCGACGGTGTAATCGCGAGGCGCGGAAGTCAAGGTCTTGTAACTGGAGTCGGCAAGCTTGATCGGAGAAGAGGTGAGGGCCTTTGCGTGGAACTCTTTGAAGCGTTCCTCCGGGGTCTTCTTGGCTCCAAAGGCACCGGCAGCGAAGCTGGTCGCAACCAGGAGGGATCGGAGGAAGCGCATCTTGGGGGGCTAATAATTCGGACTGGTAAAAAATCGAAAGGGGGTTGCGGTGCAAAAATCGTGGCCAATTGGCCTTTTTCGGGTGGTGAAGTTTGCGTACGTAACGAGTGGGTGCGCCGCGAGTGTTCGTCGTCGTCAAGATCGCACTGAACAGTGAAGGTCCCAGTCAGTGTCGAGCTCGAACTGGACAGCTCTCATCAGCGGTTGACTGCCCACAGAGAGGTGGGTCCAAGTACTTGAGGTGCAAGCTGGGGGTACGTACTGAGCGCATTGCCGAAGCTTACCCGGGATCGGGAATTGATTTGTCCTGTCTGGGGAAACCGGTGTCACTGTTTCTTTGACTGTCTGAGGTGCGACGCCGAAGACACAGTGGGGCGACGCTGCCTGGTGTGGGGGGGGGGTCACAGCGTTGACTGGCTAACCGTTTTGGGCACCATGTTTACCTCGCCAGTCCTCCATTTCAAAGACGTCCGCAAACACCACCGCCAACCCCATCCCGACACCGACATTACCGATCTCTACGACATAAGTGCGGGCATCAGCAATTCTGCAATCTAATCGCAGTACCGGCTTCACTTTTCGTTCCCGCGGCTCTGGGATATACTATCCCTCATTTTAAGGCTACGCGACCCAGCGTATCGACGCGCCTACGCGCAGAAACACACAGCCAACTCCTACAATGCCTTGCAAAACAAGGAATATGGACTCGGACGAGGCAAGTGATCGACTCTACACGCAGTGCCCATCACTGTGATGGGCTTAATTCTGACCACCTGTGCAGCGGATGGCGGCAGCCCACGAGCTGGAAATGAAGCACCAAAAACATATCCACAACGCTCAGCTCATTGTCAAGGAGGAAGACACCAGAAGACAGAGGGTCACCAAACAAGTTCTCCTCGACGAGAACTCGACATTGCGCGAGCAACTTGCTGAGAAGGAAGCTCAAATCAACCAGCTCACCGACAAGCTCGACCAGACGCGCAGTGACCTAGACTCATTAAAGGCGACAAGTCGCGACCAGGAAACCCAGCTGAAGGCCCAGAGGAGGGAGTTTGACCACATCAAGGTTGGCTTGCGCACAAATTCCGCAGTCCATGACGAACTGTGCTAACCACGAGCGTGCCAGGCCGAACTTGAATCCCTCAATAGCCTATCCCAAGAGTCGACCAAGGTGCTGGCTGAGAAGCTCACCCTGTCTAGGGAGGTCAACGCCATGAGACCTGAGCTGGAACACCTACAGTCACAAGTAGCTCACCAACAAAACGCAATCGCCGAGAAGCTAGAACTGGAGCGTCAGCTCAACATGGCCGAGGTGGAACTGGCTGCCGAGAAACGAGCACGAGAACAACAAGCAGCCCAGGCGGAGGGCGACAGAACGACTGAAAACGAACTGCGACGCAAGCTCAAGGATGCCGAGAAGAAGTTGACCGCCGAGAAGCGCGAAAAGGAACAATTGCAAGAAGAGCTGGAGGCGGCCGCATCTGCTGCGAAAGCAGGACAAGAGAACACAAAGGTCGAGCGCGAGCTGACCAAGAGGCTTCAAGAGCTCGAAAAGACGCTCTCGGCCGAGAAGCGGGAGAGGGAGAAGATGCGTAAGGAGAGTGATATTGCTCTATCAGAAGCCCAGGCGCAGAGCGAAATGCTTGAGCAGCGTCTCGACACGGTCAAGTCCAAGTTGCGGAACACGCAGGAAGAGTTGAAGGCAGTTCGCTCGGAACTGGTTGCCCGACCGCTGGCGGCACCAACGGCGCAGCCCGCCGCACGCGCTGGAGGCGCAAAGGCGCAGGGTGGCCGGAAGCGAAGAGTCGAGGAACTTACCATCAACGACATGAGCATCGGAACTCCAGAGGAGATCACTCGCGGCAGGCGCCCTGCTAAGAAGAAGGGTCTTGAGCAGACTCTTTTGGGCGAGAAATCGCTGTTCTCCATCACGCCCTTCTTGGCCAAGTCCAAGACGCTCAATGTTGAGGATGCTGTTGCCGAAGAGGACGAAGAGCAGAACGAGGCTGATGTCAGCTACATCCCGCTTTCTCATCAATCGCAGTCTCAATCTCGGGAGGTCGAGGTTGAGGTCGAATCAGAGCCTGAAGCCGAGGCTGGGCCGGAAGAGACGGAGGAGGCTGAAGTACCAGAAGAGAAGCCCGCCAAGGCTACTAATACTAAGCCGAAAACCAAGCCCGAGGGAGAAGCGAAGAAGCCTCGCGGCAGACCCAAAAAGGCTTTGGCCGAGGCATCCCCCAACATGCCCGTGCAGTCGGCTCCGGCCGCAGTTAGCAAACCTTCGGCCAAGGCCAGCTCACCGCTTGAGCAAGTGCCGGAGGAGCCCGAAACCGAAGAGCAAGAGGAGGTAGTGCCTCCGAAGGCCGCCCGCGCGGGCAAGAAAGCCACCATGCCTGCGGCGAACGCCGTGGGAGGGGGCGACCATGAAACCAAGAAGAAGAAGCGCAAGCTCGGTGGTGATTCAGCGACTCTGTTCGATGATGACGACGGCGAGGTTGCTCCAGCCGCTGCCAAGCGGCCCGGCAAGGCTGCTCTGGGTGCCGGAAAGGCTCTCGGCAAGACCCACCTGACCATGGTGCGCAACGCTGGTGCCTTCGGTAAGAAGACGTTCTCGCCCCTCAAGAAGGATAGGAGAGGAGTTGGTGCAAGCTTCCTGGCCTAAAAGATTGTGGCATTGCGGTTTCAAGCGCATGAGGCTGTGTCCGGGGTTCAGACTTAAGGGAAGGCGTAAAAGGGCATACGGGATAATGCATGGATGGTGTTTTAGGCTTTGGGCTGTTTAGGGTTTCCTGAACGAGGCCGGGTGTATAAATACGGTTGACTTTGATCAATTCAAAAGGCCCAACTGGCCGCGTTTCGCCACATGTGGTTCATCGAGCGAACAAATAAATGAATGACTGAATCGTTATAGTGAGGTCGTGGATGAGTTGACTTGAGGTTGAAGTTGGCTGGATACAGACAGACCCTGGTCATGATGTGAAAGGAGCTTGGACCAATCAACGTTCTCGGCCCAGCTTCATTTGCAGAAGCTTCACTCCAGCATCTCAGCATCCATGTCTTGAGTTTCGACCGAGGCAGCGTTTTACAACTGTTGTCAGGGACAGACTGGTACTACAGCTCTTTTTATCACTAGAAGCAGACAGTGTGTGTGCAGAAGGGACTGACTCCGTTCTTGTTTCCCACAACCATACTGCCGCCGGCATCATGTCAAAAACAGCATGTCGCACTCTTCTGGGCGCGACGAGGCGCCAAATAACCATCAGTACAGCCTCAAAGTGCGTACAATGCCAAATCGACCTCGTCGCTGGCCGCCAGGCGCGGGCGTCGTCGTCCAACTCGCGGTGGAAGATGAGGCAGGGTAAGGACATGTTTGCGCGTGAGGCCAAGGTGCAGGGGCTCAAGAGCCGGGCTGCGTTTAAGCTACTCGAGGTATGAGTATCCTACGAACTCATCGCTTCTGAAGAATGCTAGCTACTGACATGAGATCGTAGATGGATGCCAAGTATAAAATCTTCCGCAAAGGACAGACGGTTGTGGACCTGGTATGTCTTCACACGTGTGACCTAAACCCCCCTCCCATCGAAAAACGCAAAGGCTGAAGTCTGAGAAGGGATACGCCCCAGGCAGTTGGTCACAGGTACGAAGACCCTTCCCGGTGAAGCTCACCAGTGCAACACTACCAGAGGACGGGCTTGACGTGACAAACAGGTCGCCGTCGAGCGGACAAAGCCCAACGGCCAGATCCTCGGCATCGACATCATTCCCGCGCAGCCGCCCAAGGGCGTCTCGACGATCCAGGGCAACTTCCTCTCGCCTGACGTCCAGGACATGGTCAAAGAGTATCTCTCGAGGGCTAAGAGCCGGAAAGCGTCCTCGCCGCCGCCGTCATCAGAGCACGAGCAGGACGAGGAGGACGACGACTTGAGCGACGGGGAGGCTGCGGTGGTCAACGACAAACCGAGCTACATCGACATGGAGAGGGCGGCGTCCGAGGCTGCGGCAACGACAGCGCCACCCAGTGCGGTGGACGGAGCAGAAGCCAAGAAGGGGCGGCTGGTGGATGTGAGTCTGCCCACCCCCTCGACGCTTGTATAGCTTCACGGGCGCGGACTAACAAACGATGGGCAGATTGTGTTGAGTGACATGTCAGCACCTTGGGACCAAACATCCGGCTTCGGCGTGAACAGTCTTAGTAATCCCTATCACAGGATGATGAACACGAGCGGCATGGCCTTTCGCGACCACGCCGGGAGCATGGTACGTCTCTCTTTCGTCTCTCCCCCTCCCTCGCACTCGGGATCCGGATCGCTAAAGGACGAACCATTAGGACCTCTGCGGCGCCGCGCTCCAGTTCGCCAACGACACGCTCAGGAACGGCGGGCACTTTGTGTGCAAGTTCTACCAGGGCTCCGAGGACAGGGCGTTCGAGAAGAAGCTCAAGACCCTGTTCGCCAAGGTCTTTCGCGAGAAGCCCGAGTCGTCGCGCAGCGTACGTCTCGGACCCCGATTCGGACTTTTGTCTGGCGCTGACCCAGTTTGCAGGACTCGAAGGAGGCGTACTTTGTGGCGCTGAGGAGGAAGGGCAATGTGCAGTTGGAAAGGGATGAGAACTTGTAACGATAGTAATTCGAGGAGTGGGAAACATGTCACGAGCCCCGGAGCTTAGTCCTCAGTCCTCAGAAAGTCCCGCTCAAGCAACATGGGGAATACAGCATCACATTGGAGCACATGCACGCACACACACACACACACACACACACACACACACATATGCACAAGTCACAAACGAAGGCCAGTTGATGTGAAGTGTGAAAAACCAGCCTCTAGGCCGCCCAAGAGATGCCATTCGACGCCGTGCGAGAGTTCGTAGTCGTCAATTCTTTTTTGGATACCTAAACACGCCAGTACCATGCAGAAAGTTCCCTGTAGAGCACGACGGAGGATTTTCATCCCCGTCGGCATACCATAGCGTGTCCACCAGCGCGACGAGAGCGCGCACGACCAACCCCGATAGTTTTTGTAAAGATCCGAACGATGATGGTAACAACCACCAACGCTTAGACCTTGAAACCGCGAGAGCGTCTGCGACCACGGGCCTTCTCGAACTTGCGGCCCTTGGACTCGACGTAGGGCTTCTGCAGAGGGTGTCAGTATACGTTCCGGGGTCGGGAGACGACGCGGAGCAGAGGATGCGGACCTTGTGCTTGTGGGGACCGAAGCCGAAGTGCTTGACGGCCTCACGGGAGTTCTTGGGTCCGCGGAGCAGCAGGGTGTTGCTGCCGGTGGGGGCGCGGAGGGCAAGCTGGTCGAGGGTGATGGCCTCGCCGCCGGCGGCAATGATGCGGGCGCGGGCGGTGGCGGTGAAGCGCAGAGCGGCAACGGTCAACTTGGGGACGGTCAGGAGACGGTTGTCGTCAGTGACGGTACCAACGATGACGATGGTGCGCTTGTCCTCCTTGTCCAGGTTGCCGACAATGCGGGAGATGGAGACGGGAGGGCGGTTGATGCGCGACATGAAGAGACGGCGCAGGATGACCTTGTTGAAGCTGGAGTCGGTGCGACCTGCAAGATGTTAGCGATTGTCAAATTTTCGGCTGTGGCAGGATTTTCTCCGGCCATCAGGAGACTTGGTGGGAGAGGACGTACGGGTCAGGAAGCGGTAAAGCTTCACCAAGAGCTTAAGGTAGACATTGTCGCTCTTGGGAGCCTTGCGGTGCGTGCTGCGCACGTGGTGGCGGTCGAGATCGATACCTATAATCGGGGTGAAGAGCCCATCGTCAGCCTTTTGGTTCAAGCATGCTCTGAATGAGGCGGGAGTCCGTCAATCCATCGACCACGAAGAGAGCCCGTCACCACTCCCCGCGGAGCGCAGGAGAAGTGAGGCATCTCTTCTTCGTGGGAGGAGAGGATCTGTTTCCGCGCGCCCAGTTCGCAGAATAGCAACAGCAAATTCAGTCCACCGCTCTCGAAATGTTCCTCGCGGAGGAGGACGCGAGAAGCGGGAAAAGAATCCGCGTGCACAATCCACTCGCATGTAAAGGCTTGGAACGGGAATTCCTACGTACCCATTTTGTCGAAAGACTCCCGAAGTTGGCGAACTGAGTCAAATGGGCGGCCGTGATGTTGTCGTCGTCGTGATGCGAAAGGAAAACTTTCAAAAGATTTCCAAGGCGGCATACCACAATTACGCCTTCCCACACGGCAAAAATCCAGCTGTGTGGGCTTAGGGCAAACTGCGACTGGTGCTGGGCCAATCAAAACGCTGATGTCAGGTGGATCGATGAATTTCCTGGCGGGGCCCGCTAGACCGAGGCTGGACTCGGAGCTGCAGCAAACTTAGATGGCGGAGCCAGCGGGACCCTGCCAGACTTCGGTCAGTAACATTTTTCCCTTTTTTTTTCCCCTTCTTCGGTGAGAGCCGGGCAAAGCTCAACCACAGGTGAGCCAAGGTGTACTGCATTTGGATTCCAGAGGACCTCATGTCGATGAACGTGCTTGTAGGTACCTAGTAGTTAGGAAGAAGGGACAGCTACCAGTACTTCCAACCAGCGCACTATCGAAGTGTGCCATGCAGTGTCAGTTGCAAATCATTACCGTGTTCCTGGCGCGAAAGAAGCTCGATTCATATCTTGTATTGAGGCAATCCTTGGTCTGTCTATCTGGCCGGCCCTATGACACCAGTCCATCTGGGATGCCGGTGTGCAGGCTCGACCCTCCCATGCTGTGTGTGCAGGCAACGGAAACCCCTGCCGACCCTGTTGAATGCTCGAGCTAGTCTTGTTGTAATACATTATAAAAACACTGATGGACGAAATGCCGGGATGGAAATGCAACCCGGGGAGGCAGTCTTTCTGCCTCGCTGTGACTACAATGGAGCCACTGTCTAAGAAGTACCTCTCCATGCTCAACCCTTTTTCATAATCCTTCCGCCCAATGCCCCTTGGTCGACCCGAGAGAAAACCTGTAAAGTAAGATGGGACACCTTCCGCATCAGATGGGCGTCTCAGAGTCGACCTCGGGCTTGAGGGAGACCAAGAAGTCGCGAGACAGCTCGAAGCTGAGCCAGCTGGAGGCCATGCTGGGCGCGACCTTGAGCAGGTTGGGGACGATGCCCTTGTACATGCCTTTGATGCCCTCCTGGGCCACAATGACCTTGACGGCATCAGTGATGGACTTGTACTGGTAGCCCATGCCTGACATGGTGTTGATCTGGAATCTTCGACGCAAGACGTCGCTGTAATCTCGTCAGCAGGGTCAACGTCGGCTTGCTCCCATACAAACAACTTACAAGGGGTATGTGCAGGTCTGGGCAACAGCACCAGAGACAGCACCGGCCAGCAGTTTCCGGACAGCGCTGGGGTTCTTGTCACCCTCGGGGGTCAAGTACTTGCGAACCCATTCGTAAACCATGAAGTTGAGACCGACCTATGCATGCAATGTCAGAGCTGTCCACAACGTATCTTTGCCTGGCGGGAGAAGGGACTTACGTATGGGGCGACACCAGCGACGGTGGGGACGATGCCTCGGTACAGGGCAGAGACACCGCCCTCAGTCTGGTACATCTTGGTCATGGTGGCCCACATGCCGGGCAGCTTCTCGGATCTGGGACCCAGCTCGGCAAAGGACGCAGACTGGATGGACAGTCGGGTGCGGACAATGTCAAGGGGGTATGTGAAGAAGACGGAGGTGATACCGGCAATACCACCACAAGTCAGGCGGGCAAGCGGAGAGAGGTCTGCACCGGGGGTTGTCTCAAAGATGTTCTGCAAGCCGTTAGCTGGCCCAGCGCTTCACATACGGGTGCGTGCAAGCTGCACAAGGGCACAAGGCGTCCGCCGCCGGCAAAGCAGCATGACGGCCAAAGAGACTGGTACTCACCCTCTTGTAGAAGTTGTAGCTGCCGAATTGGACGGCAGAGTAGGGCACAATGCGGACGCAGTTGGTTCCGTTGCCTCTCATGAAACCTCTCCAGCCTTCCTCCCTCCACATCTTTGCCAGACCCTGGCCTACGGATAGCTTGTAGGCATCTCTTCCAACACTCTGGACCTGGAAAAGGATCTTGAGTCGCTCAAGAGGCGACACGACAGTTCGAGAGACGGCACCGGCAACACCTCCGGCGCAGAAGGCTGCAATGACGGGCTGGGAGACGGTTTCGCGAAGGCGGACGAACTGGACCGGAACCGGGGCGGGGCCGGAGCGGCTGCGGCAGGGACCGCCGCGTTGTTCTGGGACTGCAAGCGAAGATTGGACGTCAGTTACGTTGTCTGGTCTTTGTTTCTTTTCTTCGCAACCGAGACAAGCTCTGGAGAAACGCCGCGATCCATCAGGGCGAGCTCGGGTGCAGGTGCACTTACAGACGACATGACTTCAGACTCTGGTCAAGGAGCAGTGCGGATGTATGTGTGTATTTTGTGCAAGCGCAATACTCTTGGTTGACGACCACACTGCTGAACCTCTGAAGCCACCTTATTGCTATGACGTTGCTTGCATTTAAGGCTTCTGAGGAGGTGGTACGGGAGGATTCGTGTTCAAAAAGTTTGCGACTCCTGGGTAAAGACGGAGGAGCCGAGGGGGGAAAGCGTGCTTTCGAAAAAGAATGACCCAAAAAAGGAGAATGGAGGCAGTATTCGTCGAGTCTAAGAGGAGATCGGGAACAGCGACGGCGGCATAATCGAGTGGGTGTTCGAGGGAGAGGGGAGTTTTCCGAGCATCAGAGGCGTCTCGTGGTCGGGTTGGGGCGGTTGACGAGTAGTGGTATCGGTGGTCGTGTGTGTATCGCGGGTTTTTTTTGGCCGAAGGTGTTCGTCTAGGGTGTCTCCAATATGCCGCGGCTAAGGTGCAGGCCGATCCAAGGTCGACAACAAGGGCTGTACGGTGCGGAAGGCAAGATTCGTCGACGATGGTAATTCCCAATGAGCGCTTGACGGACCGTGTAATTCTTCGAAGCAACGATACTCAAGTAGAGGCGCGCGTCGTGGGAGTCGGGGGGAAAGAGTGGCAGGTCGAGCCTTGCAGATCCCCAGAGATGAGAACTGATGCGATTGACGGGGAGAAAAGGGAGAAACAGGAAGACGAGTTGAGTTGCGCGGGAGGTAAAAAGGTAGCTCGAGAAAAGGTGACTGTTTGCGCCGAGGCTTCGACTGTCGCAACAGTCAATGAGAGGGTGGAAGATGAAGCCGCGAGGAGGAATGAATCACTGGGTCGTAAAAGACGCCGAACGACGAGGACGCAGACGCAGACGCAGACACAGACGCAGAGGCGCAAAACGAAGATCCAGATGCCAAATTGAGGACGCGCTGGCGGCAGCGGCAGAGCAGGCGGCAGGCAGTCAGTGACAGTGGCAGCAGTGACAGCTTTTTGGAGAAAAAGTCACCGGGGGGCGGCCCCAGCGGGCGTGGCTCAGCCAGGGCAGCTCCGGGGAGTGGAAGGGGGACGGAAGCTGTCCGTCGCGGGTCGCTGGTCAGGTACAGTCGACCTGCTACCCTGGCTGGGCGAGGACGATACTGCAGGTACCGGTACTTCCAGGCCGGAAAACGATCAAGTGACGCACCACTGGGAACCAACCACGACAACTCCTTTACCCGCTGACACGACCAACTCCCAACCAAAAGTGCCCGCCTTTGAGACGAACTGGGAAGAGCGGCCATGTATCGTTACTTTGGACTAATTCGACAACACTATGTACTCGACTTCCCATCAGCTCCAACCAGCGGGGGAATATTTTCTCTCCACACCCATGACGACAGCCTGGGGGAAAACGGGGTCCAGCGACAGAGGTATAGTACTTACACTACACTACTACTCCCCAAGGATCCTAAGGGGAGAGCCCGCCGACTTCGTGTTGTTTGTCTCTTTGACACTATGCAAATGCCCATGTGCCACGGGAGAGAAAACCGAAAGGGATGGCAGTTAACAAGGACACAAGAGGCCGCAGAATTATCGAGGACAGGCTCACGCGGGAGGGACAATCGGCGCAATCCTTGGCCAACAATGCAACTGGCGAGCTTGGGGAACAATCCCTCGAGAGAAGCTGCGTCACTAGAACTGTCCCAGAACTGAAAACTAGCATCAACGCCAGTGCCATTGACTCCATTCCGTGTTAGATACGGGGTCAAATCACTTCTGACCAGGTACAGGCAGTGTCTCGTTGCTCGCTTTTACCTAACAAACCACCAACCTGTGACCGCCTCGTCTCAGTATACGGACAATCCTTTACACACGGAAATACCATCACGTCATTGGGCCGTCTCTGCTACACTGCCATTTGTCCGAGTCGAACCTGGCCAAACGAAGCTCGCCATCTTGCCCGCCCGAATTATTCTTCAACTCTTTACTAAACGTGTACATTGGACGGTTGTTACCGTCTTGCCTTCAACGCAACGGCATCCTGTTCTCGACACGGAACATTGCAGGTTAGACATAAGTATTCAGTACATGGACCCAACGGTTTCCCAAACTCCACTTCACCAGACCTGCCCAGGCAAAGTATCCTGCAAGTCCCTCGATTTCGGCTTCGTCCGGGTTACATCGGAGCGAGTTTACCGAATCCCCCTCCTCCCAAGCCTCCGGATCGTCCCTATCAATGCCGACAAGCGCGCTTCTCTTGCTTCCACAAAGCACACCCCGCCCCCCGTCTTCCCCGCTTCACCACCGAGACCCAGGACAGGACGAGCCTAGCTGCTCGACTGCGCTGCTCGCCGAGCACGTCAGCACAATCACTGAGGAAGAAAGAACTTCCCCACCTCTCCGCTCGTTTCGAACATTGATCCCGATTATGGCCTTTACCTACCAGGACTATACGCCGACTTGATCCCTTGGCTTCTCATCAAGCCCAGCACGTCTTGGTTTTGGATATCCCATACGTACACTCATCCTGCAAGGACGAGACCTGCCAAAAGAGAGCACCTCGACCACACCATCACGAACCCTAACTCGTCTTCAGGAACAAGTATACGCCGCGTCTCCCATGAGCTCGATCGAGTACAAGGGAATGGTTCACAAAGGCCTGCCCGATACGGTACTATCCTAGGCCACGGGCAAGTGCCACGGTGAGCTAGATGGCCCCGATGTCGGCTCGGTCTGCGTCTGACATGGTGAGGGAGTGGATGGCGATTACAAAAGAGGCCTCTACACGGCGTGGGCGTTGCCTGAGCCTTGAGGGCCCTTCCCAAGAGTTCGCCAGCAAGTGCTTAAGATACCGTTTCAACGGCGAGTTATTGCCCAAGACATGAACGCAATATCGATGCTGTCACAAGCCATGCGTTGTCTCGTCGATTGCTCGACAACGACGGCATGCCTCCAAGCCCAGCTAGGAGTCGCCGGTTCTCACGTCGTCAGGCTGCATGAGCAAGTGCTTCTGCAAAGACCTACATTCAATTTTTAAACTACTATGGGGGTAATGCTATCAAAAGGCCGCCTGCCAAAACCGTGCGTCGTTTCGAGCTCGTCGCCGAATGGGGAGTCCCGCCGATGGTCGATTTTCCGATGTGCCTAACAACTCGAGTGCTGCCTGTGTCGAATGGCCCAGGCCTTGCGTGCTGAGCTCGAAGAAGCCGGATCGGTCGCATCGAGCCTAAAAAGCTCCCAGAAGGTGAGGACACTTTACAGATCCAGGTTCAAATGATAAAGGTAGGACCGGGAGAAAAATCAGAAAACTTTTTGGCATAGCCACGCACAACCCGACAAGAGAAATTGCCAAGTATACTTATCACTCCGCAGCAACATCCAGGTCCTCGTGGGCAGGGGGGGGGCTGTCCAGGGCTACAATGGCATCGGTGTCAGTTTGTCTGCAGGCGATCCTGGCGTTTGCGGATGTGCACAAACCTTTTCTGTCGTCACCGTTGGTACCGTTCTCACGGTGGTCCCGGTCGTCGCGATCGTCCTTGAGGTCCCGGTCACTGTTCCTGAATCAGCGTACTTGCTCGTCTACTCGCGTTACCAAGAGGGGCACGAACCGTCGGTCAGGGCTGCGGGAGCGCTCGCGAGTGTCGCGTCGGTCGCCGCGGTCGTAGTCACGGTCGCGGTCGCGGCGGTCATCCTTTCTGGGAGAGTAGTCGCGGGTGCTGCGGCGGGGAGAAGGAGAGCGGCCACGACGAGGGGAAGAGCGACGAGGAGCGCGCTCACGGTCCCGGCCAGAGTCGAATCGCCACGACGCACTAGGAGGTGTGCGAGCCCACTACAGGACGTACGTCGTCAGCATGGAGGTCAGTCGAACGACCAAGTCCGTGTGTCCCTTACCTCGATCTTCAGGATGTCGTCACGGCCGATGCGCTTGTTGTGCATCTCATGGTAAGCATCGTCAGCGTCGCGACGGTCCTCGTACTCGACAAAGGCGAAGCTGACGGAAAGGTCAGTCCCGAACTGGCAGCGGGCGGGAAACGGATGGAACCAAAGGTGTGGGAACTCACAGTCTGCTAGACGCCGAACGAGGAGCAGGGATGTCGCAGCGGACAAGGTGTCCATAGCTATAATCGAGTCAGAATGTCAGCATGTCGATACATACATGGGAAACCGTTTGTTCATTCAGAGACAAAACGTCGGCCGTCGTCGGCATAGCAGAACCTGCTGGTGTGTGTTTGAGCAGCCACGGGAGCGCTGGCAGGCCACGGCGGCGCGGACAACGGGCGGTGGGTTGGGAGGCAGCCGGAGCGAACGAGGACAGGACGCATCGACGAGGGGGACGGAGGACGAGGGAAGCATATTTGATGCTGGAGGCAGGAGCAGCGAGTGCGAGTACGAGGTGCGAAAGTGCGGGAGGACGGAGGCGGTGGGCGGGGAGGCAGCGAGCGAGGCAAGGAGATGGAATATCGGAAATGTCGGAATGGCTCTCGCGTGCCGGGAAAACAGGACGGACGGAGGCATCGACGTGGGAGGTTTTCTGATTTTCAGTTGACATACCGTTCGAATTCGTAGGCGAGGTCTCGGGCGCGAGTTCCGTGGCTGAAGCCAGTCACGTACAAGGTGGTGCCACCGCGCGACATGATTGCTGTGCTGACTTGGCTGCAAGGCCGAAAGTAAAACGTGCAAGGAGATGAAGAAGAAGTCTGGTCTCGCGATGGAGATGCAGCGACAATCAGGGCCTGATGGAGCAGAGCCGCGTGACGGGGGGGATGTAAAAGGGAAGTCGATGCGCGTGGTGGTTTGGTGATGTTTGAAGAGGAGAAGAAAGAGATGGCTTCTGATCGGCCTGGCGCAGCAAAAAGATTTTGGTACGGCAGCCCGGCGAGCGAGCTTGGGCGAGGTACGTACATAGCATATCCGCATTTAGTCGCGGACCCGCTTCTTGACTCGGAATGAGGGCGTTGGTTGGTCAGATGAGGACCGCGCTCGGATGGCGCAGATACAGAAAGCTTACGTAACAACGCCCACGCGCACTGCACTTGACGTTTCTCACTGGCCCCCCTTACTGTGGAATGTGCGCTGGGGCCTCTCTCCGTGTCCAGCTTCCAGAAGCCTCGAAACGCGCTGCGCTGGCAGATGCCTCTCCACTGCTACACTGTCTCAGCAAACAACAGCGGTCACTGTGCCGCCGCCAGATTTGCAGCTAACGCCGGCAAGCAGCGCAAGTGCCCCCGAGCCCAAACGACCCCTTCGCGCGCGCGCCCCAGCAACCTCAATCGGCCTTGCGACAGGGCCGTCTTCCCCCCCCCATGTCAGGCACACCCGGCCCATTCGGGCGCTAGTGATGTCATGGCCGACCAGGACAGGAAATTTATTTTCTAGCACCCGAAAACGATGCAAGGTGACCAAACAGGCTTCACCGAGAAGCATCGGATCACGCGCTTCGGCAGCAACTCAAAACTCCCAGAATGTGACCTGACAATCATCGTCGCCCGCCTCTCCGTCTCCGCCGCGGTGTTCGCCGTGGTATTGGGTACAGGTGGCAGACGAAAAAACACACCGTCGGACAACTCGGGTTCGAGCGCGGATGCGAGGTGTCTCCCCGTTTCCGGCCACACGGTGCAACACCTAGGTGTAGGAGAATAGTACAGTAGAGACCGCATCTTGCTAGCACTTGCCGAGCTCCAATTGTCCGAGCATGAGGTTGACAGCAAGCTCAATTGCACCCCGAGGCTCGTTCAAAGCGCCTTTTGAGGAGACGCATTCACTGCAATGTGCAGTAGTATCACGCTCCCTTGCTTCTGCCATATCGCCAAAGACGACAGAAAAGAGCACACCATCGCCGGCATCTAGTGTACCTGGCCAAACAAAACATCCGAGACACCAAACAGAGACACATGGGGAGGCTCGTCGCTGCCCTATGTATGTCTCAATTGCATCGAGGTTCTCTTCCTCACTCACTCACATCACATGCTATTCGGTATCTGTACGTACCGGGATACCTGGCAGCCTCGCACTCGACAAACCCTCTTGGAAGGAATACTACTCGCTAGTTAACATCTATGCGAACTGGGGTTGCCTGTGAGGCGGGCATGCGGGCACCATTTTCTCGCCTGCATGCTCGCCGTTTTTACTTTGTCTGATATCACCACAGTTAATCCACATGATGTCGCCTCCTCTATCCCCGGCTCCCCGTCGCTCTCTGTTCTCCAGCGGAATAAGCGGGAGAGCCTCACCAGCGCACAATTCGCAATGATCACGCTCGCACTCGTACAATGGAGAGCGAATCCAACTTGTGGTGCCCGTGTAGGCTCAAGGCCCCGGAAGCCTCGGTCGCGGTTGATCCTCCACCAACCCAACGTCTTTGTCTGACCATCCCGGACCATCTTGCAACTATATGTCAGAGGCGGACGACCGGCGATGAGCCCGCTAGACCCGCAAATCCAATAACACTTGGTTGTTTTTATAGATACCGTTGCCAGTTCCCAGCCTAACTCCCCATCTGCTCATGTTTCATCTCTTCTCTGTATACACCCATCTGCTGTGCCTGGCAAATCGTTTGTCAAGATCTTTTTCGGAAACATTTCGTACTCGAACCGAGTCATTGGTAAACTCACCAGTGCAGCATTCGCGCACACATCCCGGTCGGGCGAGCTGACATAGACAAAGTCGCCGCACCGTTACGTCGACATTGGCGATTATCCCCCACATATATATCCATTACCAGTTCTTCGGCTTTTGTTCCGATAATAAGTTTCAACTAAAGAAGCGCCAGTGAACTCGACATTTTCCGGTTCACCAGAGCGTTTCTGCATTCCAGATCATCACGCCTTGAGACTTGAAGTTCACTTATAAGCGCACTGGCAGCGGCCCTTGTGTTCGTCTCAAGTGAGCTTACTTGCTTGAATTAGCTCCATCTATTCCGCCACCGGCATCGATAGCCTTCGAGTCCGCATCTATGGAAGCTACATTACCCGCTTCTTCGGAATCGCCCCATTCGTTACGCGATGCTCTGAGAGCGACAAACCGCGAACGGACGACGTCGTCGACGACTCCGTCAGAGAGTCCGAGCGAGGAGGACTACGATGACCCGAAGCTGTCTGCAAGACGACGCAAGGAACGGGCCCTGGTCCGTCCCGGCGCATCACCGCTCAAGAACTCGTCAAACGCCGACAGGAAGCTGTCTTTAGACGGCTCGACCTTGTCCGAGACTTCGAGCGTCGACGAGTCTCTTCGCGATGACAACGGCCGTCTCAAGACGTATGTGCTCTCGCCTGATGACCGCGAGCTCCGCGATATCATCAAGCGAGGGCTGGAGAGGGTAAGTCAAGAAGCTTTGCTACGAGCATCAAAAGGGAGTTGGGCGACTCACACTCACGCGTTTGCAGGAGAAGGATCCGAAAAAGCCACGACGGGCGGGCAAGTTTAGCGATTTGGTCTTCACACGTCAGTTTTCGACGTTTGACAGGCAGAACCAACAGACGGCTAACAGCCCCTTTTACGGGTTCTACACGCTGTTCTGGCTGGCCGTGGCGCTCTTTGTCGTTAAGATTGGCGCCACGAACTGGAAGGCGACGGGGAGCCCACTAGGCACCAACGACATCATGAAGATCATGTTTCGCCGGGACGTGGTTGTTCTCCTGGCATCCGATGGCGTCCTGTGCGCCGCGACCGGCGTGAGCTGGATACTGCAGCGGCTCATCTTCAGCGGCTACATAGACTGGGACAGGTCCGGCTGGATCATCCAGAATGTAAGTGGAACCCTCCCGGCCCGGGCTGCTTGAGCAGAGGCTTACACAAAACGTTAGATATGGCAGTCACTGTTCATCGGTGGCGTCGTTGGCCTCACTCTCATTCGAGACTGGCCCTGGACACACACGGTCTTCTTCGTCCTCCACGGCATCATCATGCTCATGAAGCAGCACTCGTACGCCTTCTACAACGGGTACCTCTCCTCAGCTTACAAGAGGCGGAAATCTCTCCTCTCGAAGCTCAAGAAGCTGGAGCACGTTGCTCCGACCGAGTTCCCGTCCGCCACCAGCCCCTCCGCGTCGACAATTTCCCTCTCGCACCTGGCCAACCCGCCGTCTGCGGCCGAGATGAAGGGACGCCGGCAGTCCGTCACCCACGTCCGCGGCTCCGACGAGACCGACCTGGACCGCATCTCCCACGCCATCGAATCCGGAGAGCCGCTCGACGCCGACCAGGTCCGCGTTTTTGAGCGCATCATCCGATGGGAGATTGACGGCCTGACGGATGAGCTACGAGGGAAAGCGACGAGCGTTGTGCGGGCGTACCCCAACAACCTTTCTTTCAAGAACCACTACGAGTACATTGTCTTGCCCACGGTGGTCTACGAGCTCGAGTACCCGCGTTCCGAGTCGATTGACTGGTACTACGTCGCCGAGAAGACCGCCGCCACGTTTGGCATCATCTTTGTCATGATCATGGTGTCGCAAGCGTTCATCTGTGGGCCACCCCTCCTGACTATGCAATCCGTGGGTATGCTCTAACGCCGTGATAGATCCGGTCGTGATGCAGACCGTAGCCATGAAGGAGACCGGCATGCCCTTGGCTGAGCGCTTCCGCTACTTTCCCTGGATGCTGAGCGATCTCGTCTTCCCGTTCATGATGGAGTATCTGGTGAGTGACGATGGCCGGCCAACACGGCTGAAGACGTTGAGAGCAAAGGACTGACACGATGCAGATGGCATGGTACCTCATTTGGGAGACAATCCTCAACATCCTCGCTGAAATCACCTACTTTGCGGACCGCAGCTTCTACGACGCCTGGTGGAACAGTGGTATGTCATCACCCCTGGTCTCGATCAAACCGTGGCCCAGCCTGCTAACAATGACAAAGTCTCCTGGGATCAATTCGCCCGCGACTGGAACCGGTAAGCCCCCCCGTCTGAGAGAAGCGGCCCTTGGACACGAGAAGCAGCCCATCTAACCACCCCCTCCCAGGCCCGTCCACAACTTTCTCCTCCGGCACGTCTACCACAGCTCCATCTCCTCAATGAAGGTGAACCGCCACACGGCGACCCTCATCACCTTCTTCCTCTCGGCCTGCGTCCATGAGCTGGTCATGTGGTGCATCTTCAAGAAGCTCAGGGGCTACCTCCTCTTCATGCAAATGTGCCAGCTGCCGGTACGTCTCCCCACCCCCGTGAAGCATAAAACTGACAACGCAACTGCAGCTTGTCCAACTAAGCCGCACGCGGTGGCTAAAGGGCCGCAAGGTCCTTGGCAACATCATGTTCTGGTTCGGCATCTTCACAGGGCCGAGCCTGCTGTGTAGTCTGTACCTCATTCTGTGATTCGTTTCCCGTAGCCGCGGCCCTGCCTGCCGCGAGGCCTTCTTGCTGGATAACAGAGCGTAGTTGGTGTGGACCCATTCGAGCTCCTGTTTCTTGTGTTTATTTCTAAATCATGGGCCTGTAGTGGCCCGGGTTTCCAGAGCCATGTGTTCCCGCCCCGAGTGAATGACGCCGCTTCTTGCCTTTGTCCCTCAGAATACGTGAAATCACCTCCCTTTCTCGCCGTCACTTCCGACCCCAAGGTCCTCGGAGGTAGCATAGACACTTGCGTGCAAAGGCCCATCGTGAGCGGCGCAATGTAACCGGGAGGGCCGCTGGCCACGGGTTCTACGAGACCGGCAGCATCGCCGTGCTGATAACCTCTCCCCCCTTGGCCATCCGGATCCGCGCGAGCAATGTCCACGGCACAGCTGAACGCAGGACCACGTGCCCCGCCTCATCAAGGAAGACCGCCCAGGGAAGCTCTCCATTGCGGCAAGGCCTGGCTTGAGCACACACATCACACACCGTCCGGAAGCGAGCACCTTGCATGGAATTCATCATTGGATTCATTCAAACTAAACAATCAACAAAGCCTCGCCGCAGTTTTGGCCTTTTTCTATCCTCGTAGAGAAACATGACAGACATTCGCGCCGCGTTAAAAGAACAAAGGGGGGGGGTTCATCAAAGACGGTTTACAGTCCCTGCTTCTCTGCCGTCGCCATGAGAGATCCTGCCAAGGGGGTTAGCACTAGAAACGCGGGGGTGCATGGAGCCAAGGGTAAAGATCAACGTACCGATAAAGGTGGTCACCAGGCGGCTGCGGACCTGGCAAATATCCTCGGGCACCAGCCAGATGGTCGCGCCCATCTTTCTCGCAATGGAGATGCTGAGCTTGGCGTTGAGGTAGGCGTCGTCGTCCGTGCGGCCGGGGGTGACGAGGTCGTAGTCGACGTAGCTGCTCTTCATGCCGTTGAGCACGTCCAGCAGGAAGACGCCGGTGCCGATGGCGGGGTCCTTGAAGGAGCGGATCGCCGACGACTTGCCGCCCTTGCGGGACATATCGTTGGCCCATCTGACCATCTCGGCGTCCGTGATCTCCTTCTTGCCCAGGCGCTGCGCCAGAGTCGAGAGGGTGAGGGTGATGTCCCTGCGCATCAGCTGCCACACCAAACCGAGGGTGAGGGTCCGTTGGCCGTCGGTGATGTCCGCGCCCTGGATGCCCACGAGCGAGAAGCGGTTCTGCTTGCCGAGCTCGATTGCGTAGTTGGTGTTCTCGACGGCCTTGAAGCGCAACATCTCGCCGCCGTGCGCCGGGGGCTTGTTGACGTGACGCCAGTTGACGGATCCCTTGATGACCTTGTCGTACGCCTGCAGAAGGATCGTGCCGTCGCGCAGGTCGTCAAAGAAGGACTGGACGGCAGGCTGCACGTCCAAGCTGTTTAGCCAAAGGGTGAAGACGCGGGCCTCTCTCTCCCCTTCGGCGTCAAAGTCCTCCACCTCGAGCTTCTCCTCCTCGGTGATGGGGTCGAGTGCGGGGTGGGTGTTGAAGAGGTTGGCAACGAAGGCCAAGTTCAGCTTGGGGTTGCCGGCGACCAAGGACGTGGGCGTGAGGAACTTGCGGCATCCCATGTTGTCGGCGGTCTGCAGAATCTCCTCGGCCCTCTGCAGGAGATCCCTCGTCTGGAGGGGAGCTCTCGTCGCTCCATATTCGGAACCGATCTGCGCCAAAAGGACAGTGTAGTTCTCACCGTCCTTGATGTCGCTGGAGAAGTTGTTCACCCTGAACAAAAAAAAAAAAGTCAGCACTACCCGTGGTCTAGGCCAGGGAATACAACACTTACCGTCTAGGCCAGTTGGCGGCCTTCAGGTGGTAGTTGAACCATCTGAGGAGGATCTGTTCGGGAGGCAGACGCAGGAACTGCTCGAGGGTCTCGTCGTCCTCGAGCAGGCGGTACAGCTCAGGGTGGAGCTTGATGTCGATCTTGCTCAGCAGGCCGCGGCGGATGATCTGCCAAATCAGACCGAGGATCAAGTGCTCTCGGCCCTCGATAATATCACCACTGCCAATGTTGACGACCGACAGACCGATACCCTTGGACGACTCAATGACAATGTTGTTGTTTTCCGTCATCTGGAAGGCGTTGAGCTGCTTCTTGTTCTTGGGGCGGTTCAAAACACGCTCGTCAATGGTGTCGGGGACGCTGTCGTTGATGAGCTTGGCCAGCACGAGACCGTCCTTGCACTCGTCGAACATCTCAAAGGTGTCAGTGGGGAAGGGGAGGCGGTTTCCAATGTCCGCATCTCCGGCCAGGACGGCGTTGATGTGACGGGTGAATTCCGTCCTCTCATCCTCGTTGATGGTGTGGGTGACGTTGGCGTTGGAGCCCTGGACGTGAATCTTGCCAACACTCGACTTGGAGGCATGGCCACTGACTTTGCCGGTTGCTTGCGCGACGATGCCAGCAGGAGGAGCGCCGCCGGGGCCAGTCGACATGCGTTGTTGGGCTGGGGAAGACTCGCGGAGCTTGGCAATCAACTGCAAGGCGCTTTTTGTTAGCGAGGAAGCGGACGCCGGCTGGGGGTGCAGGGCTGGGAACGTACTGCAACGTAGTCCTCCAGCTCGACTCTGCGGGAGGAGTCGAGCTCGACCTCCTTCAGGGCCTGTCGTACGACATCGTAGGGTTGGCGTTCGCTCTGCTGGGTGGCCTTGATGGCGGTGGCCTCGTCGACGTAGCCCTTGTCGTCAATGTCGAGCTTGCGGAAGGCGTCGCTCAGGCCGTAGATTTCGTTCTGAGGGAATTGAGGATACTTCCTACGAGTGACGAGTTGTCAGTACAGCAAAGACGAGGCAGAGCGGCCCCCGGGGAGAGAGCGCTTTGGTGAATCATGCGGTGCGGGGCAGGAATGCGGTTGCGCACCTCTGGAGCTTGAGAACGTTCATGTTGGCGGGCGTCTAAGGGTGCGCGCAAACTGATGAACGAGGCCGAAGACTGTGTTGAGAGAAGTCGGCGGGTGTGTGTGACAGTCGGTCAGGAGAGAGGGGAAGAGGGAGGTCAAGGTCTCGAGATTGCGCTCGGCGCGAAGGGAAAGCAGTTGATCAGGGACCAAGCGGAGTGGCAGATGTGCAGGAAGCTCCGGAACGCACGGACGCTGGTGGAGGTTGGGTCTGGCTGGCTGAGTATCCGTACCGTACCTCACGACGAGCAGGATGAGGTTCAGTTGGGCTGGAGTCTGGAACAGCAGTTTGAGGGTGACTCTTCTCGTTCGTTGTGTTGGAGAAGTCAGAACCGAAAGGGGGGGGGGGAGGGGGATTGCGGGTCTGACGGTGTAGTTGCAGCGTTGTATATGAGGAGAGTCGCAGAGCGAGATTATGATGATGATGGCAGCAAGATGGGGTCAAGGCAAGCAAGCAAGACCAGGGCGTCAGTACCCGTTAACAGGAGGGGGAAAAAAAAAGGGAGGCCTGGGCGAACTGATGCTCGTCGCAAGGTCAAGCAAGGAAGGCCAAGCAGGGTTCCTGGACTGGGCTGGCAATGGGCTGTGCAAATGCTGTGCTGCTTGATGGCGCTGCGCTGTGCCGTGAGGAAGAGGAGGGGGGATGGGGTCGGATGGAATGTGAGAGAGACTTACGTAGGTAGGTACTTTGTTGGCGGGGGCGGGGAGGGGCCATTGATGTAATGATACAGGCATTAGCTGACCTGAGCACTTGGATTGGGTGTCTACATTGTACATCATTGCGCTGGTTGGTACCTTACAGTCATCCCTTCGTTTGTACCCAGCAGCCCAACCGGTGCGGTGGGGTACATCCGGCGTTTGTGCTTAGCTAAGGAAGACTCCAAACCTGCCACCCGAATCAATGCAAAGCCAAAAACCACGGCCGTCGGGTTGCACAGAAATACGCGGGAAGCCTGTCTCAATCCGGGCGAAGCGGGCCCCGCTATTTCTCTTCTGCTCGTGTGCTGTACTGTAGGCAAGCATCTCCAAGGTAGTCCCCACGCACACGAACGCGGCGCCGAGGTACCCGACCTGCGTTTCCCGTCTCTGCTCTCAAACGGCCACCAGCCACAGCCACAACGACTTGCGTAAGGCGGCGACGGCGATTCCCTTCTTTGCTCCCTTCGTGCTTTCGCGTGTGTGTGAGAGAGCGCGCGTCTTGCGTAAAACGCCAACGTACGCAGTTGCAGGCTGCTGTTTGCCTCATACCTTAGTCTCCGTCGTGTGTACAGGTAGATGAGATGACTCGGAGATGCCTGCAAACCCAACTCGGGTCGCTGCAGGCAAACTCCTCTTTGAGCAAACAGACTCGTCGGCGCTCACGTGGCTCGCCAGGCACCCAGACACATGTTCTGCGAGTCCCACGATGCTTCGTGCCTGTAAGTCCACGAATCCTTGAGGCGCCGAGGAAGCATGTACGATGTACCGCAATGCTCCTCGATGGGTCCAGCCCATTGACGTGGTCCGCCTCGAAAATAACCCTTCCCTGCATTGTCTCTCCTCCGATTGTCTCGCCTGGCCTTACTTCAACGTATTATTTCCTAGCCGGCCGCAAATGCCTGTCCGACCTTAAAGCAAGGTACCCGATCATGCCCGCCTGTACGTATTCCAACTTAGACGCCCATGCTCATCCGCGCCCCATCTTCCTTGCCGTGACTGGCCATCGCCCGTAGGCCGATTCAGGCAATGTTCTGGAACGCCCTGGTGCAATGAGGCAGGGAGGATGGGACTTCGCTGGTGACGGTGAATGAAGGTAGAAACGCACTGTGCCATCATTGGTCATTAGGCCGTCATCGTACAGTGTTTCACGGCGGGATGCACAGTCCCCGCTTCGTCCCTCACCCCACCCCGAATTTTCAATCCCGATGCCCTCATCGCGGCGTCGATGTCTCTTCTCGAGAGAACATGAACGACCAGCTCAACCTCCTCATCTCAAGCTTCACCTGATACAATTTGTGACAAGCATCCCAAGTCATTGGATAAGCACCTTTTTTCCTAGCCAAATCGATTCCACATCGGAAGCCCTTCTCGTCCATCCCCCCCCCGCCCCGCCTCACTCACAGAAAACCATGGCTGCCGTCTGCAAAGCCTGCGAGGACCCTCTCGTCATCGTCCTCGAACCAGAGAGCGACGACGAGGGCCAGACCGTCGACGACCCCCAGAACGTCCCCGACGATCTCGAGCTGCCATGCGGCTGCCACTTCCACTGGTGAGATGCCCCATCGTCTCGACTCTCTCACTAACATGAGAACACACTCACTCACCATCAAAAAAACAGGCAATGCCTCCTGGACCAGTCCCAGGAGATCGCAATCTCCCTCAACTGCCCCTCGTGCCAGAAGTACCTCCCTTCCAACACCCAGGGCCCCTCCGTCACAAACCCCTTCCTGCACACCCCGCCCGGCGCCGCCATCCTCACCCGCTACGTCAACGAGGGCGGCCTCCAGGACGCCCTCGACATCCTCCCCAACATCACCGAGGAGGCCTACCTCGCCGCTAACCCCGAAGCCCGCCCGGCTCGCGCCTACCACCTCATGTGCGCCGAGGGCGACGTCCAGGGCGTCGTCGACCTGCTCCAGGACGCAAACGAGGAGCTCGCCGGCGACGTCGCCCAGCTCGGCCAGCTCATCCGCTACCAGGACCCTCTCGCTGGCGGCAAGAGCGCTCTGCACCTCGCCCTCGAGAAGGAGCAGGAGGAGGTCGTCTGGCTGCTGCTCTGGATCGCCTCGCCCGTGCCCACCGACGTCTTTCCCGTGTCGGCGCGCCAGGCCGCAGAGGCATTGCAGATTGTGCGCCTGACCAACGACAACGCCGACGACATTCGCGCCCTGCGCACCGAGGCTGGTCAGACGGCTGAGGATGTTGCCAGGAGCAATCCCGCACGCTGGGGTGCCCTGGTCGATGCCGGCATTCTGCGCGCATAAGTAGTTTGGAGGAGCGGAGAGAATTAAAGATACCCAGTGATTCGGCTTGGAACACAAGCCTCAAGATACTCATGTGTCACAAAAAAGAACGTGATACTCCTGTACGAAATGTCTTGCATTGCCCAGTTTGCCCGCCCTGCCAGGTCTAGTTTAAGTCTATCTGCGGTCTGCCCGTGATCTATTGGAAAGAAGTTGTGAGAGGATAAAGTGGCTGACGTCTTCGTCAGACCAGTAACTCATGTGCGAAGCAATCGTGTTCATGGGGTTGAAGTCGAGGACGCTCCTGTTGGCTGTCAGTACACCGGAACCCGCGGCGGTGGGGCGGACATCTCAACTTACTCCTGGATGCTGTAGTCCACACGTCCGTTGCGATTCAGGGCCCGGACCTTCATCTCCTCCCGGCGCAGCTTCTGCGCCTTGCGCTCTGCCTCGAGCCAGTCCGCTCTGCCGCCATCATCATCTGTCTTGGCCAGGTCCACGCGCTTCTCCTGGAACTTGGAGTAAAGCGTCTCGAGCTCGTCGTCAATCAGCGTCATCTCGTTACCGCTGATGCTGGTGCGGCCGACCATGGCCTTGGAATCTGCGAGCTGCTTCTTGCGCTCGTTGGTCTTTGCCTCCAGCTTCGAGACGTCCGAGATCACGCCGCTGTCTGCAATGTTCGTTCCTGCTCCCGAAACTTGTTGCGGAGCATTCGCCGAGTTCATCTTGGCCACGTCTTCGTTGCTGAGGCCCAGACTGCGGTTGAGCAGATTGCTCGCAATTCCTGCGCTCAAGCTAGACCACAGCCCGCTGACACTCTGTCCCACCTTCATGCCGATGCCTGACAGACCTTGCTGAGCCACATTGCCAAAGATGCCCTTTTTGGTGTACGGCAAGACTTGGGGCTTCAATGAAGACATGGCAGGTGAAATCAGGGGCTCAAGCCGGTAACTGATAGGGTCCGAGGGATGGAAAATGTTGAAAAGTTGCGAGACCTTTGGCGACGATACGGAATAAGGGAGACCGGTGATTGCAGAGACCCGATGGGTAGGAGACGACGGCGTCGCCGTGAGAAAGGGGTCGTCTATCAAATCCGGATTCATAGGGCTTTCCGACGGGCGAGCGTTCGGGAGGTGACGAGCTGAAATGGTCCTTCAACAAGGTCAGTGTGCGTTTCGTTTGATAGAGGACCCAGTCAACTTACCGTCCCTTGAGCATTTGGAATAAGCCCACTGGTGATCCTAGGCAGTAAAGGTCATCCACATCGAACTCAAATCGCAGCTCGTTGGCTTCCCGATCTCGGGAACCATGGGCCTTTTCTTGTAGTGGCCAGAAGCGGAGAGGATTCCTTGGACTCTCTAGCCCCTTTGACTTCTCCTTCTGCCGACACAGGATGTCAAACATGATGGCGGAACCGAGGGAGTGGCCGACAATATGGACCTTGCCCTTGAATTCCGGATTCCGTTCGAGGAACAGTTTGTAGATGCGGTTCGATTCTTTCAGCACAATCTCCGAAATCTGTTCCCTGTAGGCACTTTGATAGAGCAAGACGTCGAGTGCAAGGTCGGAAATCAAAGACCTAGCAAAAGCCACACCTTCAATGGTGATATCCTCCAGAGAAGGGTCTAAACATGGCTGGTCAGATATCTCATCCCTGGAAAAACAGGACCGCCCGACTTACACTCATCCTCATCTAAAGCGCCATCACCAATGTCCCGCTCGTTCTTTTTCTCCCGTCTCTTGGGGAAATCAAGAAGATGTCTCCAGCACACAGGCAAGACCTGCACGCGGCAGTTTCTCGGACCATCTTCGAGCTCCGAGTTTAGAGCCCGTAGGTCTGCAGAGCTGGAGTAAACGGATTTGATGTTTTTGCGCAGGACATTGACGTCATGAACGAAATTGATGCTTTCCATGCTGCTCAAATTAGTCTCGGAGCCCTGTACATAACAGTCGATACTTACCGTATACCCAAGAGTTGGCCGATTCCGTGCGTGACAAGAACCAAATGCTCGATATCACGCCCTTGAGTTTCACCAAGCTGGCCGTTGTAGTCGTTTTCGATTTCCTTTTCCTCGCGCTTGCGAATCTCTTCTTCCTGCTCCTCCTGGTTCCGCTCGGCTCCCTCCATCAGTGATGAGATCTGCCGTTGAAGAGAGTTCTCCCTGGTGTCATCCTCCTCAGTACGTGAAAGGTCGTCGTTGGACTGAGAAGGCGTAGAAGAAGGCGGCGCAGATCTCCTCTTGAGTAGCTTTTGTTGTTTCTCGTCAAGCTGCGAAGTAGAAGTAGCATCGGTCGGTGTGGACGGCTGCTTCTCCTTCTTGTTCTTGGCCACATCGGAATAGCCCCTCACCAGCTTGACACCGCTCATGTAACCGCCGCCCGAGAATCTTTCGTACATGGTGGAGGTCACCCACGAGAGCATGCTATCTGATGTAAGCCATGCTGTATTTGCGTCCTGATATGTCGCGATGCTGTTCATCCAGGCGCCGAACAAGCGGTGCGATGACGGCTGGTGCTGATTCTGTGGTCCCAGGAGTTTACTGTTCTCTGTGGTAGGGGTGGTTGAGGCGGCGGCCTTGAGATTCTCGACGGATGCTTTCGGGGTCACATCCTTGTTCTTCGCGTCCTTGTTCTTGGGGTCACTGCGAACCCGCGGGTTCGGGTATGTCCAGGGCTTGACCTTGAGGTAACCCTCCTCCAACTGCGAGGCCAGATTCTCCTCGCATGGCCGCAAAGACGAGCCTTCCTCATAGAACCAGGTACCGCGACGGACTTCATAGACAGGACCGAGCCAGTAGACGGGAGCTAGCTCTCGGTTCTCGATATCGACATCGAAGAGATAATCCTCGTTTACGGGAACTCGTGTTTTGGGGGTGTGGGCACCTTCGGGACTGGTCTCTAGGCTGCTGTGTGTGCTTTCTTCGTCCGTATTCGTGCGGCCACGTCGCGAGCCTGACGAGGCGTTTCGCAACGATCGATCGCCTCTTCTTTTCTCCGAATCCTCGAGCAGGCGCTGATATGCAGACTCGATTGCGCGTGAATCTAGCTTCGAAAACGGGAGGAACTTCTTCGGCTGAGGTGGGGGCTTGGCATCATCGGCAGGTTTCGATTTGTCTCTGAGGAATTGGGGTTTCCGCTTGGGAACCTGAGGGAAGTCCGTTAGCTAGATGAACCTTTGTTCGTAAGGGGGTTCGACCATGGGGTGCGCCTACATCGGTTGCATGGTACCAGAGCACGTTCAGAGGAGGGCAGTCGGCGGGGTAGCTCTTGATGCTCTGGCCGTATAAGTGGGTGATGCTGTGATCGCCGGGACGCGAGGTCGGGGCTGGCACGGGCTGCGGAGGAGGCTCTTTGGGGGTTTGCGTTGGCGTCGAGCTCCGACCGCCGGCCCACGGGTTGATGGAGTCGACAGCAGACGACAGGTAGGACTTCTCGGTTTTGCGGTCAGCGCCGCTGGGAGCCATGGCTTGTGACTGGGCCGAGTGCCATTCGGCGGAAGTGTGACGGGATGCCCAGCAGCGGCGGGATGGGATGTTGATGCGGCAGAGGTTCGGCGGTCTGCAATGTCGTCCCCAAGCCTGTCTGGAGCGATGGGCCGCGGACGCCAACTTGACCGACAAGAGGCGGAAGACGGGCGCTTTAAAAGTGCATCCGCGTCACCGAGGCAGGGTAGAGAGAGGGCGTGAGCGTCGGGTGGGCGGCACTGGTTTGGAGAGCAGTTTCGGAGAAGCTTCGAGCTGGTTGAGGCGGAAGCAAGGAATGCTGGTTTCAGACTGGAGCAAGTAGCAAGGTTGAGGCGTCGACAATGAGATGGGAGGGAGAGGGGGGGGGGGAATGGAAATGCGGTGTAATGAAGTCTTGTCTTTATTTGGAGCAAGGCGAGAGTGTGTGTACACTGAAAAGAGAGGAAGGGATGGCGTGGGGAGATGCTTTCTTTTGTTCAAAGAGAACAAGGTGTGCTTCTTCGAGAGCCGGTCCAGTCCGTCAGTTCAAGTATGTATCGATCGAAAGAGACAGCTGTAGCTTGGCTACCTAGGAACAGGACAGAATACGCGGGAAGTAAAAGTCGGTAGGCAGTTGGTTATACGATACGAGCGAGAATGTGATGAAGGCGCAGGGCAGGAGGCTCCAGTCTGTCTGTAGTCTCCAGTCAGCTGCGCAGCAGCATGGGCGTGGGAGCTCCAGCTTCCAGGGACCCCATGACGCAGTTTGCAGTCCCGTGTAGATGGGCGATGGGCGGTGGCAGAAGCCGGTTGACGGGGCACGGCGGAACGCAGGGCGAGGGAGAGCAGGGCACCGCTAATCGTTCACAGAGTAAGGTACACTACAGATACCTACTATGTAGACAGACATCCCTTCAAGATGGATCGCCCAACGGGGGGCCGATCCTTTTGGCTGCCCGTCTTCTCCCGCCCTATTAGCGAATGGCGGACGGCGGTCTGAGCCGACCTTGCGCCCTGTGATCGCGGGGCACCTGCAGCTCCAAGCTTGAGAGGTGCCGTACCTAGTTGCCTAGGTAGGCGGTACCTTGGTGGGATTGCCTCCACTAGCTTACCTCATCTTCGGCCAGAAGCGAGGCACCCGCACCCTCCAGTCCTTCAACCTTGAGCTCCGGCATCTGCAGACCGACCGCACTTACAGTACCTTACGCAGTACACACAGTCCGGGAGATACAGCCGGAAGACTCACTCACACCGAGGGATGCATAATAGTACCCAGCCAACACTCACTCACTCACCTTGCTGCCCGGCACTGTGCTCAGATGCTCAGCATCATCGGAGATGGACAGACCCGCGTGCGCTTCCTGTTCCCATTTTAGCACAGAGTCTATGTAGCTTCATAGAGTGGACGAATTGTACAAGTGCATAGGCAAATCTATACATATGCACATTTGAGTATCGAGTACGGACCTGAAGATGAACAGCTAACAAGTGCTTCAGTACGAGACCACCAAGAAAAGGATGTATCTCATATGATTATGTACACCTGTACGACAACCATCCAGTCATCTTTTTTTCAGGTACAGACTGTGCAAATCGTCCCATCCAACACTGTATGTGGTGGGGCGAGCTGCGTTTTTTGGTGGTGGGGTACGACCTGCAGTGCGTCCCTCTTTGCACGTCCCGCGCTACGCCGTGCCTCCATCTTCACAAAATTTCCAGAGCCCATCTCCAATCCAGCCCACCAGACGACGCCGACTGGAACAATTTGCGACGCATTGTTGACCCCCAATGAGCGCCTCACCCTAGCACTCTCGTCGCCCCGACTCAGACGCCTTCTCCGAGCATCGAATAATTGTTCGCGGCCTACGATCATGACCCAGCGGCGAATGCGCAAATCCATCAACATCGATCACCGCCGGTAGACTCTACCCTCGACCGAGGCCTTGACTCACCCGACGCCACCACCACCACCATCACCACCAGCTCCTCCCCCTCCTCCCACCGCTCCTCGACGAGCGCATTTGTGTTTCTATCGTAACAGCAATGGCGACCACAACCACTGTGACTCCGGTCAAGTCCCAGCTTGTCGACAAGCTGCCTAAGCGATTCAAGGGCATCAAGTTTGGCATCCAGTCAGTCACATCCCCTGCATGCCCTCTGCAAGATGCACCGATGCTAACCCAACTGCTCGCTGTCAGGTCCAACCAGGATATTGCGAACCAAGCCGTTCTCGAAGTTTCCGATCGCCTCCTCTACGACATCGAGAAGAACAGAGCGCCCTATCAGCATGGTCCCCTCGACCCTCGTCTCGTAAGCGACTTCCTTCGCGGTTATCCGTTGACAACCTCTAATACGTTTGGTTACAGGGTACTTCGAGCAAGACGGGAAAGTGCGCAACATGCCAGGAGTCTCTCCAGAACTGCACAGGCCATTTTGGTCACGTCAGGCTTCCTCTGCCTGCCTTCCACATTGGTTACTTGCGCTTTGTCATGATGATATTGCAGGATATCTGCAAGGTGAGAACCTTGGCGTTGGCCGGTTTTGAGCACCACTGACGGGAAACAGGACTGCGGCAAAGTGCTCCTCACAGAGTCCGAGAAACGGGCCTTCCTGAAGGAGCTCCGACGACCACTTTTGGACAACCTACGACGATCCCAGATTTGCAAACGCATCAACGAGCAGTGTAGGAAGGTCAAGAACTGCATGTATTGCGGTTCCGTCCAGGGTCAGATTAGAAAGGTCGGCGTTCTCAAGCTGGCCCACGACAAATTCGTCACATACAACAAGTCCACCTCGGCCAAGAAGGTGCCCCCGGAGAGCAAGATCAAGTTCGACGAGTCGTTCAGCGAAGCGAGAAAGAACAATAGCGAGTTGGACAAGCATTTGCGCAAGGCCATGGAGGACATGAATCCTCTGAGGGTCCTCAACCTTTTCAAGATGATCAGCCCCACCGACTGCGAGCTTCTCGGTCTGGATCCTGCTGAAGGTCGTCCCGAGATGTTCATCTGGCAGTTCCTCCCTGCGCCGCCCGTGTGCATCCGACCCTCAGTCGCCCAGGACAACGCCAGTAACGAGGACGACATTACGACAAAACTTGCCGACATTGTCTGGGTCAGCGGCATGATTCGCTCGGCGCTACAGAAGGGCTCGCCAGTCCAGACCATTATGGAGCAGTGGGAGTACCTTCAACTTCAGGTCGCCATGTACGTCAACAGTGACGTGCCAGGTCTGCAACAGCCGGGATTTGGCAAGGCGGTGCGAGGTTTCTGCCAGCGGTTGAAGGGAAAGCAGGGTCGTTTCCGTGGCAATTTGTCTGGAAAACGTGTTGATTTCTCCGGACGTACCGTCATCTCGCCTGATCCCAACCTAGGAATTGACCAGGTTGCTGTCCCGCAGCTTGTCGCCAAGAACCTGACTTACCCAGAGCGAGTGTCCGACTACAACATTAAGAAGTTGAAGGAGTGCGTTCGAAACGGGCCCAGCATCTGGCCGGGTGCGCAGCAAGTCATCAAGAAGGACGACGGAGGCTATAAGATTTCGTTGAAGTTTGGTAACAGGAACCAAGTCGCTCAGGACCTCAAGATTGGCGATGTTGTCGAACGCCACCTGGAAGACAACGACATTGTTCTCTTCAACCGTCAGCCATCGCTCCACAAGCTCAGTATTATGAGCCATTTGGTTAAGGTACGACCTTGGAGGACATTCCGCCTAAATGAGTGTGTCTGCGGTCCCTACAACGCAGATTTCGACGGAGACGAAATGAACCTTCACGTCCCCCAGACAGAAGAAGCCCGCGCAGAGGCCATCAATCTCATGGGCGTCAAACACAACCTGGCGACTCCGAAGAACGGAGAGCCCGTCATTGCTGCCACGCAAGATTTCATTACTGCCGCCTACCTCCTGAGCAGCAAAGACAACTTTTTCGACCGCAAGACTTTCACCTACATTTGCATGCACATGATGGACGGCAAGGTCCACTTGGACCTGCCTCCTCCCGCCGTCCTGAAGCCCAAGGCCCTGTGGACCGGCAAGCAAGTTTTCAACATGATGATGCGGCCCAACAAGGACAGCCCGGTGAAGATCAACCTTGACGCCAAGTGCAGAGAATACAAGGCCAGGGCCGGACAGTGCCCTGATATGGATCCCGAAGACGCATGGCTGGTTATTCGCAACTCCGAGGTCATGTGCGGTGTGATGGACAAGTCGACTGTTGGTGACGGAAAGAAGGACTCGGTTTTCTACGTCATCCTCAGAGATTTTGGCCCAGATGCGGCAGTGGTCACGATGAACCGTCTTGCGAAGCTGTGTGCTCGGCACTTGACCAACCGCGGTTTCTCCATCGGTATCGGTGATGTTTTCCCCACGGAAAAGCTGCTGGAGAAGAAGAGTGCACTCGTCAAGAGTGCGAGCATCGAGGTCGACGTGCTGATCGACAAGTACAAGAAGAACAAGCTCGAGAAGGCCACAGGTTGTTCGATGGAGCAGACCCTCGAGAACTCCATCTCGGGACTTCTGAGCAAGGTCAGAACACAGGCCGGATCTCACTGTATTGAGACTCTTAGCAAGAACAACGCCCCGCTGGTCATGGCCAAGTGCGGATCCAAGGGTTCAAACATCAACGTGGCGCAGATGGTTGCTCTAGTCGGACAGCAGATTATTGGTGGCAAGCGTGTTGCCGATGGTTTCCAGGACAGAACACTACCTCACTTCCACAAGAACGCGCCGCAGCCGCCGTCCAAGGGTTTCGTCGAGAACAGTTTCTATTCCGGTCTCTTGCCCACCGAGTTCATCTTCCACGCCATGTCTGGACGTGAAGGTCTGGTCGATACCGCTGTCAAGACGGCCGAGACTGGATACATGTCGCGCAGACTGATGAAGTCTTTGGAAGATCTCTCGACCCAGTACGACGACACTGTCCGAACTTCTGGTGGCGGTATCGTCCAGTTCCAGTTCGGTGCCGACAAGCTGGATCCCGTCGACATGGAGGCTTCCGCGAAGCCTGTCAACTTTGACCGAACCTTTTCCCATGCCGAGAATCTTACCTGGGACAACGAAGAACCGGCTTTGCTTCCCGACGAAATCGTCAAATACTGTGACAGTATGCTGTCTCAGGAACGCGCACGCTACCCTAGGAAGTCCCTCTTGGGCGACCTGACCCTTGATTACGACAACGAAGAAGAGAGATATACCGATGAGCACGAAGGCGCAAGAGATTTCTTGCGGTCTCTCGAGTCTTACGTTGGGGCCCGCGCTCAGAAGCTTCGCCGGTTGATGGAGCTGACCGGTCTCACAGCCAACGCCGACAGCATGGACGTCGACGTGGACCAGGACGAGATCAGGCACAAGAAGGCGTTTGCGGACAAGGTCGCCAAAATGTCCGAGACGACGCTGAGGCTCTTCATCAAACTGTGCTTGGAGAAGTACAAGAAGGCGCACGTCGAGCCTGGTCATGCCGTTGGAGCCGTCGGCGCGCAGTCGATTGGTGAGCCAGGAACCCAGATGACGTTGAAGACTTTCCATTTCGCCGGTGTCGCTGGTATGAGTATCACGCAGGGTGTACCCCGTATTAAGGAAATCATCAACGCCTCCAAGGTCATTAGCACTCCCGTCATCACTTGCCCGTTGGTGCAGAACAGAGAGATGACGGCCGCTCGAATCGTCAAGGCACGTATCGAAAAGACATTTGTCGAGGACATCCTGAGCTACATCGAAGACGAGTGGTTCGCGGAGTCTGGAAGTGTCGTCCTAAAGGTCGACATGGATGCTTTGTCCGACATGCAGCTTGGCATCACATTGGGCGACGTGGCCGAGGCCATCTGCAAGCACAAGAAGATGAAGATCTCGAGGTCGGACATGCACATCGGCGCGGGAAGAATCGAGATCCGCGTCCGCCTCGACGAGTCGGCCGCCGCCAAGCGGGCTGTCAAGGCTAAGCCAGTGGACGAGCTTGGCGATCTTTTGGTACGGGCCAACTACCTTCGGCGGACGATCCCGACGGTGGCCATCTCCGGCTACCCCGAGGCTACTCGTGCCATTATCCAAACGTCAGACCAGGAGACCCACACCGTTCTGGTCGAAGGATATGGTCTGCTCGCCTGCATGAACACTGAAGGTGTTGACGGACGGAGAGTAAAGTCGAACAACGTCATGGAGTGCCGAGACGTGCTAGGTATCGAAGCCGCAAGAAGCACAATTGCCTACGAAATTGGAGAAGTCATGGGAGACATGAACATCGACCCGCGTCACATGCAGCTGCTCGCAGACGTCATGACGTACAAGGGCGAGGTCCTCGGTATCACCAGATTCGGTCTCTCCAAGATGAGAGACAGTGTCCTGCAGTTGGCTTCGTTCGAAAAGACGCCAGACCATCTGTTTGAGGCGGCGGCTGGCATGAAGACGGACCAGATTGAAGGTGTGAGTGAGTGTATCATCATGGGTCAGACCATGACGGTTGGAACCGGTGCGTTCCACGTGGTTCGTCGGCTGGCACTGGAGAAGGGAGACGTGGGCCAACGCAAGGCGGCATTTGAGGATGCGTGGGCGGCCGAGACGACACTGAAGCGGAAGTCGAGAAGAAATGTCTAAAGGGAATACACGGAGTTATTACACGGAGGCACTGGCGTCCATCAACATGAGGACTGTACAATTTGTAACGGATCCCACGGAGGAATTGCATTAGCTTTTGGATGTTAATTGAGACGAAGAGATGAGACTCAACGCCGCTACCCTTTTGGCTGTGAACCTGTTGGTAAACTGCAACTGTGCTGGATAAATACCATGGTATTCGCAACAATAAGAGCTGGACTTGTGACGATGGCTGTTTCCAAAGACAAGCGGCTTTGTTCCTTGTTGTCTGTTCTGTCCTAGTCTCCCAAACTAGAAGAAAGAAACGGTCGAGGCCGCCACGTCACGTGCCGTCGTGTTTTGGGCGCGTTGGACAACTCCTCGATGTCAAGTGCCCGCGTCCTGATGACGACATCAATGCAAAACCCCAGGTACAACACATTTCCCAATCGTCGCTAGCAAGTAAACAGTATCTGTATCAGAGGCGGCTGCAACAATCGCTCCAGAGTACTTTGGCGATATTTGAGAGCTTCAAACATGTGTGGAAGATATGCTCTAGCTTTGGTGAACTCTCACTCCCTCACACCCGGCTTGCCGAGTCAGGAATGAGGCTAATGCAGTTGAGCGTAGCGACCGTCGCAGATCCGACGCATGCTGGAGGCAGATGACATGTCTGTCGACGATGCACCAGAGGATGAGGGACAGGGCACTCCTCGGCAGACGTACAACTTTGCGCCAGGCTATCACGGCGTCGTCTACCGCGCCGACGTCCCGGATCGTGGAGCGGGGCATCCTCACGAGCACAAGAGTGACGAGCGGGATGAGACGGCCACGGACGGCACATCGGGCCAGCCCGGAGAGGAGGACAAAGTCAAGTACAAGATGCAGTCGATGCAATGGGGTCTCATCCCGTTCTGGACGAAGCGCGACCCCGGCTACTCCACGCTTTCCAAGACGATCAACTGCCGCGATGACTCCCTCAGCACATCTGGCGGCATGTGGTCGACCATGAAGGCGGGCAAAAGGTGCATTGTCGTCGCCCAGGGGTTCTACGAGTGGCTCAAGAATGGCAAGGAGAAGATACCGCATTTTGTCAAGCGCAAGGACGGCCAGCTCATGTGTTTCGCTGGCCTATGGGACTGCGTCAAGTATGAGGGTGAGATTGTATTGCGTTCCGCTATGTTTGACGCTTGAGGCTGACTCCGATCAGATTCCGACGACAAGCGATACACGTACACCATCATCACGACGGACTCCAACAAGCAACTCAAGTTCCTCCACGACAGAATGCCGGTCATTCTCAACCCTGGCTCCAAACAGATCAAGACCTGGCTGGATCCCAAGCGGCACGAATGGTCAAAGGAGCTGCAGAGCCTCTTGAAGCCATTCGACGGTGAACTCGAATGCTACCCCGTCAGCAAAGAGGTTGGAAAAGTCGGCAACAACTCGCCGTCCTTCATCATACCCGTTGCGAGCAAGGAGAACAAGTCCAACATTGCCAATTTCTTCGCCAACGCATCCGCCAAGCAGAAGCCCAAAGAGGCCACGATCGAACCCACGGTCGAGACAGAAGTCAAGACGGAGCAGTTGCAAGAGGAGAATCAGCAGCCGGTGCCAGACATGGTCGCCAAGGCGGCCGAAGCCGCAGATAGCCAAGCCAAGGCAGGGATTAAGCGGGAGGCCCCCGATGCCGACGCGGACGAGGAGCCACCACAGAAGATGGCATCAAGAGCTCCGCCTGCCAAGACGAGGCAGAGCAAGATTTGCGCAACGAGTAACGGAAGCAGGAGTCCCGTCAAGCCGAAGGATGGGACCCAAAAGATTACAAAGTTCTTTGCCAACAGTGCATAATGTTTGCTTTGGGGGTCCAAAAGGTTTGCATGTCAAGGAAGAAGGGATGACAGCAAAATTACGGATGATGTTGATCCCGTGGGCGTTTCTGAGTCGCAGGAGACCAGGTGCTGAATTGTTAAATGCTATTCCAAGGCGTTAGGTAGGTAGCAAGGAAAAAAGCAGGGAGTGATGGACCTCCTCGCTACCCAAGTGTACAAACAAGCAATTGCACTACCCCGCTACCGGTCACACCGAAGTGACACTTTGGTATAAGACACGAGCTCTGAGGCTAAGTTGGGTTGTGCCGGTAGACTGAGTTTGGTCTTAAAGTACCCCCGAGGCCTAAAAACACGAGCGGGAGGTCGACATTAGAATTTGAACGCACCATCTCCGGCACCTCCTTGGCCTGGTATGCCTGGCTCGAGGTGCCTTTCCCCCACAATCCCCAACAATCAACGGCTTTTTCGCCGCTGGGGGATGAAACATTGGCGGGAGTCACGAACGGCTGCATATACTGACCAAAAACTGCACCATGCAACATGTCAAGATATCGCAACATATCGCGCTATACAGAGGGAGGCCAGGCTGTCGCAGTCTTTAGATGGCCATTGCGTCCGTAAAGGAGAAGCCGCACGCTAACTCACTAGACTGCGTATACTTTCTCGCCTACCCCGACGGTAGTCGATGGCCGGCCCGTCGTCTATGAAGCCTGCTCCTTGTATAGAACAGCCTTGTGAGTCACGATGTATGCGGGATATGAGTATTTGGGTGTCTGGGCTCGGTACCGGATCCGGTTGAGAGTATCGTCAGGTTGGGATGCGCATTTGGAGCAGTGGAATTTGTCACATCGGCAAGGGGCAGGTGGAAATCGCTCACCCACTGCATCGACCCGAGACAAACTGACCATGGTTAGCGTTTGTTATGGGACGTTGACCATTGGTCGACCTCGACTCGTGAGCGCATATCTCCATGATGGAAAGCAGTCATCGCACGCCAGTCGCCACTGAAGCATTCTGAAAATAGGAGGTTTGGCGCGGAGACTAGCCCTCGCTTTGCGGGACTCTCGAAACATCGACAGCTACCCCAGAAAATATGTGGAGGCATCATGCCAAGTTTGCCAAGGCAGATAGAGCTCGGTACCCACAAGGTGGTGTGAGGCGTAGGGCGTACGCGGAGTCTTTAGTGGCAGTTGTGCGGATGACGACACAATATCAGGGCCCGGCTCTAATGTCACAAGCTTTTGGGATGGGGATGGCTGAGGTGAGCGTGGGGGGGCGAATGTTGCGCGTGAGCGTGAATGGGATGAGAAGCCATCGAACGAGTCAATCGAACGAGCGGCGCAAACCTCGGATGGGGAGTGCCGGGTCGGGAATGGAATATTGTGATTCAGACACGGTGCGTGAGGTCGACAGACATGACTTGCCAAGTTGCCAATGGATGGGATTGAGGGCACTCGGGCTCGACGTTTGGCCCAACTGACGGAGATTATGCCGTTGACTGAACCACCCAGCCAGCCAGCCAGCCAGCCCATGGCCTGGCCGGCTGAGCAATGAAGTGACTGGAAGATCCTGGATGTCGCGCCCCCTATAGCAGTGAGCTAAAGGAGGCCAGACTAGGCGACGTTCGTGCGTGCCTTTTTTCCTCGTTCCCTCTCGTATTGAACGTCTCGAGGTTGGGATGAAGTGGAAGAGAGACGGGATTGGCCGGACCAGCGCCAGGAGCCCAGAATTCAGGGTTCAAGACGTCAAACGTCGACATGCATGTGTGTGGCTTCAGCCTCTCGGGGGCCGAGCTCGCGTCGCGAAAGGGCAAGGGAGGATGGGGGATGAGAGGAGGGGGAGAGAGGGAGAGAGAGAGAGGCACCTGCGGCGTGGCGGCGGTTGGCGCGGTCTGTGCTGACATTGTTGGACAAGAGATGCCGGTAGTCGTCATGGCCGCGGCGTGGGCTGGGCTGGGTTGGAGAGAGAGAGAGAGAGAGTTGCGGTCTACCCGTCTCCTTTTTTTTTTTGTCTTTTTTGCGGTCTGATGTTTCTGACGGCGGCAAAGAAAACCAACCCAAACCTTTTGGAGCGGGAGTTGCGCATCCCCTCTCCGGGGGGGCGGCTGCTGCTGCTGCTGCTGTTGCGAGAGGGGGTGATGCTGGCTGGTTCGAGGGTGCGTTACCCGCTGGCAGGACGTTTCAAGGGGAGCATCTGCAGCCACAGACGAGATGTTTGCGTTGTCGTCGGGCGGAGGGTGGAGCCAAAACAAAAAAAAAGCCGTGCGGGACTCCGCAGCCAATTCCGCCGCGGCACCGATCGGAAGTGGGTCCCATTGTCGGTCGCGTTCCCGCTCTTTTCCCGGCCCACTGGCGGCGGTGAGATGTGCCTTATACGCGCCCCCTCTTCCAAGAATCAGTCCATACGTTTTCCGCGGCATTTCGCCCAAATGGCATGGAGGGGGAAAGGAATGGCATATGGCAAAATGCAGGGTCTGGTTGCATCATTTCGCATCTGGGAATGGGTTCAATCTCCATTCTGGAGGGGCTACTGCTGCTGCTGCTGCTGCTGCAGGGCTCTTCATGCATTGGATCTAGTAAGCACCAGGAAAACAATTGCCCACCCTTTGGGCCAAAACCGCTAAGGGAACAGAGTTTCCCGGCTGCCCAGAACCATGTCGGGAATAACGACCAGCTTGCATCTCAGGGTCCTTTTGTATGCTCCCCTGACACCGGGCCACGAAAGACAAGGGGAAGGGGGCCAGATGAAAAGAAGAAGAGAGAAACAAACAGGAGTACGGCGGGCACTGCGTCCCAAAATGATGACCGAGCGAGGACGCAATTCCATGCTCCGCGGGCGCTCGCACACAGCGTCTCCCCTGCGAAACCACCGGCACCGAGGCTTTCGTGATTGTGACCGTGTCGTTCCATCATACCGTCGTACGCTACGGTTGGACAAGAGCACGTAGAGCAGACTAACGATACACAATCCCCGAGAAATCTAGATGGGACGCTCAAACGGTTGAGACATTAGGCTCGAACAACCGTGACTGCATACAGTACACTAGCGTGCTCAACCAACGCCGACCCACGCTGGGGTAAAACACGATTGGAAAGTGCATCGAAGACTCGGAAGAAGATGCCAAGCCTTCGGTGCAGTGCAGTACCAGGCAGGGGGGGGGGGGGGGGAGGTTGGTGGGCGATGACAGGCTCGCGAGGCACGATTACAAGACAACGGGGGAGAGGGGGGGAAGGGATTTGCAGCGAAGGCGACGCTTGGCGATAAGCTTATTCCAGGGTTTGATGTCGGAATGAGCTGATTTTGGGCGTCCTGGGCGCCATCTATCTGTCGAGGCGCGGCGAGCCAACGGGCGAAGCCTGACTTTTGCCAGTCCACACTCTCTCGCCCACGCTCACGCCCACATGTTGTTTCCCACTCGAGGGGGGGGAGGGAGTGAGCGCGCGTGGTTTCGGGGGAGAGGGGGAAATGAAGTCATGAGCAACTGTTGCTGCCGGGAATCAACGAATGTCGGAACGCGGGCCTACGGGTGCGAATGCCTTCTCTCTGTACGTACTGCGTTGTTTCTTACCTGCTGCCTTGGAGCGTCGCGGCGGCGCCTTGTGCTGACGCCGACCGCCGACGCCGCCGACGCGAGCCCGACGTACCCGAGCTGGGCCGTCGCACCCTTGTCAAAATCGATCGCTTAGGCCTGACGGGGGGGCGAGGGGAGGAAGAGGCAGGCCGTTGCTAGGGCTGAAGGTCCTCGGAGCTTGTTTAGTGATCCCTTCTGGTTCACGTCCCCCCCAACTTGGTCGACCGAAGACGGCTATGGACATGGTCCTCGTCGGAGCCGAAAGGGCACCGGCAGCGTTCTGCTGGGCCACACGGCTGGTCGCCGGCCCTAACCCCGACCCATGTTGGCTGTGCAGTAGGTTCAACAGCTCTTTGGAGGGAAACCCCAGGAATGCTGTAGGCCCAGCGAAATGGCAAAGTTTAGGTTTCGTCGATCTGTTCATGGCGAAACCACCACCACCCCCCCGTGGCATCATGGCTATGAGGACATTCGCGCTGGATCAGTTCGTCGGGGTCATTTCGCAATCACAAGGGCCTGAATTCTTGACAAGACAACGCAAACAAAACAAAACAGAAAAGTTGTCTGAAAACCCATCGGATTGTGGACAAAAAGGGGGCCCCAAGCGTGCGTCCACTTTGCGAGACGCCGAGATGCCGGGAGATGCCCATGAGACGGGGGAAAACTTGACTGACGACATGGAAAAAGGGACGGGCGCAAGACAGACAGACGGCTCTGACCCACGTACGCAAGACAGACAAGCATGTTGCTGCACGAGGAAACGCTGGAGAACGGGATACGTACTCTGTACCTCCCATCGAACGAAAAGAGAGCAGAGGTGAGGGCCGTTTTCGGGGCTTTTTTGTTGCTGTTCTCTTGGCCAAGTGGCAGGGCAAGGGGCGCTGCAGAGCTTAACTGCCATTCCGGTACCGACTCTCACCCACTCGCTCTCATGGGCTCGCTCGCTTGCTCACTCACTCGTTCGTTCGTGGTTGGTGGTGAGTCTTGTGTGGTGCGTGTCGTGTTGTGGTGGCTGCGTCTGTATGCACATGTCAGCCCGTCCGCTTCTGGGCTTGCCCTGTCCGCTTCGGTCCAGTCGCACACGACGTACTCGTCCTCTGGGCTGGACGAGAAATGCTGGCGCTGCAGCATCTCAGTAAGATACAGCAGATCCCGGAGACATTCAATACATCGGCCATCCTTGTCGTCGAGGGATGGGGATGATATCATAACGGATGAGACCGAGCTCGCCTTGGCTATCCATCTGTCGTGTCTTGCAGGACAGCACTGACAGAATTTAAGGTGCTGTAAGCTATTTCCGAGCCTAGTCGGTTCTGGGAATAGCTCCCGCGAGCAAATGCTGGGAACGCACCCGCGGCCAGAGGAAATAACGCGCCTCCTGAATCGTCCACACCACCCAGCCCAGTCTGGTCTCACAAGCTCAACTTTCCCTGACGATTGGCATGCTTGTCAACTCGTGACGGCCTAGTGCCCCCGGGCAAGAGACGGACCCACAGCATCCCGAGCACAGCTGCTATTCCCGGGTCGTCTCCGCTCGTCTTCGGCTCTCGACCCTTGCGTCAACACGCGATTCATCTCCCGGCGTCCCGGAATCGGATGGGCCCAGCGCAAGAGAGTTCCTGCTACTTCTTTCTGCGCCTTCGAGGCTCGAAACAACGCGCGAATTCTGCGTTTCCTGCGGCACCATGCGCAGCCCGTCCCTCAGCAGAGAACGAGACAGAACGAGAGAGAGAGAGCCCGGCAACAACACGAAGCTTGCAGACTCAAAACCTGGCTAGCACATGCACTTTGTTACCCTCTGCATTAGCCTCTGGTTGAGATACCCTGGGCCTCACACATACGTACACACAAGCGCTCACGGCTGCTCTTCCCACGCACCCAGTGCCTCGCGTCCTCGAGGCACACATATCCAAGGCACACGGACGGTGGTGGCCCACCAACAGCTTCTTCGTCCCGGGGCCCATCGTATGTCAAGCCCTGCCCACCCCCCCGTGCGGCATCGGGATACGTACACACATAGACCGGCGCGGCACCGAATACCGAATCATCCCAGATGCAAAAGGGCTGAGATGGCACAGAGACATGGGAGCAACTGACTCCATATGCAGGTACTCGCTCTTCTCGTCCGTCAGCGCACGCCAGCCCAGCGTTGACATAACCACACGCCCCCATTGGCTCCAGCCCGCCGCTCTCATGCACCCGTTTTCCCCATGATTCCAATTCTCTCTCCATGTCCCCTACACCCCCCTGCCTTCTTGTTTGTCTACTAGTTGTAGACTCATCGTATCCTTTTCATCCCTCCTCCGAGATCATCTAGCGATGCCTCCCTCCCACCCGACGAGGCAGAATTATATATAACCGCCCTGCCCACCCTCCCCTCCAGCCACTGCACTACTGCCCTCCACCTCCACACATCCTCATCATCCCACATATCCATCTGGGACACTCTCCTCTTGTACTCCAACAAGCTCATCATCACCATCGTCATCGTCACCGTGATCTCTGTATAGCCAAACCACTTGCAACTCATCCTCTGTCATATTCCAATCGCCTACGCAGAAGGCGAAGAGCAATGTCCACCATGAACATCACATCATCATCCGAGTACCCGGCATTCCCCATGTCTTCTTCAGACTTTTCCTCAATGGCAACCGGCAACACTCCGTACGACATCATTTCCGCGCACTTCGCTTCTCGCCTGGTATGTGCAGCTCGATACACTCTTCGTCGTCCTTGCGAGACGGGGAGAGGCTAACATTTGGCATTTAGACCTCCAACGAGAACGGCTACTGCACACCGTCATCACTCTGGTCTTGCCCGCCCAGCCCGACCTCGAGCATCGACACCAGCAAGGCCGGCGACTCCCACGACGACGGCCACTCCACCGCCAGCGCATCAGAGGACTCGGCCATGTCGGCGCAAAAGGGCAGGCGCGCCAACAGATACAAGAACTGCAGCGAGTCGGTGCTTTCGGTGAGCTCATCCTCCGACCACGGCATCATCACGCGCATGCCACTAATACCCCTTGCCCAGAAGCGCCGTGCGCAAAACCGCGCCAACCAGCGCGCCTACCGCAAGCGCAAGGAGCAGCGGCTCGAGGAGCTGCAGCAGCAGCTCGACGACATGAGCCAGAAGAACGACGCGCTCTGCTGCGCCTACAGGCTCCTGGTCAACGAGTGCAGCCGTCTCCGGGCGAACCAGATGTCCGTGGGGCAGCCGGCGGCCGCCGCGTGGGACCTGAACGGGGCCGGTAACCTGGCCTTGGACATGGCCGCGCTCAACACGTATCGTGTCGCTCCCATGTCGACGTCAAGTCCCGTCCCCGAGTCATACCTCGACTTTCCCGGGAGTCCCGACAAACTGTGGAGCCCCTTTTCGTCGTGAAGCGGGGCCGGGGCTATATAGCAAGAGATGATCGGCTCGGTATTTGATGATTTGGGGGGGGGGGGACTTTTAATGACTTGTGGCGCTCTTTGGGTGGGCTTGGGATGATACTCTAGATGTCTTTCCTTGGAACTCGGGGCGTTTTTTTTTTATATGGAGAAAGCGTTGTTCAGAGTTTTTTCTTCCTTTCTTGCTGCGGTCGGAGTCACGGTGTTTACCCGTCTTTTTTTCTTCTTCTTTTTTACTCTTACGATAATATCGTCCGGGACACATTAGAGTCACGGGCGCGGCAGCAATGCCACCAAGACCAAGGTGTGTGCGACGTGACGCACACACCTTGGCAGACTTTCCAATCAAAGTTTTGATGATATCCACTTGGCCGCTCTCGCTATCCAGTTCTGCATCTCACCCTCCACCACGCGAACCATGGAAAATCCATGGGTCCCTCACGCGCAGTGTGTGACGAGACGTCGTTCTCCAGTTCTGTTCTGCATCCCACCGACCGACCACCGCGCAAATCGCGCGACCCACGGAGCCCTCGCGTGCAGGCGTGACGAGGCCGTTTTTGGCCCACCCTGCCTGTCTTGGTTTGCATTCTTCTGGATCAGCACTTCGCGACGGGCCCCCCTGGAATGGTGTACGTCGTCGGCTGCCAAGTATCAGCATGGGTCGTTCACGGTGCTTGTGATAGGGAGTGCTTCAGGGCTTACCACAGGGTAGTAGATGTTGATCAGGATGCCCGGCTCGTTGCCCGTGTACACGCCCCTAGTAGAGGTGTCAGAAGAAGAAAAAGAAGACCGAGAACAACGTCACTAGCGAGGGACCCGGGAGGGGACATACGGAAACTTGACGGTCGGGGAGAACTGGCCGCTGCCGGAGCCCGTCACCTTGATCTGCGCGCACGAGATGTAGAACTGGGCTCCGCCCTTGGTGCTGGCCGAGTGCAGCCCTATCTGCTCGATCCGGAGGAGGTACTCGCCCGGGGCTAACGTTGATCCGCACGAGTCAATTTCGACGACCGTCACGCAAGGCAGGGTGGGTAGTGTGACGTACGTGTGCACGAGGGGATCTGGAAGTTGAACGCGGCCTGGTTCGCGGCGGGGAACTTGATCTGCCCGTTGCCCGTCTGTGCCCCGAGCTCCCAGATCTTGGCCCAAGGACCGCTGCCGTCATAGCTTGTGACGTTGCTGGACCCGGCGGGCGAGAGCCAGACGGTGACGGGGCCGTCGTGGTAGATGGCCTGGTCCATGGCGAAGCCGACCTTTTTGCGGGCGTCAGTGAAGGAGCTGCTACTCGGGGTCGCACAAGGAGAGAGGGAGACATACAGTCGATCCGGCCGCGACGGTGGCGATCTTGGTCGCCGAGCCCGAAGAGAGGCCGCCGGCGTTGCAAACAATGTCTTTGCTCGAGACGTCGGTGACGGGGCTGTTGTAGTTTGTGTTCCTCCGCACGTTGACGTACTCGCCCGTGTTGCTGCCCCCGACCACGAGGCTCGTGAAGCGATCTGGGCGGGAGTCAGTCATGGGAAACGCCCCGGCTTCGTCCAAAACCACTTACAGTGCGCCGAAGTGAGGTCGCAAAAGGCGGCGAGAGCCGCCAGGACTGGGACAAAAGACTTCATCCTGGAGTTCGTCCGATGCTGGCAGAGGTTGCGGGCTGGTAGAGCTGCAGAGGTTCACAACGCCGTCATTGGCGAAGCTGGGGGAGTTTTCAACAGCGATCGTCGTCCACTTATACCACAACCATTGCGAGCCTGCCATGTCCAGCATACCGGACGGACGCAAGCCCCTGAGCCACATTGGGCAAAAGCGGGCACAGCGTCCGCAGCTCCGTCCCGGCACTTGCCTAATGGAAACAGAAGGGCGTTGAAGTTAGATTACCGAGACGTCTCGATGTGGCTCGGCTGAATATAGCCGGTGCATTTTCCCGTGTCACGAGCAGGCCGGCATCCCTTCCCCTCGAACCGCAAGATAGAGTGGATGTTTCATTGGGTGCCCTTTGCATGGTCTCGATCCCCCGGGGCGAGGGCCGACAAGATGCCAAGACACGAATCTTTGGCTCCCGAACTCTTGGTATTGGTGGCGAGTTCATCCCTAAGCCTGTGCCGAGAGATTTGATGATCGCCGGTTGACGGCGTGATCTGGAATGCGGTGATTAAGGATGCCGCGTGGGCCGGTTGTGTCACATCTCGGTGCTGCCTGCGGTAAACCCGTTTCTGCATCCTCCACATCTGCCATCGTATAGAAAGGTAATCAAAGGAAACGCAGACATCATCACTCGGACATGCTGGCGGGTTGAACTTCACGAGCTCTGGCTGTTGTTCCGAGAACCCGTACGCAAAACACCTTAGGAAGGCCCGTCACGGAGCACAGCACGGGATGATCCCTGAACCGCAAGACGCGGCTCTAAAGGTTGGTTAATTTTGTCATGATTAATCAGTGTCGGGTTCTTGAAACGCTGAAACGCCAACGTGGTTTAAATGCTTAATCTAGCCCGCACCCCTGAAATATATCAGCAACGGCGGTCGTCGCGTGTGTCCGAGACCAAGCTGTGCCGTGGCTTTAAATTCATCCTAAACACATAAGCTAGCGGGATGGACTCATTATCGACGCTAATCGAAAGTTTGTTTGTTTGGATCGACTACGGAGTATCTAGCACAAGCTTCCCGGTGATTCACAAAAGGCGACATCTCCATTAGAAGACGATCCCCCCCAAGCATACTATATTCCTCCCACGAACGGAAGCGTCGCAGAACTAGCATAGCCACTGAATATGGTCAGTTTATGAACGTGTCTGGCGTAATCCGAAATACTTACCTCCTTGCCTCCCGGAACCTCGTACGAAGTGAAGCTGGGATTGTAAATCTGAAAACTGTCAGCGTCGTGCTCCCACCTTTTTTCAGGAAATATTCGTACGTTGGCAGTGTATCCGGAGTCGGTGTTCTTGAAAGCACCGGGTATGCTAAGCGTCGGCGCGAACGAGCTGGCCGGGGCCGAGCTGCCCGTCACGTTGATCTGGGCGCACGAGATGTAGAACTGGGGGACACCGGCGGGCCACGGGTTGTGGATGCCCAGGTTCTGGATGCGCAGCAGGTACTCGCCGTTGGGGAGGCACGAGGGAATCTTGTGCTCGTAGGTAACTGGGCGTGTTGGTCAGCACAAGTCCGATTAGAGGGTTGGCTGTGCCTAGTTCTTACTTCTCATGGGCCACGTTGCCTGGCCGTTGGAGAAGGTTGGGCCAAAGTCCTTGAACTTGGCCCATTTCCCGGAGCCATCGTAGTCCTGTACGTGAGAGGGGGCCTTGGAGAGGAAACTGGATGGATGTTAGCGAGGGCGTCGAAAGAGGCGGCTGTTCACTGACAGAGAGATGGGTCCCTGGTGGTAGACGGCAGTGTCGAGGGTGAAGGTGAATGAGTCACCAGGCTTGACGTTGACTACCGTAGTCTGGGCACCGCTGCCGCCACCCACGTTGCATCGCAGGTCGTTTGAGGCGAGATCTAAAGCCCGTCAGCGACTTTCTCATCGTGCTCAGGCAACGAAGGTGTGCTGACCCGTCACCGGAGAGTTGTAGTTGGTGTTCTTTCGGATATTCTCGTAGACGCCATACTTGGTGGAGCCGATGGACAGTTGCTGGAAGATGTAGTGACTGGACACTTCGGTGACGGCCACCGACAGGGCAGCTGCGAGGGCGAGGAACTTCATGATGGCGGTTACCTGAAGGAATCTGTGATTGGGATGGTATCTCAGGTCGAAGTGATGGGATTAGGGAGAAGGACGAAGGCTGTCTTTTGACCTTTAAGACCTTGGACACCAACACTCAGGGGCATGACGACATGCTACTCGACCTTCCGCAAATTGTAAATTAAACGGCCCGGAGGTCCTACCTCCCTAATACAACCATAGGAGGGCGTCAGTGATTGGATGGTACGACGATCCATGGCACCACAGCCGGCCTTTTGCGGCGGGACCACCTCGGGCACTGCGAAGAGGTGCCGCGGCGTTGGCCGTAAGCAAGCGACCGCATGACTGTCCTGCCGGCAAGTCGGAGACGGTACCAGATGATGTGGTTTCGCGGTTGCAATATAGCTGACCAATACCGAGGGGCAGTTGAGCGGCACGGGATTTGATGTCACAGATATACGGGCCAAAGGAGCCAAGCTTTGGAGGGTATGTCTCTCCGTTTCCCTTTAGAGAGTTGCTTATACACGTGCTTTGTTCAAATATCGAATCCGGTGAAAAAGCGGATGAAGCCCCAAGTGGGCAAGAGTAGAACTCGGCTTGGTATTTCAAAGCGCTTGGCTACAGCGAAGCAAAGTAAGACTCATCACTCATCACGTACACAACGAAAGGGGGATACCAAGACTATGTGAAGGACAAACACAGTCAAGCGCCAGGGACGTCTATCCTGCGGTGCTCCACGTCGGTCGTAGCCGATGCAGCTGCCGGCAGAAGTCGAACATGGGAGATGGGCATTCTATTTTCCGGGGATAAATGCACCCCGGACTTTCAATCTACTTAAATTAAGCTTGTCGGGGATTGCGATTTAGCCGTCGCATCACTTGACGTGCTCCCGCCCCTATCGATTAAAACGGCAGTTCAGCGGGTAGGTGAACGAATCATTTATTATAGAGCAGCTTGTAAGGTCCGAAACAGATGAAGGAAGATGATGGGTAGTCGGTGACGCCTTGGCAACCGCACAACTCCGAACCGTTCGGAATAAGGCACCAATTGTTGCAGCTTGTCGATACATACTGATTGAAGATACACCTGCTTGAAATCGAACAAGCCGAAATTTATTCAAGTCTGTTTACTGTCTCTAAAAAAATATCTTCATTCAAAAGATATTCGCAAGAAGGCGTCAACGTCGCGCAAACGGCGGGGAAGTAAGACGGAGGTCTACGGAGCCAGAGCCTCCGAACTTGGAGTGGAGTATTGTCCTATCCGCCAAGGGATCGACAGAGTTGCGGAATCTGCCAGAAAGAAACGTCTTGGCAGCAAGTGCGCGCTTGAAACTTCCAAGCAGCTGCGGGCGGCTCTCAGCTACGAGAAGGAGGGACATATCCGGGCAGAACCTCATCGAGGCTCGAGGTTCCGCGACAGCGATAGCAGGGGTCCTTCCCGTAAGCCGGACTTGGCGAATAGTAAGGTCATCTCAATTAGGAAGCTGGTTGGAATCATTTTTTTCCTTTTCGATGGACGCTCAAGGTTTCTCGTCAAGAGCCGTAATGCCGGATCCGAGCACCGGCGTCCAAGTGGGGCCATTGACCGTTCCGGACCGAAAAGCGGGTACGGTCACCGCACCTGACACCGGGGCTTGCGGGGCATTAGCTTCCTTTTCCATAACCACCATTCCATAGAGGTTATGATTTGCGGGATCGGGATATGCGCGACAGTCAACACTATTCCATACAGCGCAAAATTTAGACTGAGAAAGGATTGACATGACACTATTTAACCTGATTTTGATGGATATGTGCTGATGGCTCAGTCAGGGCTTAGTTAAGATGCCTGTTGTGATACATCGCCATACCCCCGCCTCTTGGATACGCGGGGTGCGTGGAACAGAGATGTAATCCGGGGAGGTATGATCGATCTCATCCCATCGTTAATGTCCCGCATGGGTTAACGTTCGCCTAGGTGCTCCATCTCGGTACCCATGTCCCAGTGTCCAAAGCTATCGGCCCGACTGTTTTCAGTGAGCCCGTGGGGGCGGCTCTTTGCGGTCGGGTCGACCAGACTGGCGATATGATGCTATAAAATATTTCCTTGGGGCGCCTTGTCGAATTCCGAGTTGGATTGGAATACTTCCTGCTAATCCAAAGACGTACTATTGGCTTGAAGGGGTGATAGCAACATTCCAAAACATTAGAGAAGACAAAGAACCATCCATCACATGTGACGTAACTAAGGGGTGACTGAAGGTGGATCGTGACACCTTCATCCCTAAATTCCCGATTACGGCTCATGAGCAAGTTTGGCACCTCGATGCGTTATAGTTGCTGTCTGAGAGTAGCGAAGATGATGGTGATCCGCAACATGGCAAGTAATCGTGGCGCGTACGGAACTTTCATCACTGATGGGTCAAGCCCGCGGCCTCAGTGTTGATCAACAACCGTTTGTATGGCATAAGTTGGGCATAGCAGGTGATTCGACACTAGAGTCTTGGTTCCATCACCAAGCTGGAAAGGCAGTTCTTTGCATCGAATCGAAGACGAGATATGCAGATCCTCCTTCTCAACCTGAGCCGTCCCAAGATCCCGGTATCCTGGTTATGCATTCTGCGAAGCCTTATGCAAAAGGGCCGATCTCCATAGACTTGAACCTTGCGTGAGACGTCGGGTAACTTATCAAGGACCATGGGCATCAAGCGTAAGAAGGTTCGCGGCGGCCTAGCGTCGTCGATTGCTCTGCGTCGTTTGGCTGAATATAACGGAAGGGCACAATGACTAAGGGACTGTCTGTTGAATCTTCCTATCGCATCATCTTGTGGCAACCGCAAAGGAATTCAACCATCATGCGCGTGTTCGTCACTTGACCGACAGGCATCAAACCGTTGACGACGACAAGGTTGTGGAGGTCCCCGGAGAATGCTACGGGCCTGGTCCTCGCCGCCCCATGCGTTCTTTGCAGCTTAATTCCCAACAGTAGAGGTCCAGACCTGCTTGGTCGTTCCAGGCTTCCCGAATATTTGATATGTGAACAATGCCGAGGCCAACAATCTTTCGAGGCTGCGTCGGCGTGCCGGTAGCCGTGCGGAATCGATTGAAACCCTAGCAATGATTCCGTTGCCCGTGATCTGTAGTCATGTCTGTTAAGGCGCATTGAAGATAGGAGCAAGATTGGATTCCGGCACTTTGCTGGAGGCGCATTCGGACCAGCATGACGACGGGCAGGTTGAGCTTGGTAGTTGCCTTAAGCAGCAGAAGCTCTGAGTTGAGGAGAAACGGCGAGAGTTCAAGTGTCGGCGCTCACCGGCGGCCTCTGGGTCTTCCCACCCCTACCGAAGCCGCCAGCATCCAGTCTCAAAGTAAAGCAAGCATGGCCGATACGCGAAACATCGCAAGGAGGGCTCTGGGGAAGACGACCCCGCGTTTCTGGAGATATCGGGCCTTTGGTGGGACTACTGGGAGGATGTGGATTATGTGCGCACGACGGCGCCCGCACCGAGGTCGTTGAGATGCGGCAGCATGCCGTGATGGTGCCAACAGCGGTGGCGACACAAATGTGACAGTTTAGGTCGGCGACGCGTCCAGAATGTCGAGCATGGCGAGCTTGCGCCGTTTTTGTTGAGCCGACATTACTGCGATGAGGCGAATCTCAATACAGTCAACAGAGTTGGTCATGGATGAGGGTGTGTGCAGGCTAGAACCATCCGGGCGGAAACTCGTATGGTTCTGACAACTGATGGCGGCTCAAATGGAGTTTGTCGGTGGGACAAAGGATTGTATGATGCCTGCATGTATGTAGGCCTAGTAGCTGGAGCCTGGGGAAACGCACGAAGAAGGGCCGAGCAAGCCAGCGGCAATGCGAGCGATTGCAGAAAGAGGGCAAAATGGGCAACTCATGCTAGAGGAGAAGGTAGTTGGCCAAGAAAGTCGACGAGCTAAGCTTTTGGGACCGACTGGGGAGCGTGGGCCGGGATGAGAGTCAGGACCGGGTCCAGAGCCGGGGGTGCCAACTTGGTTTTGCAGAGGGCACGAGGTCTGAAGAAGCACTGTTGGTGGCGCCGCCGGGGACGGCGACTAAGCCGGGCGTAGGGACGGCAGCGGTGGAAGGGACTGGCTGGAGCGCAACGGGGACGGCGAGACTCGAGGTGGGTGTGAGGGCGCCGAATCACAGAATCGGCCATGAGCATTGATCCAAGCCGCTGACGTTGTGTGGGAGTCGAGTCGACGATCCAATGGATGGTCGACGCTTACTGGTTGGCCAGTCGAGTCGGCTCATGACCACGACCACGGCCAGCGTGAAAGACGATTTCGATCAGCTATACGTCTCTCTCGTTCTCTCTCTCACTGCATGGAGATTTGCAGCCGCGACGAGATTTGAGCGAGAACACGCACGAACGTCTCCCCATGCCAGATGCGATATTATGCAATTGTGGCGCTCACGATGAGAGAAAGAAAAAAAACTACTAAAAAAAACTCGTGATAAATCCAGCGAGAGAAACAGCGTGTGAAATGAAGAGTGCCAAAGCAGCCAATGACAGGGGCGAGTACAGCAACATTGCGGGGGCCGCGGAGGTTCTATAGATGCAATGCGTGCGTGCGGATGGGGTAGCAAGCAAGAAACGGGCCGAAAGGGAGTTTCGAGTCGATCATGGCCCGGGGTCCTCGACAGACTAGGTACCGGAACACGCTGCTGACAGTAACAATAATACCATAATACCTACGCAGGCAGGCAGGTATTGGAGATGCTGGAGCAATGCTGGAGAGAATCCACCGAACCGAGGCCACGCGGCGGTTTGCATGGTTCCAGCTCATTGGGACCATTAATATGAAGATGCACGATGGATGCCATCTTGCGTGTCAGGTGTCTTGGAACGAGTGGGCAGGGTTCGCCGACGGTCACGAGGGAGATGAGATGGAGCGTGAGGAAAAGGTGAGGGTGAAGTTGTGAAAATCAAGTGTGAGGACTGAGCGTAGAGTGAAGTGAAGTGAGTGAGTGTGGGGTGAGTGTGGAGTGAAGGTGAAGAAAGCACGACTGAGAGTACCCACACGTACCTACCTACCTTGGCCAAGAAAGGGATTGGCGTGTCAAGCTTTGGGCAAGAGTCTTGGGCTGGGCAAACGGCAGTCGCGATGGTGGGGTCTTGGCTGCAGCTTCCTTCCACCTAGTAGTCACTGGCTAGGCTTGGCTGTTGCTTGTTCACCGGATGGCGCCCCTCTTTTCTCCAACCTTTTTTTCCCTCCGTCAAATCGTCAGGAAACCGGGCTTTTCTTCGCTCGCTCTCTCCATCAGAAAGTTGGTTCACTCATCGCCCGACAACGTCGAGACCAAGCAACAATACCCACCATTGCCTACACCGATGGGCGACTTTTTCCTGGCAACGGCTCGCCAAAGTATCTATCTACTGCGTAAGCGACGAGTGCCGCCCAAGGTAGTGAGTGTACGCTAGTGTACGATGGTACCGTTGTACCGCCGTCTCATTTTCCAACCTCCCCCGTCCCTGCTCTCCATCTTCTACCCCATTCTCCAGAAAACCTTGCCAAACAGCTGGGGAAACGAGTCGTGGGGATTGGAATTGCGGACGGGGAACCTGACAGAATCGACGCGCCCCAGAAAAACCTTTCTTTTTGTCCGCCTCCGGGCTTTGAACACACACGAGGACCCAAAGCTGGCGTCTCTGCTATACACCGAGTGGAAACAAGCATGAGGCTATCGTTAGTCATGTTAATCAACACAAAGTTGCTTCTCCCACAGTGGCCCCTGCTGGGTTCATGTGCCGCTGTCGTGCCGCCTCGACAACTGGCCTGCATCATTTCACATCCATCCACACGACACCTTCGCCTCCTTACCTAGGTCGATAACAACCTCGAGTTGCTTCAACATGCCTCGATTGTGTCTATAGACGGGGGACGAGACACTCGCCGCCGGCGCGCCCGTCTTTACGTACTCGGTCTCACTCTTGTGAAACGACGTGTACTATCAGGCCAGAGCTACCCCAGAATCCCCTCATCCTTCACACCCTCGCTGCTAGCGCAGGCGTCCCCCCTGCCGGGGCTCGTTGTCGGAGTTGTGGCGCCCCCATGGGACCCGTTGGTTGCGACTCTATACCAAGCCGCAAATGTGTCGCATATCCACCGTGTATGGGTTTTTTTTTCATGCCCTTTTCCAACTTGTTCGAGGATCGTCACAACTCATTCAAGTATCTGGTACCCCATTGCTCGCCCCTCGCATGCATGACTAGCCTTGTATTTGGTTCGATGGCCTGTTCACCCCATATGATCTCTTCTTTTCTTACTTCCTCCTGCCTTCTTCCCCAACACCTCGTGATCGCCCACCGGCCCTACCGTGGCATGTTGGACGGCTCCCCACATCATTTGTCTGAACTTGAGGCCAATGAACCCCCCTTGCCAGAGTCCTGGTTGCCCTTGTCTCGCCATGGCCTGCATACCATGGCAAGACCAAGGTGAGATGTGGTCGTGCCGTGTCACCTCTTCCCCGCGCCTCTGAGAAGCTTCCGTGGGAGCTCCACGTCGTACCACACACTCTGGGGGAGAAGTTTATATGCTCGTCGTTCCCCCCATCTGCTCCCCGAACCCTTCTTTTCGTCGTCCTCGTGCTCAAGCCTCCCGGTGCCCAACACTCTAGACGATAGTCCGAGCAGCCTGTAGTCTCTCGACCGACTCAACATCAACTTCGTCCCCAAACCTGTCAATACCTCGAAAACCAAACCACTACACCGCCGTCATCATGGGTATCAAGCCCGCTGGCGTGCCGGGCAAGACCTGGCCGGCCATTGCAATTGGCTTCTTCGTCGCATTCGGAGGTCTGCTGTTCGGATATGATACCGGCACCATCAATGGCATCCTTGAGATGGTAAGTCCACAACTCTGCCCGCGCCTCGCCAGAAACCTCGAGCTAATCATCATCATGATCAGTCCTATTGGCAACGCCTCTTTAGCACCGGCTACATAAACACGGCTGGAAACCCCGACGTCTCCCCCTCCCAGCAGTCCGCCATCGTCTCTATCCTCTCTGCCGGCACCTTCTTCGGCGCCCTGGCGTCCCCTCTCCTGGCCGACTCCATCGGACGTCGTTGGGGCCTTGCTGCTTCTTGCTGGGTCTTCAACCTCGGTGTTGTTCTCCAGACCATTGCGACTGATATCCCCATCTTCCTGGCCGGCCGCTTTTTCGCCGGCTTCGGCGTCGGCTTGATCTCTGCATTGGGTGAGTCCTCTTTCCACAATCCCTCAGTCGTAAGAACGCCAAAACTGACCTCATCCAGTCCCTCTCTACCAATCCGAGACTGCCCCCAAATGGATCCGTGGTGCCATTGTTGGTGCCTACCAGTGGGCCATCACCATCGGTCTGCTTCTGGCCTCCATTGTCAACAACGCCACTCACGACCGCCAGGACACCGGCTCCTACCGCATTCCCATCGCCGTCCAGTTCGCCTGGTCCATCATCCTCTTCACCGGCATGCTTATCCTGCCCGAGACCCCCCGCTTCCTCATCAAACGCGGCCGCGTTGACGCCGCCACCAAGGCCCTGGCGAAGCTCCGTCGCCTGCCCGAGAGCGACCCGTACGTCGCCGAGGAGATTGCCGAGATCAAGGCCAACCACGACTTTGAGACGAGCATCGGCCAAGCCAGCTATCTCGACTGCTTCAGGCCCCCCGTTCTCAAGCGTCAGTTTACTGGTATGGCTCTGCAGGCACTGCAACAGCTCACTGGAATCAACTTCATCTTCTATTATGGAACCCAGTACTTCAAGAACTCGGGCTTCTCCAACGCCTTCGTCATCGGCATGATCACGTCCTCCATCAACGTCGTCTCGACCATCCCGGGCATGTACGCCGTCGACCGCTGGGGTCGCCGCCCTCTGCTCCTGTGGGGTGCCATTGGCATGTGCGTCTCGCAGTTCCTTGTAGCCATGCTGGGAACCTTGACCACCGGGCAGGATTCCGCCGGTAACGTCATTGTCCACAACCTGCCTGCCCAGAAGGCCGCCATCGCTTTTGTCTGCATCTACATCTTCTTCTTCGCGTCCACCTGGGGCCCCCTCGCGTGGGTTGTCAACGGTGAGATCTTTGGGCTCAAGACGCGTGCCAAGTCGCTGTCTCTGTCGACCGCCACCAACGTAAGTTACAGTTTTCTCAAACCCCAAGACAGATGGGCTGCGTACTGACACTCCCTCCCCTAGTGGCTTCTCAACTGGGCCATCGCCTACGCCACCCCCTACCTGGTCAACTACGGCGACGGCTACGCCAACCTGCAATCCAAGATCTTCTTCATCTGGTTCGCGTGCTGCTTCCTCTGCATCGCCTTTGTGTACTTCTTCATCTACGAGACCAAGGGCCTGACCCTCGAGGAGGTCGAGGAGCTGTACGCCGAGGTCAGCATCGCCAGCAAGTCGGTCAACTGGAGGCCTGCCACGACCTTCCGCGAGCGCCAGGCCGCCGAGGTCGACAAGGTCGTGCCGCACAGCGATGGCGACACCACTCACCACGAGAAGACCGTCACTGCCTAGATACCCTGCTTTCTTGTATAGCTACAGGCGGGGATAATGAGGAAGTTGCCAAGAGTTTTTACACATACATATCGATGGGCGAAAGAAGGAGGCCCGTTTTTATATATTCTTGAGATACCACCAATTTACTTAAACGTTACCTTTGATCGCGAAATACAAGAGTTGAAGCATCCCACCAGGTTCGAAATGTCGGGTTGGCATCTTCGTAAGTGTCAGACGGGCGGATTAACGGTCCGCAGAATGATGGCTCCGTGTTATGAGAGGCCATCACGCCAAGCTACCACCTCGGCCAAAGAGTCATCACTCCGAGCAGCAGCAAGCCGCCTTATCTCATGGACTTTGCAAATAGGCTTTAGGTCGGATTTAAGCATCTTGCACGGATCAACACACGACGAAGACCCCTTTCTTCCGGCCTCGACGGAATGTAGTGTGCGCCCTGGCGCGGGCACTATCCCCGCTGCCCCGACTGGCTCTCCGGCACGGCATTTGGATCCCCTCGAGTCGCCATCCGACGATCAGACAAGGTTATCCCACTTCCGGCCCCATCTTCCGCCTTCCCCGTTTGCTTATTTTGGGTTCCCGCCGGCCCCAACATCCGCTGCGAGTTGCCTTGCTAAATAGGTCACGCTGGCCTACCAACTGGGGGCGCGACAGGAAGCCCTTGAGGCAGTGTTATCTTCATCTTACAAATCACTTTCCTTCTTCTGTCTCTCACCGAAAGTCTGTGGCGTCATCGCATGCTGCCCTGGGTTGGAGAAGGTCGAATGGGCGAATCGTCGGCTTATCGTCGGGTACGACTTCTGCCGACCCCATTGGCTGGTTGAAGATGGCCGGGTGTGGTGGGCATCCGTTCCGCCCAAGGCTTGCCGGACACCGACTGGGGGCATTTTGTATGGTGCATTCCCTCGGGTCTTATCGTGACTGCAACTCCCCTTTACTTCGCACAAGGAAAGTATCTTCCGCGGGAGTGGGTTGACAAGGCTGCCGGAAGGGTTCCGGGACGTGGTGGTGAAGGTCAGCAGGATGCATGATGGGCACCCTGCAGTGTTGATCAGAGTTTGACGATGAGTCAAGTGGGTTGTTGCAAGAGCTTGATGGACGGGCGTTTGCGGTGTCGGTTGTAGTTGTGTAATGTGTTGAGCTGGGACGAGTATATAAGACGGCTTTTCCTCTCATTTGGATCCAAGAGCCGCTCTTCGCCTAGACTACCAACTTATCCTATAATACATCTTGAACCACGTTGTAGCCTATCAAGAACTATACAATATCCCAGACATAGCGCATTGATCACCACACCTCCAACGTTCCAAACGTCGAGCTACCCCTTCACAATGGCCTCTCGTTACCCCATGCCAAACATCTACAACCGCCCGACCAAGGAGAAGACCGACTCTTCTCCTTCAACCTCGGGCGCGATCAAATCCTTCTTTACGATACCTCAAGCCTACCCCGTCGTCTCTGCGTCGACGTCCAAATACCCTCTGCCTCCGATGTACACCAGTAGCCGCAAGACCGCGAAGAGCGCCCCGCCGGCAAGCAGGCAACATGACGGGCAAGGGGTAACGAGTTCGAGGGCTTCAGTTGAGTCGTGGGATACTGTTGATCAGATCAAGGAAGACCACACCCGGGTCTGAGGCGGCTCGGGGATAGAGTTTGTTGAGGGAGAACAGAAGATGAGGTTGATCTGTCATCTACCGGTGTTGGAGGATTGAAGAATACAAGCGACTGAGTAACGAAAGTGAGACGAGACAATTGTTAAGGGGGATCTGAGTAAGAGTGAGCTATGCTTGCCTGTCTGCCATTTGTTGCTAGTTGTTTCTTCTTTTCAGACTTGAATTCATGTGTCGTTGGGCTTGGCCAAACTAGAGATTGGACAACCTTATGATGCCTTGTGACCTCATGCGAGCCTCGCGATTGTTGCTGTGTGCGACTTGTTTATCGAGACAGCTTTGGTTACATGCCCAGGTTATGGTCTGCTTGCCCCCGTTGACCTTTTTTGACAAGACCGTTCCTTACAGCTTAAGGTTGCTCCAAATGCCTGGACGACACTCCGTTTTCTCAACTGCAGGGCTCGAACTCTTTGTTTCTATCCTGGCGTATCTGCCGGTTTCGGACGACAAACCATTGACATGGAGCACAAGAGGCCTATTGTTGGTCGACAATCTGACCAAGAACCCCATTATTCCCGCCATGGCTCTGGAAATCCTGTCACTACCAACTCAAGCTACTTTTTATACAAAAATGCTCTATTTGGGATACCGGAAAGAAGAGCTTGGAAAACAAAATCACCCCCTGGAGTCGTCTTTGTTGCCAACTGAGACAAGTCAACAACGGATATTCCGTTGCGCGCATACATAAACATGTTTTGCCGCCCAAGATAACGGTGGTCTTTCTACGTTGGCTCAACATCCACGCGTTTGCAAGCGGGCTTCAAACTGCAAACCGAACCTCACACCGGACCATCGTCGAATACCTTTTCCGCCCGGAACGCAGCCATGTGCATCAAGCACGTCCAGTTCTACGAGTGCCCCTCCGAGTTCAGCCAGGACCCGCCCAGGAAACACCGCGTCAAGGCCAACGTCCTCTGCTCCAACGTCTTCCCGTGCCCGGAGCAGCAATGGGAGAAGCGCCTCAGCCGGTACGACTTCATGTGCCCGGGCTGCTCGGGCGAGTCCCCCGCCGTGCCGCGGAACACTCCCGTCAGCGACGAGTGGACCCGCAACGAGCTGCAAGACGAGGCCTGGGTCCACGGCTACCTGTCCGAATACTGCAACTCGGTTCTCCTGTGGATCCGGGGCCAGTGGAACACGGACGACGTCTCCGCGACGGGGATGGCCGAATCGTGGTTCAGCGCCTTCTTCATGGAGCGCCGGTGCAAGGAGAACGACCACCGCGTCGGGGAGTGCCGGTGCGAGGCCAACGGGCCGCTGGCCTACTTTTACAATCCAACCACGGCGGCCCGCCGTCGCCTGACAGACGTTGCGGCGGAAAAGTTTGAGAACGACGCGCGCGTGCAGAGCCGCACGATGCAAAATGTCTTCACTAACCGTTACATTGCCCTCTCGGCCCTGTGCCGCGAGCAGAACCTCTGCTTCACGGACGGCATCTCCCGGCAGCCCTTCTTCTCGGAAAGGGCCATTGGGCGGCGGCGCAGGATACTCCAGAAGAGCTTGGAAGACGCCTCAAAGACGGCAGACAGGCTGGTACTGGAGAACGCCGAGGCGGCCGGTTCGGGCAGCGGATGGACCGCTGCGCATACCCTGGAGACGACCCACGTGTCGAGACGCGCCAGCCTCGTCCAGTTCATGGGCGAGGTGTTGTTGTACGACACTGGCATTTCCAACAGCCGCTTCAGTCTCGCCGTGTCGTGGCTAGCCCACATCATCCAGGTGCCGGCGTGGCGCACCCCGTCCAACATTGCGGCCCTGGAAAAGCTTGCTCGGATTGCCAACGCAACCGACCAGGCCTCGGTGCCCAACAAGCCGTTCGTGGGCCTCGTCCAGCTCGCTCAAAAGTACTACTTTGACAAGCGCGTGGAGTGGAACGCACACGTGATGAAGTACAAGGCGCGGCGGACCTTGTTCGATGCCGTGACGCGGCCCGTCAAAGCCGAGAGGGACCTGAGGGACTCGCAAGGCCGGGCCAGCTGCTCCATCTGCAAAGAGGGGTATTACGCGTCGCCCGCCAACATGACGGAGCACTCGCACCCGGGCGTCGACATGCCTGACCAGGGGGAGCCGGCGTGGCAGATGAGGGGCTGCCGGTGTGTCTTTGGGCGGCGCTGCCTGTTCAAGTGGATCACGGACACGAGCACGGCGGCCATGGAGTGTGAATGCCCTGGCTGCGGCAGGCAAATCTCGTCTCAAGAGTATCAGCTGGTGGAAGCTAGCACGGGATATTCGATCAGGGGCGATCCTCCGGGTGACTTGTAGTTTGCAGGACATTTGCGAATGTTGTTGCAATTTGGGGTTTGGAACGAGAATGACAGGTTCGAAGCCAGGAGTGGTGGGAGTCGAGCAGGAAGAAATGGTGTTTGGGGATCTCAACCCGTAAACCTTCAAATTCAGCCCCACGAGAAACCTGTCGTTCATCCTCGTCATGATTTCGAAGTGTGTTCGGAATCATTGAACCGCTTAGTTACTGACAATGCCATAAAACTTTCTGTCTCGGACTTGTGGGAGGCAACGTCCTTTGACATGTTCATTTACCGAGGTGAACGATGGGAAACATGTGCATGACATCTACGAAAGGCCGACTAGCCAGAAGCAACCCAAGAGTACTGAAGAGTACAGCACCTCTCGTTGTCTAGGTGAGGCTGTCGACAAGGGATTCCCGTCTTGGACTGGGCCGGTAGCTAGGGGCTGGGATTGTGTTACCACTGTGCATTGGCGTGGTTTCCTCCCGACGTTTGTTTTCAGGGTCGATATCGCAAAGCCTCTCGTCTACGAGACGAGGTAAGCGAGGAGATGGTATGTGCAACCAGTGGACACAAGGACATGGAACAGTTTCTCGCGAACCACAACCTATCAAGATTGTCGTGAAGTGGTCAGCCGTTCGGGATAGACGTCCGTTCATGGCTGACCGGGGTGCAACGAGGGCGCCATGTGCCATGGCGTGTCTCGTGTCCATGCGGAAGAAAAGACTTGAAGCCCCCACCCCCCGAGTGCGGAATTCACAGAACGTACGATAAGACATTGCTAGCCGTAGCTAAAGGGGGACGGGGCGGTTATAGGGCGGTGGTGGTGCGCCGTTGACGGAGTTGCGAGGTTGAGCCGGAGAGCGGGTGTGGGGCCGTCGTCGGGTCGGGGAGACGCTGCTGCAGGACCTGAAATGAGTGGCGTTCGATACCAAGAGGCGCCACGGGAAGCCACACCGTCAAAGTGTCATTCCACAAGGCCGACCAGAAGACGTGGTTACTTGGTAGGGCGGGTGATGAAGACCGTGTCAAGGTGGAATGTCCGGTGGAGGAAGTACTGTACCGTAGGCAAACTACTTAGATGTAGAGGAGGAGAATCAAAGAGTACGTACCATCTGTGGATGGCTTGCGGGGCCCACGTGAATGGCTCGCTTACGTTAGCGTGCGTGGGCCAGGGAGAAAACGGAGGTGGGAACAGTGGTCCCGGCCGGATGGATTCCTTCTCGCTTAAGGGCACGCCATGGCGATGCGTCGTTCGTTGGAATCTGTTCCGTCTTCCACCCCGTCTTCCATTGCAGCTCCGATCAAACAGACCGAACCAGGCCATTGGCGCCCATCTGCAATGCACCACGCGCGCAAGTCAAGCAATCCCAGCTGAGAGGTTCAGCTTTCATTTCTTTTTCCCCCTTCCTTTTCTTGTCTCGTGGCCTCGCTGGCTGACGGACCATGGCGAAGCGGAACGAAACGAAGCAAAACTTGCTCCTCTCCCCCCGTCGACGACTGTTCTGCTCTGCTCTGCTCTTCTCGTCTCTTCTTCTCCCTTGCTGCTTGACACACAGCAGAGCTCTTGGCAACTCTTATCGCGGCCAATCGTCCGCCGCCATGGCGCAAAAATCATGAGATCCCTTTTCGTCATGGCGTCTTGTGTGTATGTGTGTATGTTGCGCGACGTCGGCGAGAATGCAAAGAGGAACGGAAAAGACATGGATCATTGTCCACAAAGGACAATCGATGCCATCGTTGCATCCATCTCATCTGACGTTAGACGAATGCGAGCGAGCAATCGCACTCGCATGGCCCACGTTGCATCGGGCGGCCATCCATTCTACACTAAGAATCAACCTCCAGGACCCGCCTACCGATACCCACACAATACCTATGCAAATGAAACTTGACGTCTCGAGCTGGCGGAAGCTTTTTCTTGGACGGCACCTTGGCCGGGGGGTGCAAAAGGAATGCCATTCGTCCTGGCCGACTGGGGTGCGTCGAGATGAGATTCTGCAACACCTAATAGATGCAGAGGGAGAGAGGGGAGGGGAAAACAAGAGGACCTAAACGTTGTTTGGATGCACCGACCCAACACATTTTCCGTCCGGCCTGATGTTTGATTTCCACTCCGGACAATGCGATTCGATGACGACGCCATGGCAGCCGTAGCGGGACCCCTCGGCCTTGTAAACACGCCGTATCGAACCGCGGCCGCTCGCTCCATGAATCAATGATGACATGGCCAGCTCATCCATTTAAGGCGTTATCCCGCTCATTCCGACACAATGTGCATCACGAAACGAACCATCACAACAACAACACCACCTCTGCAAACCGCTCCCAATTCATTCATACACAGTCGCTTGTGCCACACCACACATCCTCGCATACCACACCAACAACACCACCCCGCCGAATCACCCGGCGGCACCTCCTCTCTATCACGGCCTGCAGCCTGCCACTTGCACGTTTGCTTCGACCTGAAGGGCCTGGAGCTGTCCTGATTCGGCAATAGACCCGCATTAATCGTTGCTTGGTACTGCGGGCTTTGGCATCGTCGGCCGTCTGCTACGGCCGTACCGTCCCGTAGCGCCTCCGAAACGGTGCGAGATAGTCGTTTCCCTAGCGGCTTTCCCATCCAACCGCAACCTCGTTGTTTTTTCTTTTGGTGATCGGATCTAAGATTTTTTTCTTCCCCCTCTGCATTCTCCCCTCTTGGCGCGATCAATCTCTTGCATGGGTCTTGCGCCCCCCTCCCCTCGCCACTCCTTCGGGTCCTCGTTCACCAGTCTCTCTCTCTCCGTCGCGGCGGCCCACGTCAACGCGAGGCCAAACACCCGCTCCTACGCCCGTAATCGACTTTGACCGTAAGTCTTGCCCTCTCGGCAGATACTCATTCGTCTGCTGCAACGAGAGCTTGTCGCATTCGCACCACTTAGCGTCTGCCTGGCAGCTCTCAGACGCACATTCCCACGCGGCACGGTGCACCCAAGCCGGTCCGTTTGTTGGATGCTGGCGCTTGTACCCGTCTTCATGTAAGCGGACCTGTTGCACTCACACTCATGTACATCCTACTTAAACATGGTCTTCCTCTTCCCTCTTTCCCAACTCCCCTCCTGCACCTCGTGAGAAAAACTCAATGAAGTACGCAACCTGTTCGGTCCATTCTGACATGGGTTTGGGTTATTAGACACTGCCGGATACCAAGGTTTCTTTTTCGTTGAAGGATTGTCACTCGGGTGCAACCTCATCACTGTTGCTGCGAGCCGCCGTTGGACTTCACCGACCCTCACCTTGCCACACCGACACTCACCGAATACTTATACCCATCTCCTAGCTGCTTCCGGCTCAACGCGTAGGTACCCATTGCTTCATGTGGCGTCTATTCCCACTTCATCCCCTCTTTCGCACGTCTGTCTGATCTCATTCTTTCCCGTTACTCTGTAAGAGAGCGGCCCTCCATTCCGCATCTGTCTCATCATACACTACTGCAGTGTCCACCTCTTCACAACTGCTTACTGACAAGGTCCAGCGTAGATATTTAGAGTAAATCACTCAGCTTCAGCCGCAGTCAGTCAGAGGGAAAAGGATAGGGACACACGTTGAACCTGCCTTGATATACGGAAACATGTCTACCACAACCATCACCACTCCTTCCGCAACATCAGTCACCATGGCCACCGACACCAAGATGCCCGCAAGGACGGTGCGGCGGACAGGCCAGGATGAGTCAGCAGACCTGAAGAAGTTTGAGGAGAACAGACTGAGAGCGTCGTATGACGAGTGGCCCAACGAAGCAGGCGTAGGTCTTGTCACCATCCCATGATCCTATGATCTGCCCCCGCGACATCATACTGACAAGAACAGTTTGACGGCCTGACCGAGGAACGCGGCCCCATTGAACTGACCGTCCAGGGCGACATTCCCGCCTGGGCCGCCGGCGCTCTCTACCGCACAGGCCCCGGCAGCTGCAAGATTGAAGACACCCCCAAGGGGACGTACTACGTCTCGCACTGGTTCGACGGTTTCGCTCACACGCACAAGTTCGACATTGTCGCCCCTGAAGCCTCGTCCAACGGCCGGACACGCGTGCTCTATTCCTCAAGGCGCCAGTGCGACGAGCTAGTTGAGTCCATCAAGGCCGCGGGCCACCAGAACCGCTACACCTTTGGCCAAAAAGCCGACCCCTGCGTCGGCCTCCTCGGCAAGTTCATGGGCGTCTTTGCAAAGGGAACGGGTCCCAACATCTGCGTCGCCGTCAACGCCAATGTTCCCGGTTTAGACAACAAGAACCAGGGCCCCGCGGGACCGGGCCACCGGAACGGCATCCGGAGTGTGTGGCTCTCGACCGACTCGAACCCGCTGTTGGAAATCGACCCCGACACCCTTGAGCCCGTCGGCATCGCCAAGCAGGACAGGCTGCACCCGGACCTGTCGGGCCCCCTGTCCTGCGCGCACGCCCAACGTGACCCCGAGACGGGCGACATGTACAACTTCAACCTCGCCTTCGCCATGGCGTCCACCTACCGCGTCTTCCGCACGAGCGCGTCGACGGGCAAGACGGACATCCTGGCGACCATCTCGGGCCCCGACGCCAAGCCGGCCTACATCCACAGCTTCTTCCTCACAAAGAACTTTGTCGTCCTCTGCATCCCCTCGTCGCACCTCGGCTACAGGGGCATGTCGGTGCCCTGGGAGCGCAACATCCTCGACGCCATCGTCCCCTTTGACGCCCAAAACCGGTGCCAGTGGTACTTCATCAACCGCCGCCACGGCAAGGGCGTCGTCGCGTCTTTCGAGACCCCCGCCGGCTTCTTCTTCCACACCACCAACGCGTTCGAGGAACCATCCGCCGACGGGTCCGGGCTCGACGTCGTGTGCGAGATCTCGGGCTACCAGAACCTCAACGTCCTCTACAACCTCTACTACGACGTCCTCCTCGACCGCAACGACGCCGCCAAGAAGTTCTGGACCGACGACGAGCGCTTCAAGAACGGCTATGCGAGCCTGCAGCGGTACAAGTTCCGCCTGCCGGACCCTTCCCGCGCGCCCACCGGCGGCGCGTCGGCGGCAACGGCAACGACGACGCCAGAACCCGAGCTCGTCGTCTCCATCCCCGCCCCGCACGCCGGCGAGCTGCCCACCATCAACCCGGCCTACCTCACCCGGCGCCACCGCTACGTCTACAGCCTCTCGGACCGCGGCCTCAGCACCCTCTTCGACACCATTGTCAAGACGGACGCCGACACCCGCGAGGCCCTCCTGTGGGAGTGCCCGCAGGCCCACACCCCCGGCGAGCCCATCTTCGTGCCGCGCCCCTCGGCGCCCGACGGCTCGCCCGTGGCCGAGGACGACGGCGTCATCCTCAGCGTCGTGCTCGACGGCACCGCCGAGCGCAGCTACCTGCTCTGCCTCGACGCCAGGACCATGACGGAGCTGGGCCGCGCCGAGTGCGACTTTGCCGTCGGCATCGGCTTCCACGGCATCCACGCCCCTTCCAACCCCGGCGCCGAGTGATGCCCTTGCGACCCTTTGGCCCTTGGCTTTCTCACCCCCAACCACACCTTCCCCTTTCCATCTCTTTCGCCACGACACTTATGATGAACGAATCTCGAACCCCCTTTTTCGGCGTTGAGGACGAATTTGGCATTGCAGAGGTTGGACCGACGTCACGTAGAATAATGATTTCCGTCATGGAGTTTTAGACTAGGGTGGTGGGTTCATGTTTTCCCGAAGGGGGGCGTTTCCCCCTTCCGACCACGAGAATCGGGGCTTCCTTCCTGTTGTCTGGCTTCGGACAGACAACGCTGTCTTTTTACTTCTATCTTAGAACCAGGCGTCTGAGCTCAGTCGTTTGAGCCGCAATGAATCAGACCCCTTTTCCCGCGTGTGAATCTAGACTCGTTCGTGATGTGCTACGATGCTGTTCAGGGACACCTGCAGATGCTCTGTTCTGCGAGGTGTTCATCACCGCCATGGATCACACAGAAAAAGGCCACTCAGGCTTTCCAGTGGCTCACTGAAGGCATCGCCGACCTATCAACAGCCGAGACACAGTGCTCGTTAAGGTAGAGGATAACTAGAAATTATATTTAAGAGAATGCCTCATTCTGTAGGGCTGATTTTAGCTGTAAGTAAATGGCCGTGGCGTCAACAATCTGCGACGCATTGTCTCCGCTTCGTCCTCGACACAACAGGCGGCCGGTCTGTATGACAAATGAAACATGTCCAACGATGAAAAGCGAATGCAAGCGCGGCGTAAAGCAGTAAGGGTATCTCCAGCTCCCATCCTCAAACTAATGCTCAAATTGTATCAACGCCGCACGTGTTTGTTTGCCCCAAAAAATAAAACAAAAGAAAAACCAAAAACAAAGGAGAATCCAAGCGCCCCTGCTCCCTTTGCAATGCAGTAGGACACTTTCGTGTCGATTCGTGTAAACATGGCCCTCCATCTCACAATCACTCTTCGAGGACTTCTCGCAGCGCATCGACATCAACAGCATCAGGCAACACCTTGCTCGGAGGACCGCGGCGCTGGTGGGCCGCCAGGTATTCTTGGAAGCCGGGAATGGCGCCAGGCTGGTTGATGCCCGGCGCTCTGAGGAGGTCTTTGTCCTTCTCCTTCTCCTTTCCGCTGCGCTTGGCCGGCGTCGGCGTCGGCGGTGCCGCTGTCGGCGTTGTCGCCCGGGATGCCGAAGCCGCTGAGCCTCCGGTCCATGGCCGCCAGCTGACCCACCTGCCCAGGCCGCCCGAGTTTTGAGAATGCTGGGAATGTGTGCTTGCTGGGGATCCACTTCGAATGGGCGTCGACACCATTCTCGACATCGGTCGGCCGGCGAGACTATCGCGCAGCAAAGCGTCGCTACGCTTGTCGCTTCCCCGTGATATCGTAGACCGTGCTGTGACGCCGGTAAATACGGCATCGGCTCCACCCAGCGGGCGAAGCGTCAGTTGACTTGGCCGCACCTTGAGCGTGTGGATGTCCAATCCTCCTGACAAGGACATGATCGATTCGTGAGAAACGGCGCGGTGTAAACGTCTGCGGGGTAGTTCCTCGTCTTTGGAGAAGGAAACCTCTGTTTCGGTTTCCGTCTCCGGCTCCGTCTCTGTGTGATCATCGTTGGGCGTAATAAGACCCGGTACTTCTTCAGGGCCATTCTCTTCCCTTTCTTCCTCGATTGTGGACGAAATGTGCTGGGACACATGCAAGCTGGGCGCGGCCGGTGGTGCCGGTGAAGCCACACTAATGAGCTTGGAGGGTATGGTGAAGCTTCGGATCGATGCCTCCGACGGGCGTTTGCTGTGGGAGAGCTTCCAGGTAGGCGACGAGGGGTCCAAGCTCGTCGTCGGCGACATGGGCAAATCGGTCTCGAGCATCGGCCTGTCGAACATGGAAAGGCGGGGGTTCGACTGCGGCGAGCTGGGGACAGACGAAGGGGCAAACTCGGAAGGCTGATCCGAAAAGACGGACCATCGGTTAGACGGCGGCATCGAGAGCGTCGACGTCGAGCCCTTGTGAGAGTGGGAAGCCAGCGGTGTTATCGGCGAAGGACCGGGTCGCCATACGGCCGGCGGCGTGGAGGATCGCGAAATGCTAGCAGGTGAAAATACGCCTGGGTTGAAGCTGTGGCGTTTCTTTTTGGGCTTGGTCTTTTCCGCAACATGGTAGTGGTGGTGAATGTGAAGTTCCTGAGAAATGTTTTGCGTCAACTCGCCGAGCTCTGGCCCGATCTCCGCACGTAATGTTGCTGTGGTCCTTGGGTCCTCGTCGCCGATGGGCTGGTGACACATCAACTGGTCCCGCATGGCCTGAATCTCGTCGTTTGAGTTGATAAGCATTTCCCGAAGCTCGGCCATGCCAAGTTGCAGGTTTGCATTGTCCTGCAGGAGATCCCGAACGAAGTGGGACACGACGCTGCTGGCGGGTTTCCCGGCGGTAAGAGACTTGGCCGCGGCAGCTCCCTTGAGGCGTCCGGCGGCAGTGTTGAGCTCCTTCTCCATCTCGCGCTGGCGCTCCATGCGACCGAGGACCTCGACATGGCGTTCTCGCTCCTCCTTGGCCTCCTTTTCCATGCGCTCGAGTTGCTCCTGAAGGTCGGAGATGCCCCTCTCGGCCTTCCTCCACCGCTGCATTGCGGAGCGGGCTTCGGACTCGGTGGTGATGAGAGTGTTCTGCAGACGCAGCTGCTCCTGTTCGAGGAGTGCAATATGCCGTTCCATCTCTGCAGCGCGGGCGGCCGCACCCTCGAGGCGACGCACTGCCTGGTGGGACGACAGCAAGGTGGCCTCGAGGGTCTGGATGCGGATGTCGGAGTCCTGGACCGTGCTGTTGAGCATTTCGAGCTGGTCCAGCAAGGAACGGTTCTCCTCGACCGTTCTCGCGTTCTCGGCCTGCAGTTCCACCTTTTCGTTTTCCAGCTGCTCTATGCGGGTCGTCAATGACATGCGGTCTCGTTCGGCATCAGCCATGTATGCCTCATGACGAGCAAGAAGAGCCTGGAGGGAGGGAGTCAGCAAGGTCATGTCGACATGTGCGGCACGAGAAAGGAGGGTGCATTGCGGGAGGTTTTTAGCATTGGGCAGAAAAGCAAAGTTTGCGGGCTGGAACGGTGCTAGGACTCCCCATCTTGAGGTTAATGACGGGAAATGAGGAGCTGGAATGTCTCGAGAGATTGAGACGGGCTTCTGGAGCGGCGCAACTGGAATGTTCCCGGGATCGAGGGGAGGCTAAGAAAAAGCAGAACGAGGACGCACCTTGCCCAGCTTGGCAGCGGTATGGACGTCCTTTTCGACCGTTTCGAGGACGGTGCAGCTGTGCTTCAAATAGACACAATCTGTGCGTCCGCAGCAGCATCGCATCCTGGACCCCTCATTCGGGCGGGCAGCGGGAGTTTGGACGAAGTCGGCCATTGCATCGGCGTCAGGAAGTCGGGCGTCATCGGCGTTAGGAATGTTGTTGTGGTCGGAATCAGCGGTGGCGGTGTCGGTGTCGGTATCTGCGGTGGTGCTCGGGTCTGGATCTAGAATTGGATCGGGACCTGGACTGGTACCGAGTTCTGCCATCGTTATTGCGGCAGAGGAGACGCTACTGTGGGCAGCATGCTGAGGGCCCAGAGGCACAAGCACGGACTTTGGGGATCGGGTTATGTAGCGCCGGCGGGCTTGCGCAGAGCGGGGGAGACGAGGTTTTCCGTTCACTAAAGAGACGAGATCGTGGGACTGGCAAAAAAGAGGGATTTGTGCGAGCCGTGGAGGGTCGGGTTTATGTCGAGAAAAGTTGTGACTGCAACAGTGGGTGGTGTTGTGTTGTTGTGTTGTTGTGTATCGATATGTATTGCCGCCTCTGACGCGATTGGAGGCCACCAGCACCAGCAGCAGACCTGCACTGCACAGAGGAGGGGGATTAGAACAGGGACTGAGGAGTATAGCCCGGGTTGTGTTGTTTATCGCGATGGGCGTCCACTGCCCAAGCGCGACTTGGACGGGGGTTGGCGTGTCTTTGGTGCCTTGTTACTGGACGAGATCGGCCGTTGACGCTCTGCAGCAGTGGAGGACGACAGGGAACAACCTAGGTCGGCGGGGGTCGACTGCAGTTTCTTTTGAGAGCATGTGGTCCGAGCCGAAATTGGGCTCATATAAAATATTGCTGCAGGAAGAAGGAAAAAATCGAAAAAAAGAGCAAGATGACGGCAGAAAAGATTGGGACGGGGATGCCGCTGTGCTGTTGTAGGTGGAGAGTCGTCCGTGGGAGGGCTGCATCCGTCGGAGTACAGGACGCAGATAGGTTCTTAGGTCGATTGGGCGGGCAGATAGCTAGGAAGAGATTCCCCCCAAAAAAGGGAGAGATGAGATGACGACGTAGGGATGATGGGTCTTGGAACGAGGACGAGCGGCGCGGTAGTTGAGATGGAGGCTTCGATAGGTAGGATGCGATGCGACACCGATGGGATGGTGAGGAACCGCTAGGACATCAAAGAGACTCAGAAAAAAAGCGAGACAAAGAAACGCCGGAAAGCGGGAGGGGAGAGGACGAGGCGAGGGTGAGGAAGCAAGCGGCAAGCAAAACATGCACATGGCCGCCGGGGGATGTCGTGGACGCATGCTACCTTAGTGGTAGTGGCAGTAGTGCTGGTGACACAGCGCCCAAAAAGGCGAAGACCAGCAAGGAAGTAGAGGAAGTGAACGGACAAAGATAGAGACGTCCCATTGGTATCGGTACCGGTACCGGGTGCGATGGATGTTTCCGCGAGCAATTTGCACAAGGCATTGTGCTATCCATGTACTTTTTTCTCCGAGGGACATCTGGGACAAAGCAGGCACATTTCCCGATGAACACACAGCATGGGAAGGAACGAAGGGTTCGCATCGGACCAAGCCAAACAGGTACAGGCGCATCCAGCCCAAACAGGCCCAATCTGCGGTTCCAATCCAGGAAGCGACCCCACTGCGTACCCGCCAATCCAGGAACGCCTCCAGGAACGACCCCACCTGCCTAAATTTGTGCCAGCCCTGCTTGCCTGCCTTTGGAGGGCGAGTCAGGTACGTACCTACCTATCCCTTAAGTGGGCATACCTAGTACAGTACTATTACTCTGTACACCTCAGCGACCAACTCACATCCTTCAACACATACACACTGGATCGTCCCTCGCAGCGAATAAATGTCTCTGAATTGTGCTGCCCCTGCTACGATGACGACAGCCGGTTGGAAACAGAACTGGCGGGGTGAGCTATGTCTGTCTTGTGATGGGAGTCACCAGGAGCGGCCGCGTCTTGGAGGCCAACTCACCATGGCTCCACCAGCCACCTCATCATGTCCGCCTCCATCTACGAACTTGTCGAGCGATTCACGTCCTGTATTCAACCTCGATGCGCATCTGACTGACATGCACCTTTTTTTCGTTAGCTGTCGTTCGCGGTCTTATCAGTCGCAGGGACCGTGAACTAGGTTATATGGATTGCCCATGTCGAGGAGCCGATCACATTCACCTAGATTGGGATGACCCTGCGAACGACCTAATTCCTGAGTCGAGACGTAAACGTCGACGCGAGACGCGTTTTCACAACAAGCGAAAATAAGAAAAACTCTCGGCTCTCTGGAAGAAACACAGAGATTAGCGCTGGGCACCTCATGCATCGCTGACGAAGCTGGACCTGTCAAATGCTATGCCTCGCACAGCGCAAACTCATACTCATCTCATCACTCATCAAGCCACCGCATCATGATGTTTGACTGCAGAATTACATCAGAAATAAGTAAAAAGCAATGTTAAAACACAGAACACAATCGTACAGCTCCAGAAAGAAGTCAACCAGTGGGTGAGATTATTGTCAGTGACAATCTGCTTCAATCTGGTGTACGGTACTCTCGGTGAGCTCCCAGGCCGGCGGCGCGCTTCAGTGGGCCGACCCGCTGCACCATACCGCTGTGGGTCGCCCGGCCCGGCACACCCACGTTCGGCTCACGACAGACGTCAGCTCCATCAAAACCGCTGCTCTCGTAAACACGGTCGCCTCAACCTCGACTTCCGCAACGCAGCGCCGGCCAAGGCTCCTACCTCGACACTGCGCATACACTGGCGGCAAACGACCTAGACCATTAACGGGGGGCACAATGTCGTCGTCCGAGAGGCCCGCGTCCGCGTCCGCGCCGGCAGACGCCAGCAAGACCGTCGTCCGCGGTGCATCCCTTCTCATCATCCTCCAGATCGGCTCCCGCGCCGTCACCTTCATCGCCAACCAGCTTCTGCTCCGCTTCTTGACCGCCCAGCTCCTCGGCGTCTCGACCCAATTGGAGGTCTACTACCTCTCCGTGCTCTTCTTCGCCCGCGAGAGTCTGCGCGTCGCTGTCCAGCGCCAGGAAACCCGCCCCGGCTCCGGCAAGAAAGAGGACGACTCAAAGGCCCGCGTCGGCCGCGAGAGCCAGGCCGTCGTCAACCTCGGGTATCTCGCCGTCTTGCTGGGCTGCTTCGTCACCGTCGGCCTGGGGTGGCTCTACCTCTCATCCGCCGACGAGTCGACCGTCAAGACGCCCAATTTCCTCCTCGCTCTCCGCTTGTACGCCGTCGCCGCCGTACTGGAGCTGTTGTCGGAACCCTGCTTCGTGCTCATGCAGACCCGCCTGCAGTTCGGCACCCGCGCATCCGCCGAGTCGATTGCCACTTTCCTGCGGTGCATAGTCACCTTCGGCACAGCGTTCTGGGCGTCGAGAGCCGGCGTCGAGTTTGGCGTCCTCCCTTTCGCCGTTGGCCAACTCTCATACGGCGCCAGTCTGCTGCTCATCTACCTCTGGTCCGGGACCCGCCTCGCCCGTGCGGACGGATTCTCCATCCTCCCCAAAAGCCTTGGGTCTGGCCAGGATTACGTCGCCTCCTACTTTTACCGGCCCACCGTCAGCCTGGCGTCCAGCATGATGGCCCAGAGCCTCGTCAAGCACGTCCTCACCCAGGGCGACACCTTTTTGGTCTCCATCCTGTCTACGCCAAAGTCGCAGGGCGTATACGCGCTGGCCAGCAATTACGGCGGTCTCCTCGCCCGCCTCGTCCTGCAGCCCATCGAGGAGAGCAGCCGCAGCTACTTCAGCCGCCTCCTCTCATCCCAGGACACCGAGACCAAGCCCTCCAAGGAGACCGCGGCCAAGGCCAGCCAACACCTCCACACGCTGCTCAAGTTCTACTTGCTGCTTTCGTCCATCATCGTGAGCATCGGCCCCGTCGCCGCGCCGCCGCTCCTGTCCCTCGTCGCCGGCAAACGCTGGGCAAACGAGGGCGCCGGCGAGGTCCTCGCGGTGTACTGCTACTACATCCCGCTGCTCGCCATGAACGGCGTGGCCGAGGCCTTTGTTGCGTCCGTCGCCTCCGAGGCGCAGGTGCACCGCCAATCGGCCTGGATGGGCGCCTTCTCCGTCGCCTTTGGCTCGGCCGCCTTCCTCTTCATGCGCGTCATGGACCTCGGCGCCTCGGGCCTTGTCTTCGCCAACTGCATCAACATGCTCTGCCGCATCGTCTGGAGTCTCACGTTCGTCAAGTCGTACTTTGGCGGTCTGGAAACGCCGTTTGAACTTTTCACATTGCAGCCTAACGCCGTCACTTCTATCGTCTGTCTATCGGCACCGCACCTCATCCGGCGGGTGACCGGCGTCGCCTCGCGCGCCTCGTCCACCTCCTTCAAGGACCTCATCGCCATCGGCCTCGCCGCTGTGCCCGTCGTCCTTTTGATGTAAGTCTCCCAATTCTTTCTTAGATAAACCCCCCCCGCGCGCGCGTCTCATGTATCCCCGTCTAACATTGTCCAGACTCTTCGCCGAACGCATATTCCTCCTGCAATGTTACAACTCGGCCCGCAGGCCAAAGACTGCGTAGGCGCACTTTTAGATAGGGCAGGGAGAGCGTGGAAATTAGACAGTCTCCCAGACAGAAAACAAGACAAGGAATCAAATCAGTCAAACACAATCTTGGTCGCCTTCTTCGTCATGTCGACGTCCTTGAAGAAGGCGCCGTAGGTGCTGTGGGCCTTCTTCTTGACGGTGGTGCCGAACTTGAAGAGCTCGTCGGGGACGGGCTGCTTGGCACCCTTGAGAATGTTGATCAAACTAGTCGTTCTGTTAGCGATTTGCCTCGTTGAGCGTTTCCCGCAGTGACCACTTACGATCCAGAGTGCGCCTTGTCGTGCTCGGTGAAGAGCGTAATGGCCTCGCCCGTCTTGCCGGCACGGCCGGTACGTCCGATTCTGTGAACGTAGTCCTCAATCGTCAGGGGGAACTGTAAACATTAGCTGAAGGGGTCTTGGGTCATGATCAAGCGGAGGCCGGAAAAAACTCACAGTGACGTTGATGACCAGCTTCACCTCGGGGATATCCAAACCACGAGCGGCAACGTCGGTGGCGACCAGGACGGGCGTGGTGCCGGCCTTGAAGGCCTCCAGACTGCGGGTGCGCTGCTCCTGGCGGAGGTCACCGTGGATGCCGCCGACGCGGATGCCGCGCTGCTGGAGGAACGTCTCGACGCGCGTGGCCTCCTTCTTATACAGGCAGAAAACGAGGATGCGGTCGTCCTTCTGGGCGCCCGTCTGCCACTGCTTGAGCAGCTGCAGCAGCCTCTGCTCCTTGGCCCTGGGGTCGACGACCTCGACGCGCTGCGTGATGCGCGTGTTGGCCTGCAGCTCGACGGCGCCGTTGGCCGTCTCCTTGCCGCTGGAGCCGATGGTGATCTTGATGGGGTCGACCATGAAGGACTCGGCGAGCTTGCGCACCGACGCGGGCCAGGTCGCGGTGAACATGACGGTCTGGCGCTCCTCGCGGGCCGGCATGTCGCCGAGGATCATCTTGATGTCCTCCTCGAAGCCCTTGTCGAGCATGCGGTCGGCCTCGTCGAGGACGGCGAACTTGACGTCCTGGAGCGAGATGGTGCCGTCCATCATGAAGTCCTTGAGGCGTCCCGGCGTGGCGACAATGACGTCGGCGCCGCGCCGCAGGAGGTTGCGCTGGTCGTCCTTGGAGGCGCCGCCGTAGATGCAGATGCTCTTGAGGCCCAGCAGGCTCGAGACGTGCTCCATCTGCTCCTGGGTCTGCATCGCCAGCTCGCGGGTCGGCGACACGACGACGGCCTTGATGCAGCGCTTCTTGATCTTGGAGATGCCCTCGACCAGCGGCAGGGCAAAGGCCATGGTCTTGCCGGAGCCGGTCTCAGCGACACCAATGACATCGCGGCGCGAAAGGGTGTAGGGCCACGAGGCGGACTGGATGGGCGTGGGCTTCTTGTAAGCGGAGAAGGGGTTCTTCTTGATCAGGTCGGTCTTGGGGAGGTACGAGAACTCGAGGATCGGACGCAGCGCGGTGGGGTTGGCGACCGGGTCGGTGACGGTAATGTTCTCGGCGGTCAAGAAGGCGTCGATCTCGGACTGCGGGAGGGCGGTCAGAGCGGCGGCCTGCTGGTAGCCACCGAGGACGGCGGCGGTGGGAGTAGGGCCGCTGGCCGTGACGACGGGGACATCAGCGGCGGCGGCGCCATTGCTCTGGGCCTCCTTTTCCTTTCTCTTCTTCTCCTTCTTTTGCCTCTTCCTCTCGGCCTTGTCCTCCTCGGTCTCCTCCTTGGCCTCGGCCGCAGCAGCGGGGGCCTCCTCGTCGTCAGCGGGAGCGGCAGACTTGGACTTCTTCTCCTTCTTGCGCTCCTTCTTCTCCTTCTTTTCCTTCTTCTTCTGCTTCTTCAGCTGCGCGGCCTCGTCGCTGTCGACGTCGCCACCGGCGGTGAGGTCCTTGACCTTTTGCTTCTTGGTGGTGACGTCGGCCTCGGCCTCGGTGTCGGCGAGAGAACGCTTCGTGGCAGCCATTATTGCGGTGGGTATGTGTGGCGGAGAAGCGGCGCTACAGATTGGCTTTGGACGCTGGAAAGGGATGCGCTGAGAAGCAAAGACTCGAGGCGCGGGCTGGAGGGGAGATCGGATTGTCGCAAGAGAAAGAGAAAAAAAATAAAAAATTGATTATCGATAAGATAACACACCGATAAGAACCGAGAAGAGGGAAGACCCTGCGCTAAGCTTATTTCGGCCGATGTGCTCCCCCCCGCTGGCGGCGCCCGTTCCAGAATCGGAGCTCAGGCCCCACCCGGCCTTTGCCACCTTGCGTCCAGCGATGGACGCCTTTTCCACCTTCCCTGATCGGTCTCCACCGTCTCCCCCGCCTCCCACGTCCGCTTCACTGCCCATCTTCCCCTCTTCGACCCCCATTGCCCCCATTGCCAGTTGTCACTCCGGATACAGTACGAAAGTCTGCTTTCCTCCCCAGGCTGCATAGATTCCCTCCAGACGGGGAGACGTGCCAATCTGACTAGGTGCATGAGTCCCTGGCCAAAGGAATCTGCACGAGGCCCTTTATCAGCTTACGGTGCTCATTTGGCAATCTGCTTCTCTTCACACCCATCCGTACATACTAAAACGGTGTAAGTGAGTTCGCTACAGAACGAGAGAGGCTGGCGCACCGCGAACCTGTCTCGGGAAGTCCTGAGACTGGACACGGTACGAACCATAAGGCCTCTCCCGGGCAAGGATGCAAGCGAGGGCCCATAGCAGAATGTCGATATGCGGCACACTCATACACACACCAGCAGTCGGCTACAGATGTCGGGTCTCTGGCCGCAGGCTGCGAGGCCGGGATGCCAGCCAATAGTCCTCTGGGCGTCAGCAAGACGGCCCAACCCTGCAACGGGAGCTAAGCAATACGCAGTTCTTCGAGGCATTTCTACAGCCAGCTAGCCATGGGCGCACACAGATCCGTTGTCTGACCCTGCAACGTGCCGCCAATGGGGGTTCGCATGGTTCCACTTGGGGATGGTGACTTGAATATCTACGTGAAAAGGCAGCGGAAGAGCACCTCACCCTGCAAGACAGCCCGTTCGGCCAGGGTCCACCCATTGGCGACGTCCCCGTCACATAGCTGAGTGCGGCGTTGACCCTTGTTCCTGCTCGTCTTGATAGCTGCCCACGTTGCATGTCGACATGGGCAATGCGGTGCGCCGCGGGGTGGGAGAAGAGAGTGTGTGAGAGAGGAAGGGAGAGATATAAGGTAGCAATCGACGGCCTTCCCGTGGTCAGTGACTTGTTGTGCCCCCGTATTCATCTTCTTGAACACCTTGACGAACCCATCGTCGAATCCTCCATCATGGCGAGCTGCCAGGTGCAGGGTGAGCCCGAGCTCTACGGGCTGGGCATCCGAGTCGCGTTCTACATCCAATGGTTCGGCGCCATTGTCGTCGAATACCTCGAGGTGGCCGACCTGCCCGACATGCGCCTGCTCGGCCTCTTGTTCTCGGCCGCCGCCTTCATCGGTCTCGTCATCAAGCTGTGCGTCGCCACGCTGCAGCCCGCCGACGTCTACATCGTACTCCTTCTGGCCATGGGCATCTACATCTTCCTCGTCCCGTTATACATATGGAAAGCAGTGACCTGCTTCAGACCCTACTGGGACCCCTTCCGATGGTCCAAAGAGACGCCGAGTCCCGCTTTCAAGGGGCTCAACTTCACCCTCCTTCTGGCCATCACTTCGCTGGCCATCTGGTACTGGTGTTCTTTCGTGCCGGAGAACCCGTGCTCTTCGGAGCAATACGGGTTCCTCTTCAGTCGCATCAGCCTAGGAAACAAGGGCTTCATCGCCTTCAACGCCATAATGTACTTCATCATCCTATTGGCCTGCGTACTGATCCTGCTGCTCAAGATTGGCTGGAAGGTGCCCTATTGGCGCGAGAGGCGGAAGAAGCGAAGGGTCAAGTCAGTCTTTCGGTTCCGAGCGATCGTGCGATATCATGGGGACTACAGACACTGACAGTTCTCGTTGCAGGAAAACGCACATCATGGCAGTCGAAGAGCTCAGGACGCTGAGCAACATCGCCGTCGCCGCAATCCTCACGGCCGCCGTCGAGCTTGCCGTCTCATGGAACGACATCTCCAATGCGAATAACGTTTCCGATATTGCTCAGATCCTGCCCCTCCTCGTCAGCGCCGGGTTCCTGGTGCGGATGTTGTTCTTGCACTTCGCAGGCGCGAGCGGAGGATCGGACTCCTCTGGGGAAGAGAGCGACGAGGGGTCCCATAGCTACATGACGGAGTCGCCAGGCGGAATGCCTCCGGTACCGCCTCCTGCTCACCCACGACGGTAGTGTTGGATGAAGTCGCCGAGGAGACTGAAGTTGGATTCGGTAGTTGTGTAAATATTCGATGGAAGTGTAAACTGCTAAATTCAAACTGTTTTGCGTTAATCACCCGGAACACACGTCGAGGACCGACTGAAACATCAACACGAAAAGTCCTACACTCAGTTACGTTGGAACAGAATGTACAGGTGGTTCTCTTTTTTGCACCGAAGGTTAGATGGCTATTCTTGTAAACACTCTGAGGTGAGAAATCAACAAGTCGGTGGCAAAGCAATTCAAGTGTTGACCAGAACACCTGGAATCACTCAATGTTGCTCAGGCCCCTATAAAACGATCCGAGTCTTTCATATATCACCAATCTTGGAACATTCATCTCGCAACATTTTTTGAACCTCGCCATCTCAGAAACGGTCTCGTGCCAGAATAGCCCTGAAGCCGTCGTCCTCCGTCTTCAGAAGCAGCAAACCCATCCAATCTATCGCCAGTTTGATATTCACATTCGACACCTTTTGATAACCACCAAGACAATAGGAACGTGCTCTCAGCCCCTCTGGCGTTCTTGATCACAACGCTCTCACAGAATCTGCGATCAACAGAAATGGCTGGGACAGCACGTAGCTTATGGGGACATTCACCATTTCGGGACAGAAGACGTTGGTGATGGCCTTATCGGGGCTGTAGTTTCATGGCAGCTCGACCGGGAAAAGAAGGGCTGGGATTTTGCTGTCTGCGTAGCGGGATAGACCGAAAGAGTTCTCTTCTGCGCCCAAGTGATGAAAACAGGACTCTCCGGGCTTGATGGGAGGTCTGGTGGCAACTCGGTCTTGAGTATGTCCGACTGCCTACCCATGTGACTCACCGCGGAATTCTCGTCTTTTTGAATTGTAGAATCCGGAGGTGAGAGCAATTCCAGTGTGAGTAGTACGTTAGAGAGATAGTACCACCTAGATGTCGCCTCATGACCTGTGGGCACGGCACGTCGTCTCAGTCTTATAACACCTGCGTTGAGCCTGACAATGCGACTATCCTGATACTTCTCATAAAAGCTTGGGCGAAGGACCTGACGCTGTCCTAATCCTCGGCGTTCAATTTCATGACCTGGACGATGTCATTAGGGCTTACCGCGCGGATGGCTTGACCATCAAGGAAGTCATTCCTAACCGACTCACTCTTCCAGATGTCGCGAACGGTGAGAACGATGAGAGAAGCGCTCAACGGGATGAGCTTACACGGGACGACTGGGCCGATTCCCGAGGATGCGCCTGTCACTAAGGCAGTTTGGCCGTGAAGGTCCAACGTCACCAGAAGAAGCGTGACTGGAGCTTAGAAGAGAGGAACATAGGGTTGGACCAAAAGTCAAGATTAGCATTCATATACTTGAACTGACATGTGCGGTTACTCTTGTCTCATGCAGTGCTCCCCCCTCGTTTGGTTCACCAGCACCAGATGCCAGTCAGTTCTGTGATGACGTCCATCTCCTCTACCATCGATGTCAAAGCTCCAAAGCCTGCTGTCGCATCTCATTCCAAAGCGCCCTTGTAAAAGCAGAGGATTCGAGACCGTGTTCCTGGCGGAGTTGATATGTGCCCATCTATAGCGTCTTTCAGGCAAATTACCTAGTAACACCTGAAGTCAAAGTCTGCTGCGACAGCCCAGTGTGCAGCACATGTGGCCGCCGTAAATTGCGCGGGCACGGCGCATGACTTGGCGGACGGGAGGTGAGACGTCGACGAGAAGTATCCGAGGACATGCCGAAGGCCGACTGATCGGGTCTCGAGCCGGGGGGCTCGGCTCACCTACCGTCGATCGGTCATCGGTGATTGAAAGTGAGTGTGACTCAGCAGTTCTCCTCACCAACTCACCAAGAACTAGGGATGCACCATTCAACCTATCTGCCCCCCTCGTTCCACTCTTAGCTGGGAGCATCGAGTATGTGTTGGCCGTGGGCGTCGAAGTAGTCTGCATGATAATCGCTGGGTTGGATCCTTGCGGGAGTGACCCGAGGTCAGCTCTGCCCCGCACCCTAAGTCTCACGACGGAGCGGATTTGGGCTTTGCAGTCACGCTGTCATCGTCCACCCGTTCCAGCCTACACTCCAACCCACTTGTGATGAAAACGGAGCAGTAGCAAGTGGCAGGACAATGTCGTTCTTTGGCATTTCGTCTCTGTCGGGTCGCTGATAAGCTGGCCACTAACTAATTGGTATTTTCACACTGACGTACAACCCTGCCCCAACCAGGCCTCCTAATAGAACATTGGAAAAGGCCTGTTTCGCGGCAGCGTCGACCTTCATGTCGCGGTCGTCGTCGCCGTTGCGCTCGCGATCGCGGTGGGGAGCTTTCATCCATACAAGCCCTGAGATAACCATAATTCCTTCCCAAAACTCCGGTTTTTGTTTAAAAAGTTGGTGAAAATCAACGGATACTTCGTGTTAGCAATTTCTGCCCAGTCGCCCCTACCAGGCCTCACCGCTCGCAACATCCCCTCTCCACCCTCCCCTGAAGCCGAACTCCGGTAACATGTAACGAAATAGAGACGCCGGTTGCGTTTATGCGGAAGCGGCGGACTCGGTCTTGGCCTCAGTGCCGGCGAGGTTGGTGGGCTTCGCGTTGGGGTTCTTGGTGTAGTAGTCGGAAATGGCGGCCTTGATGGCGTCCTCGGCAAGCATGCTGCAGTGCAGCTGGAAAGAGTTAGCGATATGTGCGACGTAGCGACCGTTGGAGACGGCAACATACCTTGACGGGAGGGAGCTTGAGCTCTTGGGCAATCTCAGTGTTCTTGACACGGCCGGCCTGCTCCAGGCTTTACACATTGTCAGCATCAATACAAGCGAATGTGATGGATGGAGGTGGCTTACGTCATGCCGCGGACGAGCTCGGTGAGGTAGCTGGAGGAAGCGATGGCGGATCCGCAGCCAAAAGTCTTGAACTTGACATCGGAGATGGTGTTGGTCTTGGGGTCAACGCGGATGTTGAGCCTATGCCAGTTTGTCAGCGCGTGTTCTTCATACGATGAACTACGTAGCTATGCTATCGCCAGGTGATTGATCGCACGCGGCAAGTGATAAACTGTAGAGGACACAAGTGTATAGCACCCCATAGCTCGAGCCCATGCCGCACCGATCAAGCATCCGGATAGCGGTATTGTAATGTTTGGGGTATCCGTCGAGGAATATGTCTTACTTCATGACGTCGCCGCAAGCAGGCGCACCGACGAGGCCCTGGCCGACATCCTGGTCGCCCTTGGGCATGGAACCGACATTACGAGGGCGGGAGTAGCTGTGCACGATGGGTTAGCACCCTTCGTCTTCCAAATGTGATATCGAGGGTTGCGTACTGGTCAAGGACCTTCTCGTGGTAAGCCCTCGTCGCGCCGACGGAGACGGCAGGCGCAAGCTGACGGGCAGGGAGGGTGGAAGGGCGGACAGAGGTCGCAAGGACCCTGCGGGAGGCGACGCGGAGCGATCTGGAGAACATTTTTGGTCGGGATTTGGATGAGTGGTTTTGCAAGAGCTGTAGTCGGCTAGGTGTCGAGGATGGGCGGTTTTAGTAGACACGAGTGAAGTCGCAAAGGTCAGTTTAGGGTATCTTTGATGAGTCGAAACGGCGATGGCGACAAAAGGTGGTCGATATAGAAGTTTGATTGAAGCGGAGGATCGCAGATGCAGGAAGGTGTGTGACAGACGTAGAGGGAGGCGAAGATTCCGCTGGGGATAAATGGAAATTGTTTTTTGGAGACAGCATGCGGGACTTGTGACGGAGCAGGATGGCGATCTCGGTGGTAGCAGAAGAGCCGGACTGGCCAATGGGAGCGTTCAATGACCATGCATTAAGTCATGGAGTCCAGCGACAACACCCATGGACCAGCTCGGCGCCTCGGAGAAGACAAAATTTCATCCGCCTCCACAGCGCCGAGGGTCCCCCCTTCCTTCCTTTCCTTCTGACCATCGCCCTTCTGGAGAGCTCTGACGCTGCAGCAGGGTGCAGCAGCACCCGTTATCAGATCCACTCCCTGTTCGTCGGCGACGTCTGATTGGAGGCACCGATGCCGCACTCCCGTGGGTCCCTCGGCTCAGCAGTAGGTACTGTGGTACGCACCAATCACAGCCCCACTTTTTCTCAGCCATGCCAGTACTTATCAGTCCCGACGTCGCTGTTTCCCAGCTGGCGAGGCGGGGATCTTGCAACTGCGGTGGAGTCTCGCCGGGGCGTCAACGATTTGTCATTGTGGCCGCCAACGAAAGAGATGCCATCTGATTAGATACGCCGCCCACCTCCGTCGTCGCTGTCTCTTAGGTACATATCCGACCCTCCTAAGTCCGGGGAAGATCGCCTAAGTAGGTACTCTCACATGACCGGTGCGGTGATGCAACAAGCCACATGGGGAACACGGAGATGCACATAGAAAGAAGATATGTAACCAGGCCATACCTGTATCGTATCGTTCACTCAAGCTCAGCAACCCCACCTCACTACGTAATCGCCAAAACCCAAAGGTGCTTGCCACACTGTGTGCTTTCCCAAGCTGAGCTAAGGCAAGGGAAAGCTGCCAAACCTCCAGGCACACCGGGTCCCTGTAACAGGGTAACTCTCCCTGCCTTACGACGTACTGCAACCGGACATCCCACTACCACCACCGCGGGGCAACCTTCCAAGTCCAATCCTGCCCAGACCTCCTCCACACCAACTCTGCATCAGCTTGAGCTCAGACACAGCCTTTCGCCTCTACTGCTTTGCTCACCTCAGCTCTTTCGCCTCTCGTTGGCTGCCTGACTGCTTTGTCTCTTTTCCCAAGCACAAGGCTGAGCTCGACCGCATTCAAAACCAACCTACCGTCCACCTCCCTGTCAGGATAAACAGTTTCGCAGCTCACCACCACACCGGGACGACAAATACACGTCTCGAGAATTGCTCTAACATGGCGTGCCCGCACCTTGAGTCCATAGGTTCAGGTAACCTCTACCTCGCCTGCTTTATTCGATCCTTTATTCTCGGTAACGTTCCGGAGCTTCTTACTAACTCCTTGCAGCTCTGCAGCCGCCGGCGCCCTTCCACTCCGTCTATCGGGAAGACTGTACCCAGTGCTTCGACTCTATTGTAGGTTGTCCTCTTGACCTTTGCACTGCTGCTACGTGCTAATCTGCTTGGCTAGGACGACCCTGCCGGTGTCGATGTCTGCCTCCAGTGCTTCAACGGCGGTTGCGCCGGCGACCGTAACCATGCTCAGCTCCACAAACAACTCTGGAACCACCCCCTCGTCCTCAACATCCGCCGCACTCGCAAAGTCGTTGTCCGAGATGAGCCCCCCTTGAAGATGTCCAAGCTTGCCATCGCTGCCGAAACTGAGGCCGACCGATACGATACCAAGACCACTGTCAAGTGCCTCGACTGCAACCAGGACCTGGACCAGTCCAGCGACAAGCTTGCACCCATCATCGATGGCATCATGAAGGCCAACACATTCTCGCGCAAGGAAGAGGTCAAGGCCTGGGAGCAGGAGCTGACCAGCTGCGAGCACATCCTCTTGATGCAACAGACCGAGTCCCGAACGATCCAGTCTGGCGACCTCGGACACTGCTCCGCCTGCGACTTACACGAGAACCTGTGGCTTTGCCTAGAGTGTGGAAACCTGGGCTGTGGACGGAAGCAGATGGGCGGCGTTGACGGCAACTCTCATGCACTCGCTCACTCGGACCAGTCCGGTCATGGCGTCGCAGTCAAGCTCGGATCCATCACACCTGAGGGAACGGCCGACGTTTACTGCTACAAGTGTGACGAGGAGCGAATCGACGGAGACCTTGGCCAGCACTTGGCCCACTGGGGCATCAACCTGGCGAACCAGCAAAAGACGGAGAAGAGCTTGACGGAGATGCAGATCGAGCAGAACCTGCGCTGGGACTTTAGCATGACCACCGAGGACGGCAAAGAATTGAAGCCTCTGTTTGGTCCCGCCTTGACCGGCCTCAAGAACCTGGGAAACAGTTGCTACCTCGCTAGCATCATTCAGTGTCTCTTCGATACCCCCGCCTTCAAGAACCGCTACTACTTGCCCGATCGCGACCTTCCCAACGTCCAGGAGCCCGCAGCGGACTTGGAGACTCAGCTTCGCAAGATGGCCGATGGCCTGCTCTCCGGTCGATACTCGAAGCCTGACTCGGATGTTGCCGCCTCTGAGCACTCTCCCGAGATCTCACACCAGAAAGGCTTGGCTCCAGCCATGCTGAAGCATTTGATTGGCAGAGGCCATGCTGAGTTCTCGACCATGCGCCAGCAAGACGCTTTCGAGTTGCTGCAGCACGTCTTCAAGCTCATCTCTCGCTCTCAGCACCCCTCGGACCTGGGTGATCCCACTTTGCCTTTCCGTTTCACTCTGGAACAACGCCTACAGTGTCTTGGTTGCAAGAAGGTGAGATACTCGACTAATGAGCAGGACAACATCTTCATCGACGTTCCTCTAGAGAAAGAGCCGGTCGCCGAGGGCGCGGAGACCCACGCAGACGCATACAAAGCTGTGACCCTCAAGGAATGTCTCGATAACTTTACGGCTGAGGAGGTGGTTGAGTTGACTTGCTCCTCCTGCGGCAGCAAGGATGGGTACACGAAACGCTCTCTGTTCAAGACTCTGCCAGAGAACCTGGTCGTCAATGCCAGAAAGATGGCGGTCATCAACTGGGTGCCCGTCAAGATTGATGTTCCTGTCATCGTGCCCGATGAACCCTTCCTCCTTGACGACTACCTCTCTAAGGGTCTGCAGGCTTCAGAGGAGACTCTCCCTGACGAGCCCGAGAACAGCGCCCCGGCGTTCGTCGCCAACCCGGAGGCCGTCAGCCAGTTGGAAGCCATGGGCTTCGGCCGTAACCGTTGCGACCGAGCCTTGCATGCCACTGGAAACTCGGACGCCAACGCAGCCATGGAGTGGCTGTTTGCGCACATGGAGGATCCTGACATCGACGAGCCTCTTGTCCTGAGTGGCGGTGCTGCTGCGGGCGGAGGCTCGGCCGACCCGGAGAAGATTGAGATGCTGGGCGCCATGGGCTTCTCTGTGCCGCAGGCGAAGAAGGCTTTGCGTGAGACCAGCGGTGATATGGAGCGCGCGGTCGAATGGCTCTTCAGTCATCCAGAGGACCAGGGTATCTTTGATGATGACGCTCCGGCTGCCGGATCCGAGTCCGCCGCCTCCAAGAGCGAGGCCGGCACTTCAGCGACCCCTGCCAAGTACCAGCTTCAGTCAATTGCATGCCACAAGGGCACCAGCATCCATGCTGGGTATGTATACTTGACCCTACCTGACACCACACTCGACATGCTGACCGTTTTGCAGACACTACGTCGCTTTCATCCGCAAGGAGATTAACGGACAATCCCAGTGGGTGCTTTTCAACGACGAAAAGGTTGTCGAGGCAGGCGAGATTGAGGAGATGAGAAAGTTTGCCTACGTCTACTTCTTCAAGCGGGTTTAGTTGGTTGCAGTAACAAAGGCGTTTGGGTTGGGAAGTAACGACGAAAAACAGCCATGGACGGCCCTGAGCTGATCATGATGGCGGAGGTCGGGTCGATTTGCATGAGTCAACGAACGAGGGAAGCATTACAGCATGGCGGGTGGGCGGGCGGCGGCACTGCGTAGAAGAACAAGACATGCATGACAGTGTAGAAAAAAGAGAATTTGGGGCTACAGAGCCACCAATTACAACGATGTGCTTTTTTGCAAAAGGACTGACTGTCCATTCGGAGCCCGTAGCTCTTGTGCCATGACAAGTCAGATTGTACAGTCCACCATAAACGCCTAGACGCCCACACACAAAGTACCCAGAGATATCTCCGTCCATCTCCTCCTGTTTGGTCCACAGTGACTCGGTACACCTGCTGTTTAACCCCCGTCGCATCGTACATCTCTTCCGTCCTTCGTACTGTTGTTACATGGCCCACTTTTGCTCATTCGGCCAGGCGGTAGCTGACGAGGGTGTCGACACGGTGGTTGCTTGTGCTGAAGCCGCGCAGCTGGACGCGCTCGCCGTTGACAATCTCCTTTGCGTCGCTGTCGCCCCACTCGACGGGCACCTCGGAGTCGGCGTCGGCGTAGACGAGCACGTTGAAGGTGCAGTCGCCGTTGAGCTGCGGCAAGAAGGTGACGGAGGCGGTGATTTGGCGGAAGATGGCGGCGATCTCGGCCTGGATCTCCTGCTCCGTCTTTTCGGGGGTGGCGTCGGCCTCTGCTGCGGGCGCGTCGTTTTCCTGGTCGGCCGACTTGGACGACGACGAGGTCTTGGAGGTCTTGGAGGATTTGGACGCCTTTGAGGCCTTGCCAAAGATTTCGACGTCGAACTGCCAGCGCTCGACGTGCTCGCCCGTGTCCTTGTCGGTGATGACGATGACGAGCTTGGAGATCTTGCCGCGGAGCATCCAGCGGTCGAGCTGGCCCATGATCTTTTTGATGTAGGCTCTGACCTGGTCGTCCGAGGAGACTGCGGCGGGCGGTTGGTTAGCCTTTGATTCGGTGGAGGAGGGAGGGGTTATGGGATCGCGGGGCGGAGGGTCGTCGAACCTAGCATGTTGAGGCCGTACTTCTTGACGCTGTGGAGGAGCCTGTTAGTATGTGGTTCTTCAATGGACGAGGGGGGTGCAGGAGGCGGCTTACGCTGAGAAGTCTTCTGCGGGATAGACGCCTCGTTGGAAGCTGGGAGGGGTTAGATTAGGCGCAGGTTCGCGCGGGGGTTCGAGGTTCCTACAGGATCGTGTGGATGGAGTATTGGAACTGGAATCCGAACCATGTTAGCTTGTTGCGCCAACTTCGGGCGAGGAAGAGAAAACTGACAAACTCGGCGACGAGCTTTGCGCTGCCCTTTAAAGCGAGCTTGTGCACCTTGGACTTGTCCGACTTGTCAGACTTGTCGGCCTTGTCAGCCTTGACGGCCTTGGTGGCTTTGGCGGGTTTGGCCTCGGAAGCCATCGCGACGGTGATCGGGATGAATTGGATCAATCGGTGCTCAGCGAAGGGATGGGAGGATCGAAGGTCGGCGGGGGTTGCGGTGTAGTGCGGTGATGTCGGACGCAAAAGGGAGCTGATGCCGGAAGCTGGACGGGATCGTTTGTTTACTTTCAGGGTCGAGATTGATTTTTGGCAACTGGTTGCGGGGTGATTGGATTCGATTGGCGGGACGGCTGGTCGTCACATTTAGCAGCACGGAGGGCGGCTGCCCCGCTGCTCGGGCCGACAGGGGGTTAAAGCTCCCGCTCCACCGGCCGGTAGTCAACCACCAATCGCTGTGCTGGGCCCTCCGAGTTCGTCTCGTCTGACTCTAAATCCAATGTTCGGGTTTTCAATGTTCCTGAGCATCTCACTTGAGTTGCCCCTTCCAGTTGCCTTTATCAGACTGTTTCTCGGCAATCATCAAATGTAAGGTATGCTGCAAACCCTCAGGATTGTACTCTAATGGGGATACAGGCTGGGACACTGGCTGAACCCCTCGTGGCAGGGCCGGAGTCGCTGAGGGAACTAGGTGAATCGTAAAGGCTCCAGGATTCTATCTTGAGCGAGAATTTAAAAAAATCTTATGGCGTCAACCAGGAAAGCTATGAGTTAGAATCAAACATTAAATCTATATCCACTTAGATTTTAGAATGTGTCCCAGATCATTGAGCTTTAGTCGCTGCTGCCCAAGAACTTCGTTCAGACCAAAACAAAACCACAAATATCTTCTAGTCGCTCAAGTGTGGTAAAAGGACTGCGGTAACCTGTGAGAGATTCATGCAGGTGATATTTGTGGGTGTCGTTCAGCCAATCGCCTTAAGACCCAAGCCTCACCCGCGATATCATATATCCCCATAAGTCTCTCAAATAGACTGCATAATCGTAATCCATATCCTCTATAACCTGCTTGATCAATCTCTTCAAGGATGACCATCGCGGGTGGCGAAGCGAGTTGATCAAGCCAAAAATTTTAAGAGACCTTGATATCGGTGGCGAAGTGTATACCAACTCGAAGCCTGGTCTCTTCCTCATTACCCAATCCAAGTCAGCAATCCGCTCATTTGAGTCAAGATGACCTCCCATAATTTCGACAATCTGATCTAGACCGTTGCACTCTTGTCGTAGGTACACTAAGAACTACATGCGATCCTCAATGTTTTACATCCTTTCTTTAAGCCGAGTAAGAATTCTGACCCTCGAGACGACGCCACCCCTAGGTACCATCAATTGGAAGCGCACTGTCTCCCAGGGGGACCTTTGCTGGAATCTTTCGTGTCGGCTCGCTTTCCAGGAGGCTTTGGTGCCTTACAATCTAATTTATTTCGTTCCGAAGTGCTTTCATATCGATTATTCTTCAGCTTCTTGGCGACTCTCTATATACCCCTTTGTGTAGCTTTTTGACCTTTCTGTTTACGCGCTACAGGTATTAAGGGTCTTTTAGTTTTTGTAGAATCTCTAGAGACATTAGGGAAATATCTATGAGTGTCCGGTATGCCTTCCTCTGTGGCAATCTGGACGTGGCCTTTGCCGCCGCTTTCCATTGGGAATTTGCATGCGTCCTACTTTTGTTCTCTCGGTCCTCTTAATGTTTTACTCGATGCACATTTTTCTCATTTGCCCGTTTCTGGTTGACACAGTACACAAGAAAAATTATGCCTACCCGGTCAATGGGGCACAGGACGAATAGGTTTAGGATGCCCATAGCTCTCTTGCGCGCCTTTGAGTAGGGCCCCTGAGATCATAGGCCGCGACTTCCATTGTTTCTTCGGCTAGCGACAAAAGATGAGTGACTTCATACGTGTGGGAAACCTCTCTTCTCGCATAAGACGACCAAGGTGGAACGTCTCACTAACACAGACCCGAGACGGTTTTCATATTACAGAACGGTTTTGCGAGATCGTACTGGTCCGGTAACTGGGGGACTCGAAGGACATGGGCAGTGGAACGAATAAGAGCAAAATGCGATAATCCATTCACCCATCATGAGAATTTCTGGCTTCAGGAAATCTTCGCTACTTGCGTATTGGTTTCTGTCAAGCAATTTATCTACTGACTCTGGAACATGATGCAGATTGCACAATCATGAATTGGGCCACGAGCTACCAGAAAGTCGCATCACGTTCAGCACCCCCAGATCCATGCCGGCCTCGGTCTCCACCTCCACTTCCACCACGACTCCGAGACGAACTGTCGCTCTGCGGACGGCTACCCCGGATTGGGGACAATGACGCCTCGGGGTTTCTGTGCGAGCCGGGACTTCTGTCCGACCCCCTCGAGCCCACAGTAGATCCACCTCGTGTTCCTCCCGGGGGGCGAACGTTGGGACTGCCCTCCTTTCGACCAGCTGTCTGCTGAGTGGTCTTCTCGATGAACATGGGTGCAAGATTGTTCAGCTTTGACTCTCGGCGGATTTCAAAGATAATGCGACTGTATAGAAGATACCTTGTAGAGAAGTCCTTCCACAGACTCTCGATAAAAGGGTTACCAGTGTTGGGCTTGGGACAATAATGGTTTGCGTCAAGGAAAGCTGAAACAGCTTTGTTGACTCCAGCCTCGTCCATTGTAATATCATAACAACCATCAAAGTCTATCATCCAAAGGGATGTGACTCTCTTGGTGAAGTCGGCACCAGTATGCGTAGCGGTCTCATATGTGCTTGTCTGAGGATGCATCGCCATGAGGGTCGGCAAGCTGATGTCCGCACGAACTGTCTGCTCTTCGACGGGAGAGCTACCGATGACAAACTCAATGTCGTTGCCGTCAATCTTGGTATCCCAGTGAAGGACTGCAAGAGCGTGAGCCATGCCAGTGTAGAGATCGGCGGCAACAACCCCAAGTTCCTGGATCTGGTCTGCATGAAGCTTGAAGTTACGCAGTGAGAAAAAGAGGCCGCCGTGTCCGAACTTCACGCGACCGAGGTATGGACGCACCAGGCAATCCTTGTTGACAGCGTCCGACTTCATCTTCTCCCGCCCATGTGGCGGACAATACTTTTCGATGAGGGCGTGACGCATAGGGCGGGGAAGAGGGAAAATTCGCTCCATGCAGAGAACGTGACGAGGCTTTCGAGAGAACTCCTTGGTTTCCGGGAATAGGGCAAGATTCAGATCCCAGAAGGCCTGAGTTTTTGGAGTCGCGTACCAGAAACAACGAGGAATTTCCACTTGACCATCAAAGTAAGGAAGCGACTGGAAGCTAGCTTCGATGCACTTGTGAATGACATAGTTGTTCCAGAGCTTGTCCGTCTGGTCGGTAATGGGTAGCTTATAAGCGAAAGTAGTACCTGGTTGCTCAAAGACCTTGCCGATAGAGCCAGTGCCGATCTCGTGGAACTGTGCGTTGGTACCAACGGCAGCCTGTTGACGTTGAGCAAAGGGCGATGCAGTCGATACAACAGTTCGAGTGGAAAGCATTCGCTTGAGGCAAGATTCCAAGGGTTCACCCGCGGAATCCTCCTCGAGCTTGTCTTCCAAAGCAAGGTTGGCCATCATGGCATGCTCTAAGGTGACTGCTCTCGAAGAAGCGACATTTCCTACTCACTGCCGACGGTGTTCCGAGGGCTTGGAGAGGCGAGCCGAGCCATCTCCAGATCCCGGTTGCATGGTAAAGGCGGGGGGAACGTAGGCTGTGTTTCGAAAGCGATAACGTCGGTAGAAGCTTGATGAAGTCTAGAGATTCAAAAGGCGATATGAAAGAGGGAGGGCTGGATCTTGCCTCTAAGAGATTCCAAAGCATAAGGTCTGGAAACAGGCTCTGGAGCATAACATTTTTGTCTGGTGTTTTCTTGTGATATTCTGTAGATACCAGATGCCTTCTCGTGCTGCAATCTGTTTATCAGAGCAACCTGCACGGTTTTCCATGGATAGAGCCTTTTTGTATTTGCAGCTAGTGTATTCAAAGAGACCAGCCAGCAATAGACGGCTGGACACAAGTTTGGTCGACGGCAATCCGAAGGAAGCCTGCATTAGTGTCTTCAAACAATGGGGCTATGAAAGTCAGGAGAGAAAGACACATTAGCTTCTAACAGTGTGATTGTATGAGACAGGGTCAAATGTGTTCTGCTATGATATGCTTTCGATTGCGCGGCGATACAAACTGAGCAACCCACAGCTTGTAGCGATCACCAGGGTTCGCCCCCCCTAGAAAATCTTCCCCTCGTTTGTCCAATCAACTCAACAAACTGTCGCGGCAGCTACCTCACACTCTCTGTCTCTCCCTCCAAGAGACGCCCGCTTGTTTCAGGAAGCGACCCTGAAAGACCTCCCACAGCCTTTCATCGTTTTGATTGTTGCTTCCAGGGCGTGGGTAGTATGGGTCATTGCGCCAGAAGCTTTTCCAGGCTTGCTTGATTCCAGCTTCATTCATTGTCATCTTTCTGCAGCAATCGAAGTCAAGGATCCACATGCTGTGCAGTCCAAGGGCTGTTGAATGGGATCCCTTAGACCCCAGGCTTAGCGATGGTGCTTCTGGTGCTGCATACTGGCGGCATTGGGCTAGCACAAACTCAACGTCATTTGCGTCGACTTTGGCACACCAATGAAAGAAGGCCAGTGTATCCGCCATGGTCAAGGCGTAGCTCTCTAGGCTGAGACCAAGGTGAGGAAGGTTGATGTAGGGATAGGTGAAGGTGTCAGCCACGCGAGGGCTTTGAAGGCTCTGCATGTCATGACGGTGCATGTCGTATTCGTGCGTAATGGACCGACCCTCGCCTCTATCTTCCCGCTTTATTACAAGCGATGAGCTGGTTGAGACAGTAGACCAGACAGAGCCACAGTGGCCTGCACCGATCTGTTGGGGTTGGTCTGTAGAATCCGCAGTAGTGAACTGGTGAGTATTGGGTTCTGTGATTTCCATGGTGGGGGGCGTGTCTTGAAGCAGTGTTGTGTGGTGTATTCTATGGTTGAATGTAATTTTTGATCAAAGAGAAAGAGGAAACGGCGAAACCCAAGATGTCGTGGCTTGATGTTTATCCTCAGGTGGCGTTTACCGGATTACCGACTACAGCCTTTCTCCGATACCTGGCTGCTGGCTGCTGGCTGCCAACGCAGATGCCTTTCATCTATCTACGCGTTTGTGCAAAAGCATTTCCTTCTAGAGACATAGGGGTTCGCTTTTTATAGTTTTCAGTTAGGTGTTTGCGCACCATGGACTCGCACAACATGAAAATATTGAAAACTTACACAAGTCTTAGCACACTACCGGTTTCTGCACTGAATCTTAGTACAATTATCCCAGGATTACAGCGGAGCGGGATCCTGATATGCATCGTCAAAAATTTAAAGTGCCCGTGCCAGTCCTGAGCGTCCAATCCCTACGCTGTTTTAGTACACGAGCATGTCAACCTGCGTGTTCGTCAGATCAGGCAAAAAAAGGAAGGAGAAGCCCAGCATCGACATGGATCATGTGCGTCTCTCTGATTCCTCCACTCTCATAGTATTGACCTGCTGGAAGATGCTGACTATTAAACAGTGGACTGACTGGCAAACTTGGGATCTCGCCAGTGATATGGCGTACAATCTCAAGGCACAAGTCAAGGACAGTAAGTCGCCGGTTCCTTGTATGCTCTCACAAAGTCTAAATACTTTTAACATCTACTCATCTAGAAAAAGATGAACTTTTCTTCTGCGTCTTCGTTAGGATCGAACTGTGGGCCCCCATCTAGCACTTCGTTAAGTGGTTCCACTGGCTCAGTCCGCTGATTCGGAAGGCCGCCCTCACGTTCCCTACGGGCATCAAGGTCTAGAGGCGGAACGTCTGAAATCGCCTGGTGCAGGCTGGCAAAGTCGAGCACCCCGTGTAAACGCAGCAGTTCATCGCCTTATACAAGATGGACGCGAACGAAGAGTGGCTCCTGGCACAGGCCAACGTCATGATCGTGGCCGACTTCGATCCTATAACCAACGTTATGTCGGCAACTTTATACTACCGGCTTACGACCCGACAGCGCACCACAGGCTGCGTGAGGAACTCAATCGCACGTTTGACCACTGCAATGACATTGTTCACGACAGACTACAAGGCCTCAAGTACTTGCATGCTGTCATTTACAAATCGCTCCATAACCATTCCGGCGCCGGTTTCAGCATGTAATAGTTCAGCCTCGGGGCGGTGGTAGACCGGTGGTATCTCCACAAAGGTGTAAGTACAACAGGATCCATGTCAGTTCTCAGCATCGTCGTACTGTGAACTGGCTTAACGGTGGGTAATGCAGTCGACAAAAGGATTTCGCTTACAAAAGCTAGACGACTGGCCAGACGTATTAGTCTGCAAATGTCTCAATTGGAGCGCTGATTCAATAGCGCTCGACCCTTCTGCCCGGAGAGTTTCCTGCCCAGCGACCGCCAACACCACCAGCCGCAGTTCGATGAGGATGAGAAAGTTCAAGGGCTCCCTTGCGCCCTTCTTGATAAGGCCCTGCGGGTGTCCCGGCACGGACCCTACCATGTAGTGTCTGAGGATCAACATTACATGGCTTTTGTAGGATGTGCTCGTAGCTTCTCCAAAATAGGTTACGTGCCGATAAGCCTCCAGTAACACTTATGCCTGGCGCAGGTGCATGGGCTGAGCGTTTTGTCCCTCCTCTTGACTCATGGTCTTCGATCCCTGGACCCTAGGTATAAGCGAGAATCGCATTGGGAACCACGACTTGTGGGTTTAGTAGTGCAAGCTTCTCGGAAACACTCCCGGCCTCAGGGCTATTTAAGGCTGCAATGAGTGGTAAAGGGTTGGAACTAGATTTCTATTTAACCTAGTATTAGGTCAACCTTCTCCGGCTCCTTAAGTTCATTCCACCTATCCGCTAGCACTACGCCTGACCCCTTCCTGTAGGCGACGTCGTTTACCCACTCAACCCACAAAACAAAATAGCAGTCTAGCTTCTGCTCGGTACGGAAGTTCCACTCCTCAGACCAAGGTCTACATTTATCTTTGAAAATTGACTCCTGAGCAGCCATCTGTGCTTCCTCCTCCTCTGCTGTAAGAGGGACGTCATCCTTAAGCTTATTCTTCAGACTTTCTCTTCTGTTCTTCTCGAGAAAATTGGTCGACCAACCCTTAACTATAGCTACTACCTCGACTTTTGCCTTTTTGTGAAAGCTCGCACCGTCATCACCTTTATGAAGCCTCAAGCGACCGACTATGGCCCCTGAATCGTCTTGGAGGAAGGCGTAGAGGCTTTCTTTATTATACCCCCCAGCCTCGTCATAAGTAGCGTCGAGAAAAGCTCGGCTGGTGTTACAGTATATATATCGAGACTGTCTGTGAGATTCTGTTATGTTTTTCTGTAACGCACTAACGTCGACGAGAGGCACGCAGTACCAGAACCCCTCCCATTCGAGCCGCCGAGATGTATGCCTGTAGAGATTCTCGGGAACTTGTTTGGGCATGGAAGAGGGTGAAAATTCGTTAGCCGTGCAATCAAACCGATCCCAGGTTGAAGGTGGTTCAAACTTTTTAGCCTCCCAACCTTCCAACGTCTGCGATGGAGACGCAGTCTTGTACTGATGCCATTTAGATTTTATAAGTCGTTTTGATGTTGAAGAAGGTGTTTCCATGATGTACCACTCCGTGAGTGGCTCAGTGAAACCCATACCTTCACCTCCCCCTAGAGTATGTTCATATTCGCTGTCCACTGGAAAGCGAATTTCACCCTGCCATCCCATCCATGACCAACTTGGCAGACCTTCGATCGTCGGCTCTTGAAAGGGCTTGCCCTGCAGGTTCCTTTGGCGAATTTCTTGCGAGGACCAGAGTAACGAGACATCGAAGAAGAGCTCGGGATGGCCAGATATGAGACCGAACGGGAACTTTTCTCCCAAGTAAGTGTTGATACCAGAAAATGCCTCATATATATCCCCATCGAACCTAAGGTTCCTACGGTTGAAGTCCTCGAGCAGACTGTTTAAACAACCGAGGCTTGGCACAGTTATTGATAGTGATCGGTATCTCATCGGTGCCCGGTTTTGTCGATCTGCTTCGGCATGAGAAATTAGGTTTTCGGACCACTCCACGCAGTTACACTGCCACTTTATGGAATCCTTTGCAAAGATGAGACGTCTCGTTGCAAATATCTTCTCTTGAAAGGTCCACATGCGCTGGTCGTAGTCGTGGATGCTAGCCTCTCTGAGACGTTCCAAAGTGCGATTCATAACCAGTCTCTCGCCCGCTGCTATAGGGACAATGCTTTGTTCCATGACCCTCGGAGGTGAGGCTCCGCACATACCACGGAGGCCATGTTCTGCGTCTTGGCCATCTTCGGCAATGACAGTGAGAAATGAGCTGGCAAAGATCCGATGCATGTGCCTGAGGTCATGAGCCAGCGCTGACTTGTCGTCCTGTATGATGCACAGGCTATCGACCCATAGCCTTGTTTCTCCCAAGGCTCTTGTGAGCTGGATCGCGTTACGGATAGTCAGGGGTAATTGAGAGGCGATAGGACCTGAAAGCAAGGCTCCAGCTCGTTGAACAGCTTCAAGGTTGTCTTTTAGAG